AAAAAAAGCACCAAGCCCCCTCCCGCACCCCCGCACCGCCCCTCAGCCTCAGCACTCACAACCCCACCAAAAACAGACACTGACAGTCAGCCACGCAAGCCACTCAGACGCAAACCGAGAAAGAGCTACTCCTATCTATTTATAGCGTGCTGCGTAATGCGTGTTCTGTGCGCTGTGTTGGTGCTGTGTGCCGTGTACAAGCTTATCTCAGCACCGAGAGCTTTGCATAGCCGGCGTTGGGCGGGCGGGGGATCGGGCGTGTTTGTGTGACGGGGCACGGTGGGGCGGGGCACGTGGAGTGAAGCGGTAGGCAGGCAGGCAGGCAGGCAGGTGGGTGGGTAGGTGATGGGCGTAGAGAGTGGAGATGGGGATAGCGGAAGAAGAAGAAGAAGGAGGAGGAGGAGGAGGAGGAGTCGTTTCGGCATAGTAATTTGAAGGTTTGAAGCAGCTATACGTACGTGTCTATGCGCATACAGCGTCCACCTTTCCAGATCCCAACCAAGCAGACAAATAAACGAATAAATAAACGCCAACGCCAACACCAACACCATCGCTAATGCCCTAGGCACGTTACAGCGCCATGCTCGCTCGCTCGCTCGCTGAACAGGACCGACAAACGGCCAACGACCAACGACCAACGACAAAACGGCGGTGAAAGGCAGCGAGGCCCGCCCGCCGCAACTCCCACACTCCCACAACCACTTAAACCATACAAACCCGCACCAATAACAGTTAGTACCTAGGTACCGACGGAGGAGCCTACAACTCCGTCTCCACATCCACGTCCCCATCCCCATCCCCGTCCACCCCCACCCCCAACGGCACCAACCCACCCTGCTGTCTAAACCCCGCCGCAGCATCCAAGTCCAGGTCCAGGGCCGGAAGCCGCTGCGTCGGGCGCGGGTGCGACGAGTTGTAGCAGGAGAACATGTTGCTGCGGGAAATGTGTTAGCAGGATGGACTTCTTTGAGAGAATGAACGGAGCGATGGAGAAAGGCGAAGGAAAGGAGAGGGAAAGAAGGGAAGGGAAGGGAAGGGAAGGGAATGAAACATAAGAAAAAGGGCGCACTCACTCCCCCGCACCCCACCCCACACACTTCCAGCACCTGAACAATCCCTCTTTATCCCAGCGCTCCTTCACCCCACTCAGCCTTTGATAAACCGCCCCCCCAAAAAACGTCTCCACCCACTCCTCCTCGCCAAAGTCCGCCTCATTCAGATAGCACGCCCCGCCCCCCAGCAGGCGTTTCAGCGGCTGCACCCCCCGTCTCACAGCGTCCCACTGCCGCGCCGCCTCCGCGGCCCCCGCGTCCCGCTTGTAGCCCCCCACGAAATCGACGCTCCACAGCGCCTCGCGCCACGCCCTGTGCGCGCTCGTCGCGCCGTGTGCATCAGGCGTGTTCGCGGGCGTCGTGGCATAGACCTGCATGCTGCCCTTGGCCTTGCCCGCCTCCGCCAGCCCAGCGAGCAGCGCCTCCACCAGCGCGGTCGCGTTCTCAGGCGTAAACAGCGCGCGCGGGACCAGGCGCCCGGCTTCCACGACGGCCAGCCCGCCCGGCGCGTTCCGCCCGATGATGCCGCGGTAGTCGTCGTCGGCGGCCCAGGCGGACTGGTCGGGGAAGCGCTCGTAGGCGTGGCGGGAGACGGCGAGGCCGGGCAGCGACGTCAGCATGTTGGCCCATTCGCGGGTGGCGTCCATGAGGAGGGCGAGCGACGCGTTCGACGGCAGCACCATGTGCGTTTCGATGCTGCGCGCGCTGAAGAAGTTGTAGCCCGCGATGTTGCGCGCGGACCACTTGGGCTGCTGCTGCACGAAGGCCGTCAGCAGCGTCTTGTACAGCGCGCTGTGCCGGACATCTGGGATCGGGTTTTCGATCGAGGCGAAGAAGCTGTACGTGTTGAAGGCGACGGCGGCGTGCGTGCGGAACTTGTAGCGCAGGAGCACGGCGAAGGTGCCGCCGCCGCCCCCCCGCATTGCCCAGAAGAGATCTGCGTCTTGACATGCGTTGATGGTGCGCTCCTCGCCGTCCGCAGTCACGACGTCGAACTCGACCGCCTGGTCCACCATCAGCCCGTGCGTCGGGCCCAGGGGGCCGTGTCCCCCGCCCTGCCCGAAGCCGCCCGCGGGCCCGACGCTCCCGATCGCGCCGAGCGTGATATCGCGACCATGGGCGGCAAAGAAGGCGCGCGCCTCGGCGGCGCTGACGCCCGCGCCCATGACGCCGATGTTCTCGTGCGCAGCCGCGCAGCCCGCCGGCGTGAAGCGCGCGTGGTGCTCGAGCTCCCGCAGGTTGCGCGTCCATAGCGCCAGCGAGTTCGCCGCCACGCTGCGCCCTAGGTAGTCGTGCCCGGAGTTCTTGATCGACAGCCGCAGCTTGTGCCGCTTGACGAAGTGCAGCGTCTGGACCACGTGCTCGGCGCGCGTGGCATTGACGTAGTAGGCCGACAGGGAGCCCAGCGAGCACGTCCCGGCCATGGGCTGCTGCTGTTGTTGTTGCTGCTGTTGCTGTTGCTGCTGCTGCTGTACGGCCAGGCACCTTTCGGCGCCGCAGCCCTCCCACTGCAGGTTCTGCGTGGTGCCGTAGACGGCGGCGCGGGCCACGTCGTCGCCATACGACGCCTCAATGGCGCGGCACGACGCGGCGTCGTAGCTGCCCGTGGCGTCGTAGCAGCAGCTGGCCCACGGCTCCGTCACGCGCAGCCGGCCGTCCACGCTCGAGTTGAAAGCCGCCCATTCCCCGCGCGTCGGCCAGCATGCGTCCCCCGGCAGGCAGTCGAAGGATGCTGCTGCCGCCGCCGCTGCCGCTGCCAGGAAAAAGGAAACAACGGAAAGGCTTGACAACGAGGATAATGAGAAGAGCAGCATGCTGATGACGATGACGATGATGTAATGCAACGCAATGCAATGCAGCAAGGACCAAACTTAGGAGATATGGAAGAAGAAGAAGGAGAAGCAGTAGAAGCAGTAGAAGCAGTAGAAGCAGTAGAAGCAGTAGAAGCAGTAGAAGAATGAATAAGGAAGAAGAGCTCGAAGCACGATAGGAGAAACGTCTAAGGATAACCGCAAGCAAACGGACCCGGGCGACAAAGGCGCATTATAAAGGCCTTTGAGGTGAGTGAGCTCAGTCCCCCAGCAGCAGCAACAGCAGCGCCAGCAGCAGGACGTACCCCCAAGATAGGCAAGCAAGCCTCCGCCGCCGCAGCAGCAACGATGGCATTTTCCGCTTCAGTCCAAACACGGCGGCCGCAAATGGCAGGCAACAACAAGGCTGAGCGGCACAAGGCGCGGCGAGAGGTGCGGCGTGCGGTGCGATTAGGAAGCGTGCCTGACGTGAGCCGACGGTGGCAGTGGCTGTCTGCATGAGGAGGTTAGCTAGATAGAGGTATGTATGGCTGACGGACGATAAAGATAGCATATCCTCCGCACCGCAGCATAACACCCGAAACGGCTTAGTCGCTGCCTCTTTTTTCCTCTGCTGCTGCTGTAGTACTGCTGGCACAGCTCTGTTCTGCTTTGCTCTGCTCCCCTCACTTTCGGCCCCATGCATTGTCGAGCGGGCATGATGGTGCTTGTGCTTGTGCTGATGAAGATGCTGAAGATGATGCTGACGAGGACGAGGGACCCCATCTCGTCCCCTGCGCGCCGTCCTTACCTAGGAGGACCCCCGCGCTGAGCTCAGCCTTGCCTACCTACCCGCTTGCTTTCCTCCGAGCAGCAGTCATGTCAGCCTTCCATCCATCCAGGACCAGCAAACGGGACGGCACAGCTGCCGCTGCCAACCTACCCACCTACGTCCCGGCATCCGCATAATCGTAGGTACATACGGACTCGCCGTAGCCGAACCCGCGTCGGCGTCAATCGATATGCATGGATTCCCATGTATGCACACACACACACACTTACTCACTCACCCAGTCCCACCCCGCCGGCCTGAGAGCATTAAACACGTCCATTTCACCAATTCCCCGACCGACTGCCTGCCACCTAATGTCTACCTACTAACAGTCCCGCCCACCACCACAACTTCGTCCCGCATTTTCTCTTTTCCCACTCCCAACTCCCAGGCCCAGCCGCCGCCAAGCGAGAAAAAAACGAAAAAAAGAAAAAGAAAAAGAAATGAACCGCCAAAACCCAACCCCAACAGCTACAGCTACAAGCCACAAGCCACAACAACCTCTTTCTGCCTACCACGGGCGACACACGCAACTCCGTCCGCACGCACCTAGGTACGTACCTACCTACGCAGCACTCCCCCCCGCCCCCGGCGCATTCAAGCAGTCCAACGCGCCCATCAACTCCAGCACCACCCTCTCCTCGAGCCGATTCTCCGCCGCCGCAACCCCAGCCCCCAGCCCAGCACCCCCCACCGCCCTCGCCTTAACAAGCTCCAGCTCGCGCTCCGTAAGCGGGACGACGCGCTCGCGGAGGCTCTTGCGCCCCTGCAGCCACGTCTCGACGTCGTCCTTGACGGCGGCGCGGTCCCACGCCAGCGCCGGGATCTCCCCCATCGTGGCCGCGGCGGGGTCCGTTCGGAAGTGGTCGAGGACCATAGCGATGAGGGCGAGCGAGTGCGCCTCGCTGGCCGCGCCCAGCGTCACTGTGCCCGCGTTGGGGTGCGCGGGCGAGGGTTTCGCGCTTGCGTTGAGCGCGGCCGAGGCGCGCGCGAGCTGCGTCGGGAACTGGTTTAGGAAGGTGGCGACTTCGGCTGCTACGGGTGAGCCGACTGCCTCGAGCAGGTTCAGGCAGAGGGGCAGGATGCCGCGCGACCAGAGGGAGAAGAGGCGCGCGGGCTCGTCGAACGGGCCCATGCCCTTGGGCTTGCGGTAGTGGTTCATGAGGTTGGCGGTGCTGAGGCGCGAGAGCACGCCCTCGACTGCGAGCGTCTCGGCCATGGGCAGGATGCTCGACAGCTCGAGCAGGAAGAGGATGCTGAGTTCGCCGTAGACGGGGTCGCCGTCGATGGTGAGCTGGTCCGCCCACGTGAACAGGCTGACGGCGTACCGGCTGGTGTTGTTGTTGGCAAAGAGCAGTGCCACCTGCGAGTTGATCGTGTGCATGCCCGGAATCCGCAGTATCGTTTGCAGTATCGCGCTGAGCAGCACAAAGTCCGACGGCGATACGCTCTCTTGGTCCTCGTGCAGCTGGTTCGCAAGCGACCGCAGCCCCTTGGCGACGACTTCCTTGAGTATCTCGAGCAGTTCCGACGACATTGTCGGTGTGGCCCGCTGAAGGCCTTTTCCGGGGCTCTTTGGCACCTCCGAAGGGGCCGTCCCACCAAGGTGAGGTTGCAGCGTCAGGAAGAGTATCCGCAGCAGCGTCCTGTAGTAGTCTGCGTTCTCGCCGACAAACGCTATCTCAAAGTCCTGCCCAGACAACCGGATGGTGTCCCACGCGACGCGGAACAAGGATCGCACGTGGCTGCTCTTGCACTCTGCCTGGACCAGTTTCTGCATCAGGACAAAGGCAAAGTCCGCTCTGACGTGCACCAAGCGCCCAAACAGCGCCTGTGACCCGCTGGACTGCTGGTTTGACTTCAGACAGTCCTCCACCACTGGAGAGAGAATCTCCTCGATACGGTGGTCCTTGTTGATGATGCTGCCAAGCTCGATCGCAAGGAGCTTCCAGCTCTTCAGAAGCATAATCTTGGCTTCCACAAGAGACAAGTTGACGTTGGCTCTCTCAAACTCATTCGCAAAGCCCTGGTTTTTGTTACCAGCCCACGTGACATCAAAGCCAAGAACCTCCGATGCATAGTCGAGATCGTAGAAGTAGTTGCGGCCAAAGTCAGTCTTGGTGAGAAGCGTCTTCTTGAAGTTGGAGAGCTTGCAACCGGGGAATTTCCTTTCAAGGTTCTTCTTCAGGTTCGTGTGCAATGATTGGTTGTACGGAGGAACCTCGACGCCGTGGCTGGTTAGGTAACCCAGCTTATGTATCACATGCTGCACAGGCCTGATATCGCTCAGCTGGCGTGCCGCATGCAGGCACATGGCGCCAATGTCAGCAATCAAAGAGGCCATGTGAATCTTGACGCAGTCCGCAACCACGGTGTCTATCGATGCGTTTGCTGGGCTGGGCTGTATGTTCTTAATAAACTCCATGATGCTCGAGAGGAACGTTTGGTGCCTGTGCATGCTCGTCACCGCCCAAGGCCAGTGGTTCTGGGCAAGGGAAATGAACTCCAGCATGGCCACGGCCCGCCGCGCCTCCAGGCTGTTAATATCGCACAGCTGGTCGAGGGCAGAGGTCAGCAGTGGCCTTCCACGGGGGCGGCCCGCGGCCTGCTTGTTCGTTGTCCTCAGAGAGTCCCTTGGTGTGCTGCCGGTGAGGAGATAGATGGAAAACCACTGCTGCTTGTTGCTCACAACCGTCGACAGCAACCTCCAGATATCGACCTCAACCTGCGTGTCTTTCAGAGGTCCGCTCATCGAAGACATGACGCTGAGGAAGCTCTTCGCCGTTTCCGGGCCCAAGTGGCCCAGAAGAGAGGGCGGTTCGGCCTCCCCTCTGGCAGCACTCTTGACGAGAGCCTCAAGCAGCCTCATCACCGGCGACTTGAAAGTCTCGTGAGCGATGGACAAACGAGCCAACAATGGCGATGCCTTGAAAAGCTGCTTCTCAATGTGCGATGCAGGACGGTTCAGCAGTACTCCCGCCCGGAGGACGGTAGTCGCCCAAGCCACCGCCGCGGTAGTCTGAGACGTCCAAAGCTGGGTGAGTCGCGCAGGCGTGGACGACGGAGGTGGCTTTGTTCCGGAGTAGAAGATGTTCAAAAGAGCATGAGTCGGGATGTCGTGAGCCGTGACAGAATGGAAGACGTCCAGCAAGTATTCCGCCGTAGGAGCGAGCACACCGCAAAGCTTGTCCGAGGGCTTCTCCCCCTCGTCGTCGAAGCCGTAGACGGTGCGCAAGATGCTGTCGAAAATGGACGTGATTTTCGAGTTGAGTACCATTTTCTGCTCTACAAGATTGAATCGCCAGCTGGGACAGCTCTCAAAAACGCCGACAAATGTCTTTGCAAAGCTCAAAAGGACCTTGCTCATGATCTTTTCGGGCGAGCCACCTCCCATGGAGTTGGCAGCAGAAAAGCGTGCTACAGCCTTCGTGCCCAGCTTGTTAGAAACAGAGTGCTTGACAGAGTCCTCAGCCAAAGCCTCGAATAGTCTGACGCATCCAATGAGCAGATCGTAACGACCAGTGACCATTTCGGTGCCCGAAACGACGGCTATTAAACTGCCACCGATACCGTCAATATCGAGCAATCTACTCCGAGCGAAGAAAGGCCATATTCTGTTCGGCAGAACGGCCACCAAGGCGTGTATGAAGTAAAGGCAGTTCACGAGCAGACTTAACGAGCTTGCGTTGTTGGGACGCTCACGCAGTCTCTGTAGCTCCTGCTCGAAAATGTCGAAAACCAAGCTGACAATGTCCTGGTTGCGATTCAGTCCATCACTAGCATCCTCGAGGATTCTTTGAGCTCCGAAAGTGGGCTCCAAGTCATTGGCCTTTGCCACTCTCACAGAAGCCGTGACGAGCATCGCAAGCAGTCCAATAAACTCACTGGCATCGTCAATGCTCATCGTCTTCTGTTGCGCGGTTTCGACCAGGTCGCTGCCGGAAAGAATGCTCAAGAGAGAAACAGACAAGTATCGCAGAGCAGAGTGCTTATGCGACCATGCTACGACGTGAGGCTTGACATCAGGGTTGAGCACATATCCTATCGTGCCGGCAGGGATGATGTGTTCTTCGCTCGGCTCCGACTCATCGGCCAGAACCAACTCGTTGCCAATCGCTTGGCGAGGCGCCGGGCGTCTGGAGCCCTTCCGGCTTGAGAAAAGGCTGAGGTCCTCGAGAAGTTGTACGGAAAAGGCGTTCTCCTCTTCGCGAATCGTGGTGTAACCAGCGAACCTCGGGGGTAAGACTTGGGTGAACTGGGTCCTTGACAATAACTTTTGAGCTATGACCAAGTTGCCTTCTTCATCGGCCTGACTTCCGAAGCACACTGCCTTGTAAAATTGTAACAGAGGGAGCGTCTCATAGGGGAACCGTACTTCGGCCTGGCCAAGAATATTCGTCTCCGAGCCTTCGAGGAATGCTTTCATGACCGGATCTTCGGTCCTCCTCGAATCTTGTTCAGTAAAGTCCCAGTAGGTCTGTCCACCTTTCAGGACCGCGAGTGTGCCTAGGATGACCTCAGGACTATACTCAACCGCGAAGGAGCCATCACGGATTAGATTCAGCAGCCTCAAACGCATACTAGCTTCCAGGCGACAATCGAGGTCAATATTGACACTCTTCTCGCCGTAGCCGTACCCGAGCCTACCATCGAAGTTTGAAGTCAGAATTGATGAGAGCTCCGCTATCAGGTCGAAGATATGGGCGCCATCTACTGATGCGGTTGCCAAAAAAACAAAAGGATCCTCATCAAACTGGATATCCGAGATGGTGTCAACCACCTTTTCCGCCATTGATGGTTCACCAGAGACTAAAGCTGCTGGGTTATCCCGTGCTGCAACTATTCCGTTAAGGTTGTTCTTCGCAGCGAGTGCAATGATGGTCCAGGCGAAAACTGCTGGGCTTGCTGGGGATGGTCCTTGATTACCGGTTGCGATAAACAACTCGGTGAGCTTTCGAACGCATTCCTCATCGGTAATATACGTGGCTGAGGCAACATCTGCCTCGCCCAAAATGCGTGCAAGAACCGCGTCAAGATCGAGCAGAGTCAAGCAGACAATGGAAACAAGAACCTGAATGGAAGGTAGCAATTCTTGCTGGCTCAGGAAGGGCTGCAAATTTGTCAGTTTCGTTTTTTGAACAGCGCATAGATAGACACAACTTACCAGTTGGACACACTTGAAGAAGTCATAAGAAGCAGTCATGTCAAACCAGTCTATGAGAGTCTGTGCCTCCAAGGCCTCGGGCTTCGTGTCGGCTTGCGCAAAGATGATTTGAAGGAGAGATATAGCCTCCGTGAGTTGACAGTGTCCCCAAATCTCTTCCGCGTCAGAGTTGCCGCCTTCGGCCTGATACCAGCCACTACCCTCAGCAAGGGCCTGGAACCGCGCACGCAAGGCATCAAAGCTACTCTTGAAAGCTGCCGCCGTGCATTGTGCCTGGAAAACACTCTTTCCAAGCTCCGCAACCCAGGGCACCTTCGACGTTCCCTTGTCCCTCGTCTCGGCCGATGTTTCCGTCTTCAGCGCCGCGGAGCCAATGCGGACCAGCAAATCGCTTAGCTTCAGGATATGTGTCCGCTCCGAGAGGTAGGTATCCAGGATGCGCAGGCGCCGTTGCTCGGCAGACGCGAAAGCCGCAAAATTCTGCCCCAGGCCGTCCGTCGCCGCGGCGAGAATGGAGGAGTTCGGGAGGAAAGTCGAGGATCCCAGGTTCGCGCCACCTGCAGCCGATTGTACGCTAAGAGCCTCCTCTTCCGTGAATCCGCTCAGCAGCTGCGCGGCGGGCCGCGTCTGCCATTCCAAAAGCGCAATTCTCAGCGCAGACACCTCGTCGACCTTGGCCTCCTTCGACAGCCAAAGCGCATCTTCCTTGATCTGGCTGATGTCGTACTGGCCGTCCTCCGACGATGGCACGTTGATTGCGGCGGTTTTGGTCTCGAAGGCCGACTTGGACTGGGCGGACGGTGCCTGAAAAGGCTCGTACGGCTTGCTTAGAGTGGCGACATTGGTCTGATGGGTGAGGAAGCGCTCGAGGAATGCGCTCTCGCGGCCACGGTTCGAGCTAGAAAGCGCAATGAACGCGTCCTTCCATGACCTGCAGCAGGTTAGCGACAAGTGAATCATGCGAATGCAGCGCGGCGTGCTTACAGCAGTTGCTGCTCTCCGCTTAGACACTTGTCCAGAGGCGGGAAAAGAACGGAATCCGCGGATGGTGCAGCCATAGCGCGCTCATGTGCGCCGTTGAGTGGCTCCTTTAAATGTCCATACAGTGAGGTGACGCTCTGAGTTGCGATTGGAAAGCTCCGAGCTACGGCAGCTTGGAAAACAATCGCTGACCAATGAGCTGCCACCGCCTCTCCAGCCCGTGACCGACCATCAACCAACAAACATCATCCCTTCACCTTTATCATCATCCTTTGACGGGGTTCGTATCTTCGTGCTGAATTGCATATCAATGTTTCCCAGGACCGGCCGAGACCTAGTCGGCACGCTGCCGTCCTCCACACCATGCAACTATGGCAACGCCTAGCCCTGCAACAAACACCACACCACATGTATGCCTTGGGCATTCCAAGAAATGAATTGCATACTACTGCGAAAACGCCATGATAATACTGACAAACAGACATTCCTGCCTCCACATAAAGTTCTCTATGCGGTCGCAAATCAGCCACATTTAACCCGACCAGCACCTATCCCAAGAAACAGCAATCTCGTTGCTGATTGTCATTATAAAGCTCCGAAAAGTAGTTGCAAGAGCCAGTTTTCCTCATCCTTAACTCCTCATCCATAACTCCTCATCCATCATCCAGCCGCAAAACTACCCCTGCCATTGTAATAATAGATAGCACCGCATCATCCCTTAACCACAGCAACGCGTAACATCCTCCACATCATGGCCATGGCCATCCAGACCCCTATTAAACGCCGTCAGCACACCGCTTAACAGCCCGCATCCACGTCAATACAAGGAGACAACTCAGTACTCACAAGCCAAAGCTCTCCCAATCGAACGCGAACCGGCCCAGGAATGCGCCGATAAAGATGCAGATGATGATGTACCCGTTATAGTACATCGCCAGTAGCATAATGATGTACGCATCCGCGAACTGGAGCATGTACAGCAGAGCCCTAACCAGCTGCTGCACCAACGTCGGGCGGAAGCGAGGCGCCGCAGCCGCGGTCAAGGCGTTTTGGACATTAGCACGGATAGCGAAGTCCTGGGAAGCGATAGTAGGTTTTGCAGGGGACGTCTTGGTGTCTGCAGTAATAGGAGGGACATCACAAGAGGCTCTGGCGGGAGTGATGGCGTCGGCGCCAGTAGTCGTGCTGCGCGCGACGGCGGAGTTGGCGACCAGCTTGCCCTCCTCGGGGGTATTGATGCCGGTGGTCGGCCTGCTGCTGCCGCTGGAGGCGGCGTGGTAGGCGCGCTGGTGCTGCCGCACTAGGAACCGGTCGTATTCTTTTGAGGCGCGGCGCAGGAGCTCGAGTACCATGACTAGCAGGATCACGCCGATGCAGGTGCCCGCGAACTGCCCGCGCGTCTTGATGTGCCAGGTCTCGGTGAGGAAGCCTGCGAGGAGCGGTGCCAATTAGTCTCTGTTCGGGAGAGGTTGGAAGGGCTTCCTTAAAGGCTGTGGGCGGCAGTCTGGTGTCATCTTGACGGGAGGGAACCCAGTTTGCGGAATAAAACGTACAGGCGTCAATGGTGTTCCAGTTCCATGTCATCTGTCAGGTGGCTGGGTTAGCAGCAGTCTTTTTTTATGCAGTTTTAGTGCGGTAGCTTGATGTAACTCACTGAGATCTTGCACGCGCCCATGCTGCTGCCCATATCCATGTCCATGTGGTCCAGAGAGCCCATCGAACTCATTGAATCCATCGTACTGGTCGCTGAAGCCATAACGGTGTTGGTCGCAGTGCTTGCCATGGATTCCATAGGCATGGACATGCCAGACATGGTGGACATGGCGGTAGACATTGAGCTGAAGGATGTTGAGCTTGTCAGATTTTTGCGTCCGAACCGTGCAACCGGCCTGCCTAAAAGGATTGGGGGGCAAGGCGAATTATAAGTCATGCACTGGTGACTTCAGCTCAGTCTGACAGACACCTTGAAGCTTGGCGCGGCTGTTGCGGGGGTTTGAGCAAGTTACCCATTCGGGAAACCCGAAACGGTGACAGACAGAACTTTGATTTTGAAGCAAAGACGCGGCCGCTTGCATGTGCGTGCGTTATTTTTATACATTTACTGGCGAGAGAAGATCGAGCGAAATGGAAATTCTGCCAAGTGTGGGTGGATGATCAAACATTCAACTATGGTACAATAACATGGGATATCTAAACTAAACTTGCGCACTACTTGCTAGCGAAACGGTCTTGGCGGCGGGAGCTATGATCTTCGCGCACCAAACATGCTCACCTAAATTACTTTTGGATCTTCGTCGGTCGCTTCAATCCTCGCCTAGTGGCGCCCGGGACCGAATCTGTCCATCGGACCGTGTCCAGGTGGAGGTGGAGGTGGAGGATACTCGAAGTCATCCATCTCGCCGTGCCTAGGTGGCGGTGGAGGAGGAGGATGCCCAAAGCCATCCATAGGGCCGTGCCCTGGCGGAGGCGGAGGCGGCGGGTATTCGAAATCGTCCATCGCACCGTATCCCCCATTCATGGGTGGGGGAGGCGGTCCTCCAAAGCCACCCCAATAGGAATCCTCTCTCGAGCTAGGCAGCTTGCTCTGGCACTGCGGGTTCTCCCAGTCCTGGGTGCGTCCCACCGGCCAGATGGGGATAAAACACACTTGGTTGATACCGCAGCCTTGGCACTTTTTCCAAGTCGTCCACTGCAGATAGCTCACGAGCTCCCTAATCTCTGTTTGCGCAGCGGCGAGGTCAGAGGCGGCGGAAGCGCTGGTCAAAGCCTTGCAGATGCTGTGAGCGACGTTGTGGGCGGTGCGAGCGGCGAGTGAGACGCCTGTGTAGGCGGGCGTGAACTGCGTGGAGCAGCGAAGGGCTTCAGCAGTGGCGTCGCGCGCACTGTAGTCGATGAAAGGGCGGAACAGCGCTTCGACCTCGGCTTGGAACGTCTTGAAAGAGTCGACAGATTCGGAGCTGAGGTACTCCAGACGGCCGCTATAGCGCATAACGATCTCGTCCACGATAGCCTGCCAGTCCCGTGCCGGAAGGCCGGCTTGGTCGCGAACGTGGGGGAATTGACCGGAAAACACCATCCGCGTAACGTCGTCGCGGATGCGGGAGATGGTTGTGTTGGATGCATTTTGCAAACGAGGGTGTTCATCGCTCTTAAACAAGTCGATGTCGTATGCGAAGGCTGTCACGAAGTCCTCGTAGTTGACCTGTGCGCGTCCACCTCCAATGCCATCGAACCGGGAGGCGACAGCGCGGTAGTAAGAAATGTCCACGAAGGAACCAGGGTCCATCCTGCCGGCAGATGTCTGCGTCATACGTTCAAGGTGAAGATGCTTCTCGAAGTCGCAGAGAATGATCTCGAACCCCATCTCCATGCGCAGGAAGCCATCTACACGGCCACCCCATTCTTCGTTGGCAAGTTTGCAAAGGCCCTCGGCACGTTCGTAATCCCACATCCTACGGTTGTGCTCGTCGGGGTTCACATTGAGCAAGACAGCATCCGTGGAATCAAGAGTACCTTTTTGAGTCTTGCCTGCAGACATGCCGTCGATATAGAGGAGAGAGAGTGAGTGCGTGGTCCTGTAGGTGTGGAGGTAACCTGCGGAGTTGGAGTCTGCTTTTCTGAGCTTTCGTTTATGCATAGGTTCTTGGCTGTCGCTGTCTTTGGGATGATTCCTGTCTGATGGATGGTAATCAAGTTTCGGGCGAGCATGGTGGCCTCTGCCGTCTGGTGGAGGCCCATGTCCATATCCTGGGGGCCCTTCCCCATGGGGACGTCGTCCAGGAGGACCCCTGCCGGGAGGACCCCTTCCTGGGCCCTTTCCAGGTGGATGCTTTGGATGAGGTCGAGCGAACACCAGAGCATGCTCCGGCTCGAACGCTAGCCATTCCATTCCCGTGACGGACTTGTTGGAAGAAGTACCGTGGTAGAATTGAGCACCTTCAGGCACCGAGGCCAAGAAGAAGGACATGCCGTTGTGGTCCAAGGAAGAGCCCCATTGCCTCAGAGAAGAATGGAGTGCGTTGAATATGTGGTTGGCATTATCGTCGGCGATCGAGGAATTGCTAAAGTCGGCTTTGGACAAGGTCGTCTCCAGTTGGCCCGTACAGACGGATAGGCCCGAGGCCAGGACAAAAAGCAAACGAAACATCATGAACAAACCATGTGCTGCAAGGGTGAGCGAGCAATCAGGAAGCAGCAAGGTCTTTTAAAGGCAACAGAGGGAGACGTAAGAGAAGAATATAAAGAGAAACATCTCGCCATTGCACTCTAAGCTAGGACTAGGGATTGATCCTTTCGCGCGGCTCTGGGGAGACAACCATTGGTCTTGTATCACCACGCTTATCGGCCGTACTCTCGAAGATGAGTGGCCGCGTCAGCAGCACTGCTGGCACCAGACGACGGCAGGCAGGGCCGATGACGGAGTGCCCGTAGTATAGAGGGCATGGCTATGCAACAACTCAGGTAGCTCCGTGGCACGGAGTCAAGGGTGCGAGGGAAAGCGAGCGAGTGAAGGATGGCCGTGCGAGTGGGCAGGACAGGGTTTGGGAAGAAGAAGCGGGTCGTGGGTCGTGGGTCGTTCGGGATGATGGCAGGTCACGTGCCTGGCCCGGGCGGTCTGTAGATTCGCGAGGAGGACGCGCTCCACGTCTTCCCAGTCTGAATTGCACCACCGCGTCGCAAGTGAACATGCCGCAAGACAACTCCGGCAGGATCTACTCGGCCACATACAGCAATGTAAGCCCCGGCTCCGCCCTTGAAGCCCGCCCCTGCGCCCAACCCCGAGCCCCTCCGTCCTGCAGCCGCCGCCCTAGCTGAGCTGACCATGATGCGACGCCTGCCAGGTGCCTGTCTACGAGTACAACGTCGATGGCAACCATGTCATGCGCAGGCGCGCCGACGACTGGATCAATGCGACGCACATCCTAAAGGTCGCCGACTTCGACAAGCCCGCCCGTACGCGCATCCTCGAGCGCGAGGTCCAGAAGGGTGTGCACGAGAAGGTCCAGGGCGGTTATGGCAAATACCAAGGTCAGCATGGGCCAAACTTGTGTCGCAGACTGCGTCGCTGAAGGCCGCCTTTCCCAGGGACTTGGATACCTCTACATGACGGTCGCGTACTAGCTGAGCGCAACGGTGTGCTCGACAAACTGCGCCTCATCTTCGACTATGTGCCTGGAGACAGAAGCCCCCCTCCTGCGCCAAAACATGCCACTGCCGCCTCGTCGAGGCCAAAAGGCTCCCGTCAAAGTGCTGCGCGGAGGGTGACTGGTGAGTGGACACCTGGAATGCTCTCCTGCCAATGCCCTTCCTGTGATGCGGTTGACTACGTCGCGTCAAGAGTCATCGTCCCCATCCCACGTAGCATCTGGCTTTGAAGACCTGTCAAGTCCATGAGAGCCGCCAGCTTCTAAAAAATCGACTCACCGAGATGGATCGCGCAGCTTGCTAACACTTACTCCAGCACTCCAAGCACCCAGTCAATTGAGCGAAATCTACGATGATGCTGCCAGCGCCCGGTACATTGGTGAAGGAACTCCCGACAACGTGACGATCATATCCGAACCCCTGATGGACGATGACTTTCCGTACTCGCAAAGTGGGCGGAAGCGCAAACGGGATGAGGATCAATTATCGATCCAGGACCGCCAACACCAGCTTTGGGCAGATGCTCTGTTAGACTACTTCATGCTGCTGGAGTCTGAAGACCGCTTCCCAGCACCGCCTGAGCCGCCAGCAAACGTTAACCTTGATCGCATGATAGACGAAAAAGGCCACTCGGCTATGCATTGGGCGGCGGCAATGGGCGACGTGGATGTAGTGAAAGATCTGATCCGACGAGGGGCTCGTATCGACTCACTGTCGAATAATCTTGAGACGCCACTCATGCGCGCCGTCATGTTCACAAATAACTACGACAAGAACACCATGCCCGCTATGATTAAGATTCTGCAGCCCACAGTTGTGCGTACCGACTGGTTCGGCAGCACGGTTTTTCATCACATCGCCGCAACTACCAGCAGCAAGAACAAGTACGTCTGTGCACGATACTACTTGGATTGCATCATCAACAAACTCTCCGAAACCTGGATCCCAGAGGAGGTCACAAGGCTGCTAAATGCCCAGGACAAGAATGGCGATACGGCCATCATGATTGCCGCCCGCAATGGCGCTCGCAAATGCGTGCGTTCCCTTCTTGGCCGCAACGTCGCCGTCGACATCCCCAACGCGCAAGGCGAGACAGCGGACGACCTAATTCGCGAACTCAATGCAAGGCGCCGAGACGGACGGCATCGAGGCGCCTCCAGCTCGCCTTTTGCACCAGACGGCCGCATCGGTCTAAACGGAACCACGACCTTCGGCAGCCTGCGCAACGGCCTAAGCGGGATACCCGAAGTCGAGCGACCCACGCAACACCAATACCGCAGCCAAACCGCCCAAACACTCATGTCGAAAATCGCGCCCACGCTGCTCGAGAAATGCGAGAACCTCGCCTCGGCGTACGAGGCCGAGCTGGAGGAAAAAGAAGCAGAGGCCGCGGACGCTGAGCGGGTGGTAAGGAAACGGCAGGCCGAGGTCGAGGCGGTGCGCAAACAACTGCGCGAGATTGGCGTCAATGCAGACGATATAGCACTGAGCGGAGGCGGGGAAGGGCTGCTGGGGGGCGACAAGGACGCTGAAGCAGATGAGGAAGACAGGCGGCAGGAGGCAGAGCTCGAAGCCGTGATCAAAGAGGCCCAGGCGCTCGTGGAAATGGAGCAGACGGCAGAGCTACGGCGCCTAATCGCGGGCGAGGAGTCGCAGTACTCGCAGTCGCAATCGCAGTCGCAATCGCAGTCGCAGCCACAATCGCAACCCGATGGCGCCACGGGCAACAGCACAATGGGCGCCAACGGCGCCGCCAACAGCGACGCAGGCAATGAAGAAGTCACGCTCCGCGAGAAGCTCGCCCTGGCCCAAGCGCTGCGCGACGCGCAAGCCGCGCGCCAAGCCCTCGTGCGCGAAGTCGTGGCCAACCTCGCGGTCGCGGGCGTGGGCGAGCGCCAGACAGACTACAAACGTCTCATCACGGGGGCGCTGGGCGTGCGCGAAGAGGACGTCGAGGGCATGCTGCCTGAGATATTGGGGGAGCTGGAGGAGGCGCGCGAGCGCGAGGCGCTGGAGGCCGGGAGCCCGGGGGCTTGAGGCTGGGTGTGTGTTTGGGGAGGGAGAGGGGGAGGGGGTTGTATGTATGGATGAGGTTGTTGTTGTTGTTGTTGGGGTTAGGCTAAGGGCGCATTGCTTGGCGTTTTTTGGGCGGTATAGGGGTCAGGGTCGGACGGTACTACGGCCTATCTAGGTTGAGGCAGGGTTCTGGATTGCTTGCTTCTCTTCACTTTGCTTCTCTGCCACCTGTCATCTCTTTTCGGTCTCGGCTTATGGACAAAGACGGAGTCGAAGACGGAGTCGAAGACGAACACGAGCACGAGCGGGGACTCGATCGATCGAGGCAGCGGCGGGCACGGGAAAGCAGAGCTGAAAAGCGACATAAAGCTACAGCTAAAGCTACAGCGGCGGGGGCGAGGGCGTTCGAGGGAAGGCTACCGATATCCCATCCATTCCATTCGAGCCTTGGTTGCGTTCACTTTGTTGCAGGCATTCTATCTAGATATCTCTTCGACGCCGCCCTTGTGCGTGCGTACTCTGCTTCTTTTCGGAAGATGCTGGCTGATGGCTTTTTCATTCAGTGGCTATGATATGGTATGGGGCGTGGATCGCTTCAATTTTTTTTTTTTTTTTTTTTTTTTTTTTCGTGGGTTGGCGCTGCTTGCTTGCTTGCTTTGTGGCTTGCGTGCGTGCTTGCTTGCTTGACGTTTCTAAGTGCCGCTACATGGTGGACCTTACTTAGGTAGGTAGGTGAGTTTTTGTTTCTTTTCGTCGTTATGTCGTCACCTCCTTTGCATGTTAGGTACCCTCCCTGTTTGCCTTGCCTGCCCGCCTGTTTGGTTCCCTTTCCAGGCATATCGCTTGCTCGGCCGCAAACACTGAACTCCATCAACGCCGGCACCACCGCCCAGACTGTACGCCTTGATCCAGATACCCGAGAGAAAGAGAGTAAATGGGAGAGGAAAAGAAGGAAAGGAGATAAAAAGCAGATAACCCGGAACGCCGCCCCTTTCCTAGCCATTGTTAATCATCCGGAACGCCTTTATCGCTACCACCACCACCACCACCATCATTACCATCGCTACCACCGTCGCTGCCGGTCGTGCAGTGCAGCTGCTGGAACGGGAATCGAAGCGGTTGATATGGTGTTTTTGTTCGTCTAAGCGTTTGGTCGTTTGGTCGTTCAGCTTTCAGTCTTGAGTCGTTCACTTCGCCCCCAAAGACAAGAAAGCCGGCTCGCCCAGAGGCGCCCCAGCCCCAGCCCCAGCCCCAGCAGCGGCACCAGCAGCGGCACCGGCACCCTCAACAGGCTCCAAGAGCGGGCGCAGCAGGCCCCGCGGACGGCCCTGCGCAGGCGGGGTATACAGGAACGGCCTGTCGGCGAGCTTGACAGGGGCAGCAGCAGCGCCAGAGCCAGAGCCAGAGGCAGCGGCAACCTCCACATCCGCGCCCTTCTTCGTGCGCTTCGCTTTCTTCTTCTTCTTCTTCTTCTTCTTCTTCTTCTTCTTCGAGCCCCCCTCGGCCTCAGAGTCGCTGTCAGCAGCAGCGCGCTTGCGCGTCCCCCCCTCTCTCCCCGCCGCCTCACGAGCGACGCATTCGCGGGCCTCGTCGGCGATCCTCTCGCAGCGCTCACGGCGCTCCAAGCGCTCCCTCAGCGCCTCGGAACCCAGCAGGCGATCTTCCCACGGCACGCGCGTCAAGCGCTCAAACTCAGCGCGGAAGAGCGCGAACGCATCCACGAACGCAGACCCCACGGGCGCCAGCACCGTTGCCGTCTCCCGCCCGCTGCGCGCCACGAAGCGCGTGTGCACGGCGTACGTGTGCGGCGCCGTGTGCGTCTCGTATAGCGCGAGGACGTGCCGTTCGGAGGTATTGGTCGCGACGCACACGCGTGTGAGCGCGATGCGGTACGCGAAGCCTGTGCTGTCTGTATATGTGGTGAAGGTCTAGCTCCGCGGGCTTGTTAGCCTGTTTTTTTGCGGCGCGTTTGGGCGGCTGCTTGGCTGGCGCGGCTGCTCCGCCTGCGACTGCTCCCGTGCCCCTGCCCGCTGCTGCGGCTTTCGCAGCGTCCCGCGCCTTGCGCTGCGCGCGGATCATGACCAGCGCCTCGGACGCTGTCTTCGGCGCCTTCGTCGGCGTGCTGGACGCAGTGGCCGAGCCCGAGGTGCCGGCGTCGACGCCGTCATTGCCGTCGGCTGGCTTGCTAGGCGTGGAGGGCGCGGTGCTGCCGGCGGCGGCAGGGGAGGAGACACTGGAGCCGGGGCCGCCGCCGTCGCTGCTGCTGCGCTGGGCCGCGGGCTTGAGTGGAGTAGAGCTCGGCAGGGACGTACCGCTGTCAAGATCGTCCTTGGCGGACTGGCATCCATCCTCAAAGTCACGCACTGCAGGCCCACAGAACGAGGGCAAGTCGTCAGCACACGCTCAGAAGTCGATGCGGCTTTGCCAAGGCTCGACGCCAGCGACGTACCGTCACGCTCCACCAGCTTCGTCTCCGCGCGCTTGGCGGCCTTTTTCCGCTGCTGCCGCTGCTTCTTGGCTTTGGGCGCGGCGGCGCTGTTGGCCCAGAGGTACGGCTTCTCCTTGCAGCGCGTCCGCTTGGTCAGCGTGTCCTCGAGCCAGTCGAAGTTGACAATGTGCACTGTCGGCTGCGCGAGGGCGTCTTTGACTATAAGACAAGATTGGTTTATGTCAGTGCAGACTGCAGACGTGTCGACTCTAGCGACTAATAGGGCTTTGCATATGCACGGAACCGGGAAGAAGATAGGTGCAGAGCCAGCAGTAGAGGTGAAGAGACAGTGCACGCATATCAGGCTTGCTTACCTAGAGGCGCTTGCTTGTTCCAGTGGTCCTTGGTGGCAATCAGGTGCGTCGTCTGCGCCGTGACGGTCGTCGCCCACGTCCCGCCGTTGCTCTCGGTCCAGCGCTTGAAGTCTTCTTGCGAGCGGCCATGGCCAAAGTGGCCGCTGGCAGCGATGACGAGGCCTTGGAAGGGGTTTTTCATCGTGATGGGTGTGTAGGTAGCTTTAATGCTAACTTTAGAGACTGTTGAACAGCGTGGGACCCCGGATGGTTGTTTGAATTGAAGTGTGAGAGTGAGGTTCAGATGATACTGTGAGGGTTGGCCGTCTTTGCTCGTTGGGATATCAGAGCTACAGTGAGATTGGGTGAAGTGACGCGCAGTCGAGGAGCGGGCGAAGCGAAGTTCTTAACTTCTTGAAAGTTGAATGATCGAAGCCAAAGCAAGCAAGCTTGGCCGTCAGTGTGAGCTCAAGAGGATTACGGAGGTGGAGTGGTGGTGGGAGGAAAGAAGAGACTGAGGTTAGATAGATCTTTATATACTGCGGTTCGACGCTTGGGTAATTGGCGGTCAGGCCGTGAGTTGGTTGAGGCAAGAGCCCATCAAGTCGAGAGGGACTGGGTAAATACCTAGAGAAGAGAAGGTTGTCACCGCCGTTCGAGGTGTGACAAGCAAAGTCCAAGTAAGTCTGATATTCGCCAGACCAGAGTAGGTACTGAAGCAAATGGGGATATACCTAGAATCTCTAAAACCCAACAGAGCAGAGATCGCGCCCAGAAGAAGCAGAGACCGCTTTAACAACCCCTAAGCACTTTTCGCCGCCTCAACAAACGCCCTAATCTTATCCAAATCCTGCTTCCCATCCACCTCAACACCGCTACTAACATCAACACCAGCGACCCTCTCGCCCAGCTCTCCAAGCTCCCTAATCGCATCGGCGACGTTCTCCGGCCCCAGACCACCAGCCAGCAAGACGCGCAAGCTCGGATCGCGCTGCAGCGTCTCCTTGACCTCACTTAGGTCGAGCTTCTGGCCGGAGCCACCGGCGCCCGAGTCCAGCAGCGAGATAGCGTGGTAGTTGCGGCGGGTGAGGCCAGCCTCGGTGGGCTTGAACGCGTGGATGACCGGCACCGGGATCTGCGAGGCCCATTCGACAGGCTCGGAGCCGTGCAGCTGCACGATGTCGAGGTTGAGCGCCTTCTGCTGCGCGAGGATGTAGTCGAGGGGCTGGTTGCGGAACACGCCGACGAGCAGCGCGCGCGAAGGGTGCGAGAGGTGGTGCTGCGGCGTGTGGGCGAAGAATTCTGACGCGGCGTTGGGGATGCTGCTCGAGGTTGGGGCGGCGTCCTTCCTGCGTGCCTTGGGCGTGCTGTGGACCACTTGCGAGATCTCAAGGCCAGTCTCGTTCGAGACGCAGCGCGTGCGGCCCTCGACAAGAATGATGCCAATCAGGTCGGCACCCGCTTCGATGGCCGCCTTAGCAGCTTCCGCTGAGCGAGTACCGCAGATCTTGACCAGAGGTGCCGCGCGCGGCTTGGTTTGCACAGTGCTTTGTGAACCGCCGAGGAGCTGCGCAATAAACTCCGCAGTGTTCTGAGCCCTCATGAGAGCCTCACCCACAAGAACAGCGCCGACGCCATTCTTCTCGTACGGCTCCACATCCTTCGGTCCAGAGATACCGCTGAGCGCGCACACAATGGTCTCCTTGGGGACAATGTCCATCAGACGACTCGTCGTCTCCAAATCGACCTCAAAGTTGGCCAGGTTACGGTTGTTGACACCAACGACCTTAGATCCAAGCTTGACTGCAATTTGCATCTCCTCCACATTGTTGACCTCAACCAACGGCTCCATGCCAAGGGACTGAGAGTAGAGGTACAGCCTCTTAAGAGTCGCCTCGTCAAGCATCTTGACGATCAGCAGAACAGTGTCCGCTCCGGCCAACCTAGCCTCAAGAATCTGATACTCCTCGAACACAAATTCCTTCCGAAGGATAGCGGGGCGGTTGGGCATGCCCTCGAGAGCTTGACGAACGTATTTCAGATCGTCAATGCTTCCCTTGAACCATTCGGGCTCAGTGAGCACAGAAATGACGCTGGCACCCGCAAGAGCATACGTCCGCGCCTGAGCGGGCGCACAGGTGGACAGTGAAATGATGCCCTTCGAGGGAGATGCCCGCTTAATCTCAGCCATCAGCGACAACCGGTACGGGGACTGCTTCAGACGATCCGGGAAAGAGATCTGAGGAGGAGCAATGCCGAGGTCGAAAGCAGCCTGGAGGTCAACCGGCCTCTGCGAAGGAATTTCCTTTTGCGCCGCAACAGCCGCGCGGCGGTGGTCGTAGATCTTCTCCAAAATCGAAGTCTTCTTGTCCGGGACAATGGCGCCGTTGGTAGCCTCTGAAGCGGCAGCATCCTTCTTTGAGAGCTTCTCGTTCTCGGCCCAAGTTCCACCCTGCATCTTCAGGAAGTTCTTGATCATCAACCGTCCCTCAGCGGTCAGGATACTCTCCGGGTGGAACTGAACACCCTCAATCAAGTATTCCCTGTGCCTCACGCCCATGATTATGCCCTTTCCGCCGTCGGGTCCAGCCGCGATCCAGGAAGAAACCTCCAAGCACTCGGGAAGCGTCGGGTGCGTGCCAGCCAACGAGTGGTACCTGGTGACGGGAACATCCTGAGGCACGTTCGCGTACACGCCCTTGCCGTCATGGCGCAGCGGCGAAGTTTTGCCATGCAAAATCTCTCCGGTAACATCGACGCGACCTCCGAAAACAGAGTAGATGCACTGCCTGGGAGGAGCATCCGTTAGTACCGGTACAAGCGCAAATCCAAGGGTGCGGACAGACTCACTCTCCCATGCAGACGCCGAGTACGGGCACCTTGCCGGCAAAGTGCTTGATAGCCTCCCTGCTCACGCCGGAGTCCGACTCTGGGTGTCCGGGGCCAGGGCTAACGACCAGCTGGGTAGGGTTCTTCGCGATGAGCTCGTCGAGGGTGACCTCGTCATTGCGGAAGACGGTGACATTGGCGCCCTCGAGAACCAGGTACTGGTAGACGTTCCAGGTGAAGGAGTCGTAGTTGTCTATGAGGATAAGGTTCGAGGCGGTCGCTAAGGCCGGCGCGGCGGCGGGGTGGTGCGGGGAGTGGTCGATCAAGTCCAGTGCAGACATTGTGCCGGTGGGTGCAATGTCCTGGCTTGCAATTGGGGAGGAGGAGTAGGTGACGGCCTTTCGGAGAGAGTGGAGAGGCACAAAGCGTTGCTCCTGGTGGTGAAAGCGCGCTTCCCTTGAGTCAGAGGTGCGCGGGAGCTCCCCGCGGCCACTTTTTGTCTGACGTCGGATCATTCATTCCGAGTTGTCTCCGGGTATTCCCCCTGCACCACCTACTACTACAAGCTACAGGGGTAAGTGTTTATATATATATATTTATGATTTTTACTCTGTAGAAACGAAGCTACGTTAAGTCGCTCTTGAATTTAAATATTGAAGATATTGCATCTATGCCCAAATGCTCTCTTCAAGTAAATCAGAACGCTTCCTATAAATTACTTCTTTAAATAGACCTACAAAGTAGAGTTTGCGCTCGTAGTTAGAAGTATAGCTCATGGAACCATGTATATTGTGACAATATCTCCTCCTTCGATAATAACACAAGCTTCATTACAATTGTATCCGCAACAATGAGTCACTGCATGCTCAACATGGACATGAATGGATGTATGTATTAGCTAACGCTTTCTTCCTTGGCCAAGTAATGACCACTACCTATACTTCCAGAGAGTGATACCAACGCAGCCTCTAGACTGCCAGAGAATAATGGGAATGCAGCCTGTATGCTGCCAGAGAATGATGTGAGCGCATCCATTTACCCAGCAAGCCTGCTCTCGTCTTTCCGTATTCTTAGTCTGTAATATGATGGAACGGATGTTCAATCTCGCTCAGTTCTTTCTTTGTCTTTTGCGTGTCAGGGTGGTCGTCGCCCTGGTACATCTGCTGGGCCTCCAACAAATGCTGCAAGTGGAGTTCGTCGCCATGGCCCTCCTTAAAACTTAGGAAATAACTGCCAGGGAGTATTTGTTAGTATACACCATTCCTCTCAGAGCATAACCAAGGCCTCTCCGAGAAGCGAGAGGGAAATGAACTGCGGAAGAGGAAGAAGTACTCACATAATCCCAAGCGTCTTCCCCTCTAACCTCTCATACTCCACCAAATCCACTGCCTCCTCCAACAGCCTCTTTTGGTCCAAGGTCGGCTCTGTTATATCCTCGTCTTCCTTGCTCATTGCCTTCCAGTGCATAAAGCTCTGCATAATGTCATAAATCTTTTGCCTCCGCTCATCACTCAACATCCACAAGCGAGCATCCGCCGTACACACATCGCAGTCGCACTCGAAGCCATACGGCTCAAGCGCATCCCGCCGCGCCGCACGACTTTCCAGCACCGGTACATATGTAAGTGTAATCTCATCACCAGCACTAATTTTCCTCACTGTATGCACTGTGAGTTTCTTTAGAGCTGGATTCCAGGTGTAATCCGCGTTGGGGGTGCAGGAGTGATTGAAGCGCGAGGCTTCGTTGCAAACACCGTCGAGTGTTCCGTCGAGGCCGAAGATGTTGGTGCGGCCAATGGCGATGATCTTGCTCTGCTCGTCACGGCTGAGGGGCGCGAAGGGCGAAACGGGTCGCTCTGAGCTTGCTTTCGCTTCCGTAGACCAATGGTCGTCGTTAACTGAGGGCAGCATACTAATGAATTCTTTGGCCTCTGACAGTCTCTTGGGCGAGGCGGCTAACTTCCAGAATGCTCCCTGCTGCTCAGCGTTGAGCTTCAGGAACTCCGTTAATATGGCTGTGCGGAATCCTTCTGGAGACCTGACGCCTTGTGCTGTTACAATAATGAGAGGTGCTTCGGCGAGAAGTCGGGTGCCTCTTTCCAGGTTGCGGACGGCGAAGATGCCGAGGCCTTTGCCTTGGGATGGGCGGATCTCGAAGAGTTTTGGAGTTGGAGCTGTCTGCTCTTGAGGATCTAACGTGAGAAAATGGTTGTCAGCTTGCTTCTACCCGCGAGGCCGCTGAACGTACCGTTATTCCCCGTGGTGGGCGCCGATGTATCCATGCCAACGATGGTTTGACTATCAGAAGTCATGGAGAGATACACTCTATGTAATGAAACCCGTATGTGATAGAGTGGTAAGAACGAGAGGTATTTTACGAAGTGCTCGAAAGTAGTGACAATAGTGACAATAGCAAACAATTGAGATGTGGTATGGATGCTTTCACTGATAGTTGGAGTTGTGAAGCTCTTTCACGACAACGACGCCAAACAAATAAGCAGCAAGTGCGAAGCTCGACTTCCCTTTTGAGGCCATGGTAGCTTCCTATGTTATTAGCGTAACTGAACATTGGCCGCTTCCTTTTCTTTTTGGAGACTTTGATATCTTCGATAGGTCTACCGCAGTTGCTCTTCTATTGGTCTATGTTCGATTCTCTCCCAGGAGTCACTTCTATACATCCCAGTAAACGCCAAGGAAGATAAACACTTACTAGCTTTAAACTTATTTCAACACTCATTCGTAAGCTCAGATATTCTTTAGATAGTCAATCGTTCTTTATTACTTGGTAGATGTATCTACAAAACATCAATGTTTTGGTGTCACGTTCACATTTCCTAAATAATATCAACTTGGAAAATATAATGACAGATGCTTTCTTCGGGCAAACCATACCTTCTTCCTATAATGAGGTTTATATCGAGCAAGCTTCCCATTTTGCCAGTCCAACCATGGCCAACATGACAACCGCAACTAATCAAGCCTGGTATACACTATTTGAGTTGATTAGCAACTCCCGTTTGCACACTTTTACCGTTATAGAGAAGCAACGTTATAAACAATCAACGCTTCAAGGGGATCGGACTGTAGCACATCTATGTTCGACAAATCGTTCATTTCATATTTACGACACACCCCGTTTTTGACTTCCAACCGCCCAGGGGTACTTCCGTTCTCATAAGGCATCACATATGCGCCGACTCCTGCGCCAACTCCTGCACCAACTCCTGCACCAACTCCTGACCTCACAATCGACTTTTCAACCCGCAACCGATTCATGCCTGACGCATGTCAACGACGCAGCGAATGCAGTCGCCGGCGCGCATGTCGGCGAAGGCCTGGTTGACCCTGTCTAGGTTCTGGCGGTGGGTGATGAACTCGTCGACCTTGAGCTTGCCGGTCATGTAGTCGTCGACCAACTCGGGGAGCTGAGTGCGGCCCTTGACACCGCCGAAAGCGCAACCCTTCCAGACACGGCCGGTGACGAGCTGGAATGCTATTGTCACGGTTAGTAAATTGTTTCGGGGCTAGTCATGGGCCAACTTACGCCTCGTCGAGATCTCCTGGCCAGCGGCGGCGACACCGATGATGATGCTCTCGCCCCAGCCCTTGTGGCAAGCCTCGAGCGCGCTCCTCATGACGTGGACGTTACCCGTGCAGTCGAAAGTGTAGTCGCAGCCACCGTCCGTCATCTCAATCAGCTTCTCCTGGATGCTGGTGCCCTCAGGCAGCTTCATGGGGTTGACGAAGTCGGTGGCGCCGAATTTCTTCGACCAGGACTCCTTGCTGTCGTTGACATCAACGACGATGATCTTGCTAGCACCGTTCTTCACCGCACCCTGGATGACAGACAGACCGACGCAGCCAGCACCGAAGACGGCAATGTTGGAACCCTTCTCGACACCGTTCTTGCCGGCAGTGATAACGGCCGCACCGTAACCGGTGGTGATACCGCAGCCGAGCAAGCAAGTGCGGTCCATGGGAGCCTTCTCGGTGATGGCAACGACGGAAATGTCGGCAACGACGGTATACTGGGAGAAGGTGGAAGTGCCCATGAAGTGCAACAGGTCCTTGCCCTTGCACTTGAAGCGAGAGGTGCCGTCGGGCATGACACCCTTGCCCTGGGTTGCGCGAATCTTGCCGCAGAGGTTGGTCTTGCCAGACTTGCAGAACTTGCACTCACGGCATTCGGGGGTGCTGCTCCATGTTAGCCTCAAATCCATGTCTCCAGCCGCCAGCACGTCACTAGGGCAGACTCACTAGAGAGCAACAACGTTGTCACCGGGCTTCACATTGGTGACGCCCTCGCCAACAGACTCGACAATACCCGCACCCTCGTGACCCAGCACGATAGGGAAGGCACCCTCGGGGTCCTTACCGGACAGGGTGTACGCATCTAGAAGGCCGATCTCAGCAAACCTGCGCCCCAAAACCAATCCGGCAGCGTGTGTGTATCCTTACCCGTGTGGCAGACACCGGTGTAGTGAATCTGGATGCGGACCTCGTGGGCCTTGGGCGGGGCGACCTCAATGTCCTCAATGGACAGGTCCTTGCCGGCTTCCCAGGCAACGGCAGCCTGCGGGGATGGTCAATGGGCGAGAGCGAGAGAGCGCAGGGCGGGGTTTTCTCGAACCTTGCAGGTGATGGTCTGCGTGGAGAGGGGTAGGTTAGCAACGAGCGCGTTTGGGGCATGGGGGATGGGGGAGCTTACCTTTCCAACGGTGTCGGCGGACATGGTGAGGGATGGGTTTGCGGGGCTCTGGGTATAAAGGTGGGGGGAAGAGAACGGGCAGACTCAAAAGGCAGAGAGAAATGTAAGACGGCGACAGTCGCGGGCAGCGGCGGGATATAAAGACGTCTGCGAAACGCGCAGACCATGTGGGGGAAGTTCGGAACCGGCAAACCATCGTCGGTTGCCATCATCAGCTATCAACAATCTTCCAATGACAAGCCCTAACGACTCACGACCAGGGTCCAGCTGCGCAGAACCACGGCTTTCGGCGCGCCGGACTGGCTGTTCAGGACGCGCGAACCGCGAACCCCACCTCGGCCATGCGCCTGGCTTCCCTTGTTGGGCGTCTACTCGCAATCCTCCTCCCGCCGGCATTTCAGGCAGGGCGCTCGTCATACTCTAGCCCACGGCGGGGTATAGCGGGGTCACTGCTTTTAGTGTGGCAGCTCAGCCCGCTTGCCGAGCGTCGGAATGCTTTACCCCTTCTAGACACCGGCCTCGGACCCGTTAAGGGAATGATTACTCTCTTGGTTTGTAATTTGCTGCGAGAGCAATGGCAACAACCGGCGATTGCATCGGCTTCCGTGGTCGCCGTCAGCGCTGCTACAGTATAAATGATGAGCCCCAGAGACATTCGGCATGGACCATCTTGCAAAAATAACTACTGTCAATCCTGAATCCATCCTGGGAGGTCAATCATGTTGTAATGCCCCCTCCTTATCCTAGCTCGGTGATTCCCCTCGGGCGTGCCGAGATTAGTTAGAAGGCCTGGCTTGCGCGGGTTAGATCTGCCGCCGCTGTAGTCTAGAAACCGGGGCAACCGCAAGGAAGACCGCAGTAACTACAATAGAATGTTCAATGATAAGTATTTAGCTATCTGCCGCTGGAATATGTGTAATTGGTTTCCGTTCCCAAATTCTTTCTGCTATCTGCAGGTACTTTCTGTCCCGATCTACCTACACGGCCGTAACTGCAGCTCGCAGCTTTGACATCACCGTTAATGATCCCCATGCTCAAACACAATCCAATCTCTCAGTCGCCTGGTAATTAATGTCTAAGAAAACGCCAGCCGTAAACTCCGCGAGCAAGTCCTAAACGCCATAGCTATGCCAAGAACCCTTGCACCTTATTTTCATCATGAAGTAGGAGGCTCTTCCGCGATAGCCGTCTGGTCCCTTACAGGAGATCGTTCGAGAACCCCGGGCGAAGGCGTCAATGGGGCTGACTTCCGCTTCTCCCTGTCGAACCTCGGTCTGCGATCCCAGCTGGCGCTTCTTCTTGCCAGCGCCTTAAAGCCTTCGCTCCTCCTCCGGCCCTCTTTCCGCTCCTTCAGGCCCAGCACCCGGCTCAGCTCTTCAATCTCCGCGTGGTCCCTCGTGTTCTTCATCCGGTGCGTCCAGGTCGGTTGCCCGTCCTCGAACATGAACTCGCCACCGACCTGCTTGATGTCGCCACCTTGTACCGCGCCGCGTCCGCTCTTGACGCCTTGGATGATGCTGTGCACCGTCGTCGAGACTATATTTGTTTTGATGTAGTCAGGCCTCTTCGCGCCCAGGGAGAGAGTGCGCGCCATGCCGAGATATGTGTAGAGCTTCGTGGTCGGGTCGGCGAAGATTGGGAAGGGGCAGTTGGTTGCGGCAGTGTACATTGGGATCAGCTCTGGTCTGCCACAGCCGATGATCGAGAGTGAGGTAGGTGTCGGGAGAGCGAGGAGGTCTTCGGGGGTTATGCTCGCGGAGAGAGTGCGCAGGAATTCCTGGCAGTTCTGCATACTGTCAGTTGACCTTGTCGTTGAGGATTCCGGTTGCTGAGAGACATACGCCACAGAAAAAGTGCCGCACGAAGATGATCATCTGTCGCGTCGCCTGTCCTTCGCCAGAGTATATGCTCTTGAATGAATGCGATTCGCCATTCTGGTCAAGGACAAGCAGGTCTGCGCATTTGTCCAAGTCTTCCTGGGTGGGCAGGTCTTGCGAGACAGGCAGGTCGCCCTTAAAGTCCGCCGTCGGGTCGAAATCACAAGCAGGCGCGGTTTCGGAGTCGGGAGTTGCCAGCGACATGGAGTCTTTGGGCTGCGGTTCGGTCTTTGGGGGATCGATGGCTAGAGATGGTTGTTGTGCGACGGGCTGGTCTGTTGCGGTCATGACGAAGTAGGAGTATGGTTCGGACTATGCGGTGGCGGGGATGTCAAAGGAATAAGAAGGATTTCGTCAGAGCTGGAACTAAGGAAGCCAAGGTAATCAGCTAGCTCCAGGCTCGGTATAAATGAGTAGAGATTCGCGCGTTTTGTCATAGAGGCGCGGAAGTGGGCGAATCCGACACGCCCGAGTATTTGTACGAGGGGGTGAGCAATTTCCCTCCCCCAGCTATGGATGTGAGCATGCACGCCCACCGCGGAGAGCCACGTACATGCATACGAGTGCCACCAACCGCCTAGTGGTTTTGCCTCAGTCCTGTCTCAGCAGATGCTGCGACATGAGAAGGACTGGCTGCCAACGAGGCGCTTAATCGGGCGCTAGTGCTGAGCCCTGGTGAATGATCGCCACGAAGCACGACCCCTTCCCGCAGCTCAGCCACACCTTACCCATGCACCCTCCGTCTTTGCCATCCATCCGTGCCATCTCCATCGTCAGCTCCCATTTCATGATGGGTCTCGGCGCCAGAACCGCGCCACTCCGAGCGGCTGGCCGGGTCTGGACTGACTGAACGGCAACCCGCTGCCGGCTTGGCCGGAACCCTTCGTATACGTGTTGCGTGGGGTGAGTACGACAACGACGACGACGACGCAACTGCGGGCGTTGCTCCGAATACAACCTCAACAACACCGTACCACATGACCTCAACGGCTTCTGCTGCTGGACAAGTCGACACGTATGGGGTTTCTAAGCCCCTCCTGGGTTTGGCCGGATGTGAACTACGGTTTCGAATAAGTCGCAACAATCCGGATGAGCTCTTACGCCCTTTGATCCGCTAACCGCCATGCCGAGCGTCGGGGGAAAACGCTTTCCACTGTCCACGGCCTCCTCTTTGTTCTAACTTACGCGCGTAAGCAACCGGTAGAATTCAATAGTTGTAAGCTCGAGCGCGGCATAGAGAGGATAGGGGCCAATAACAGTTTATTGCTGAACTGATCTTTCTGCCTGGGCGGTTCGTCGCTTTGGAGCATCCTTTTTCTCTTAAAATGTCACTTCCTACCAGTTTTACTTGCACATGGATACGTATGATGCAATTCAGGCTGAAAAGAGTTTCTCAGGACTCCATGTTCTCCTTCTGCTTAGTAGCTCTTCAATTTCTCAACACCGAGCGAGTAGTCAGGATATCCGACGGCTGGACGGCTGTTGATGTCATTCCGAAGTTCTTTTGGACTCCATGTCCTCCAGTCTGGTGACCGCTGCTACAACCTCCGTAAACAGCTCATGATCTTCCCCGAGGCACATTTTGTATACCTCCGCGGCCTTCCACAAGGCACTTACGGCCTCCTCAAGCATATCTTGTTTTTCAAATTCGAGAGAAAGCATGTTCTGCCTAAAGCCCGGATTAGTATCAGTTAAGGGAAACTGCCATTTTTCCGGATGTACTCACACTTCAGCAAGGCGTACATCCACCAGATGCTCCTCTTCCATCAGCTTGACTATCATGGTAAGCTTTTGGATGAGTTCATTGCGTTTCTCTTTGCCGCTTTCTTTGTAGTCCTGCTCTTCAATATCCCTGTATAAGTTTCCAAGGTGTTTGCGGTTCTCGTCGCCGACGTTACTGCAACATGTACTGCAACTGCAGTGAAAACCGAAGTGGCGCCTAAGATATGATCGTCTCTCATCTTTCATGTGGAAGGTATCGACGTAAGAAAGAACAAGCTCTTCACCTACTTGGATGTCCTTTACGGCAAAGACTACTCCCTGTTGTGTTTCTGCGTCCCATGAGAGCACGCAGTTCGGCATGCAGTCGTGGTTTATCTTGGGAATTATCCCGAAGAGGCAGGAGCCTCCTTCAGGGCCGAGATTATGCGCATTTGTCAGCCAGCGTGATTCAAGTGAAGCTTCTCCAGCGGTCCAGGCCATTGCCTTCCATGGGGCGACACTCTCATCATAAAGGTTAACTGGAATATCATGGGCTGAGTCTAGATTGTCTATGGTAGCCTTGTCAATGCCGGAAAGTCGGTTGTATCCTTCGTGGAGGAGCTGCTGCTCGTTTTCGTCGTCCTCCAGGACTAGTCGGATGAAGGGCTTTTCGCAAAATAGAGGCTTACCCGCCCACATTGTGAGTTTGATGTCCTGAACGGCGACCAACCCTTCACCCTTTTCCTTTCCAAGGGCTTCTGCCTTGTACAAAGGCCCTTGGGAGGGTCGGCATTCTTGAGTGAATCTCCCAGCTGACGGTGTATCTCCTTCTGCTCAAGTCACTTTGTCCTTAAGAATCCGGAACCGATCATCGTTCTTACCTGGGAAAGACATGCTGCTGACTTCAGATCAAACATGCTAACGTTGGCCCGTGTCTAATATTGCTGGCAAGCTTGTGGCGTTGAATCACGATTTATTTGGGTGTCGTTGCGCTTTGGTTGCCGTTTGCCTATGGACATTAGGTGTTTGCTCGATGAAAAGCCATTGCCCACGTGGCTGGACTGAGTTGAAAAAGGAGATCGGGGTTGACTAACGCTATGAGATCCCTACGAAATCCATGAGTGAGCTTATGTTGTTGATGGGATTGCCATGACCCTGTCGTATGAGAGATTGAGCCGTGTTACTGACCTTTCTTGCCAGCGGTTGGCACGTCCAGTGTTGCATAGACAATGTGAGCTAGCAGTGAAATGGGACAGCGGGGAACGCGGCACAGTGTTGGTGGAACTCGGTTACTGGCGCTGCTGGAGGCTCGGACTGCGGATGTCCTTCGTTGCTCGTTAAAACTTTGTGGGAGGTCGGTTTGTGGTGTTGGTTTCGTTCAAGTGTCGCGTCCAGCAGTAGTTCTATTTCATCTGAGTTGACCGCCCTCTGGCGTCTCCTTGTGAAGTGGAAGCGGAGATTGATTTGGGCAGCAACGCATTTCCGTCTTGACACTCTCCTGATTGTCCTTGTGTCTTGCCTGCAGCTACCGATACACAGTATTCTCGGGCCCTATACTTCGAAGATTAGGGTGCACTTGGTACCATCCAAGCTTGTCCTTGCGCTGAAGTCTTTGCTGTGGAGTTCCTTGCGGCCTTTGTACGTAGATAGAAGCGGTCCACGCGGTAGCGGATGAGCTTGCACCAATGCACAACATCGAAAACATCATGCGACAAGCAAGACATTGCCATGCCTGTGGAACATATATGGTCAGGGGACAAGGCAAGGCGATGTGACAGTTGTAATGCAGAAGGTTGTTTGCTCCTGTGTCGCCAACCGGAGGAGCTACTGTCCAAAGAGCGGCGCCTACCCGCAACCACGGCAAACTTCATAAATACAAAGCCTATTGAACGTAAGAGAGGTCTCTAGAGCTGCAGGCCATACGAAATCTATGCTTACACCTGAAAGAAGATCACGGCAGACAGGGCGTACAGACGAGCAGTGACGCTCGCCCGTCACCAAACCTTAGCCCGCTTCGCACAACACCACGCGGACGCAGTCCTACAGCCTCACAAGACGCCGACCGGATATGCGTCTGGCACATTACCCCTGTTTGGCTTCATGGCCGGCACACTCTCGTACAACTTCGGCTCTAGGTACTTCGTCGCCCATTGCGGCGACCTCCTGACGCGCCCCAGCTTCTCCATCTCCCAACCCAGACTCAGCAACTTTGGCTCCGACCACGGCCGACCCAGGATTTCCATACCGATTGGAACACCCAGCGGCGCGTCGGACGTGGTGTTGCTGAAGCCTACCGGCACAGTAACAACAGGGCTGCCTGTCAGGGCGGCGAGGATGCCGTTGCGCCCGGACTGCGAGGCAGCACCGAGCTTGACAACAAGGTTTTTCTGCTCGGGATAGATGAGAGCGTCGAGGGAGTTGCGAGAGAAGGTCGACTGGAGAGCAAGTGTGAGATTGCGTATGCCAGCCTGGACTGCGGCATAGGTTGTGTTCGACGTCGATGATACCAGAGCTGTGGTGACATACTCATACTCGGAAGGAATGACCAAGAAGGATCCATTTCCGGAAACAGAGCCAGAAGTATTGTTTGTGGAATACAGCTCGGTCAAAGAACGGGGGGATATGCCGCTGAGATTAGAGGTACGAAGGTATGTGTCCATCTCCTGGCGGTATTCAAAACGCTGAACGTCCAAAGCAGAAGCAATAGCCGTAGCATTATATATGCTTTCGTTGATAGGTATAACGATAGCTCCGGCGGCTTCCAGCTTCGTTACGAAGTTCTCCATAACGACATTTACCGGCGTTGTCTCAATGTCGGCTGTCCGGTTGAAAAATGTTTCCAGCAAGCCCAGGCGTGCACCCCGTAAGGACTGCGGAGAAGATACCAAAGATGCCATATAATCGAGTCCTTGAGAAGCGGTTGGAACCAGAGCGGTAGTGTTGTCCGTTGCACTGTATCCTACACTCGCCATAACGGTCAGAGCAGAGGCAACGTCTTTTATCGTCCGGGCAATGACACCAAGAGCATCTTGAGTATAAGAGATTGGAATAACGCCGGCACGGTTGATCAAACCCCTAGTTGGTCTGATGCTGAACAATGAGTTTGCCGATGCAGGACTCCGTAGAGAGTTGACGGTATCAGTTCCAGTGGCAAGCACAGAGAACGAAGCAGCAATGGCGGCACCCGAACCTCCTGAGGAACCTCCTGGGGTTCGACTGAAATCGTAGGGGTTTAGTGTCTGTCCCCCATATGAAGAGACGGAGAGACCTTCCAGGGCGAGCTCGTGCAAGTTTACCTTGCCCAGGATAACAGCACCCGCACGTTTGAGGGCTGTAACCGTGGGAGCATCAACTGTCGGCAAAGAATCCTTTAATGCAAGACAACCACCAGTGGTGTTCATCTCCACCGTGTCATAATTGTCCTTCAGCAGAACTGGGATACAGAAGAGGGGCCCAGTTGCATTACCCGCAGACAGAGATTCGTCAAGAGTATCTGCTGTAGAAAGAGCATATGGATTTAAAGAAACGACGGCATTGATGTTATTGTTTCCAGCCTCGATCCTGGTGATAAAGGCGGATACAACCTCTCTACATGTCGAGAGGCCAACGAACAGACTGTGGTGTACCGACTCAATGGTAGCTTCTCGCGAATCGAAGCCTGCGGACTGTGCACGAGTATGGTGTATGAAATTGAAAATCGGAAGACAAGCTACAAAATGCAGAAGCATAATGATAAGAGCACCGCTTGTCGGTTGGACTTGATGAAAAGAGGAAGGACAACAAGACAAGAGAAGGACGGAAAGAGATGGTGCTTACTTCGTTCGAAGAGAGTATACTTCTGCACAAGCCAGGCCAGGAAGTTTTCAGCAAAGCAAAAACAGTATTCTCGGGGTGATCCTGCCTATCAGCGATATCGTATAGTCGATATTTGGGCAGCTACGTCGATGCGGTTATTCTGTCCTCATCGGCCGAGGTCGGCGATGGTTACGGCACAGAAATGGCGGGGCATCCCCCATCATCGGATCTTTGTCGACTCTGCCGAACCAGAAGACATCTCCTGACCTTGCTGCGCACCCTCATTCAAGCACATCATGATCTGCACAAGATAGCGGAGATGTGATTGATGATGCCGCCGGCAAAGAATTAGATGTGTCAAGTTTGCAGTCCAGTACCCAGAGATGGGTCGCTAGTACAAATGCGGCAGATGGACCGCCTTTGGCAAATTTGACAGCAAAGCCAGAGATTTTGCAGACGATTTCGCGCAAACTACACTCGCCATTCTCTTCACTGACTTTCCTGCCAAAGGAACAGATGGTTTCCTGTATGATGGATCTCCCTGTATTGTGCTCGATGGAGCTTCGGTACTGTTTGCCGGCCTTACGTCGCTTGAAGAGACCATGAGGATCATAGTAACCTTCCCATAGCGAGGGAACCTCTAAGGTTCGCGGTTGCAGGGGATGTTCATATCTGAAGAGCTTGGGATATTAGGTTGATACAAAAGGTCCTGGATGTATTCGTGGAGCGCTATCCAGGAGATTCCGGTATTTCGGACATACTACACTGGCACTGCCTCCTATTCCCGGTGCTGCGGAATCTCAATGGACCCCTTCAGGAACTGAAGCCGGCTCCGGTACCTAGAATTCCCAAGGCCGCGTGGTTGACTACCACCAAGGAGTTAGGAAGGACAAGACAGGCCAATCGGAAAGCCTCGCGAATTGGCTCATTGCGCACCGATCTCTAATCCTCATTCGATGGTTGAACGTCAGTTCTCGTTTTGGGAACCCAGGAGGCTGGGTTAAACCTGTTGGGATTGCCCCAGCTTCGAGCCGCCATCCCCCAAACGCAGGGCCTCTCTTCTCCTCCTCCGTTGGGCCTGGTAGCCTGTACTGTAACGCCAGTAATATGGGCGCTAGTTCATCTTATTCCTATCGTATTTCCGTCTCTTGCGGGGTTCCGGTGCCCAAAATCCTGAAAGCATTGTTGCAGTGGCTTCGTGGGAGACCGCACACAGCGTCTGGATGTCTCAAAGGTCGCATCGCAAGCGCTGAATGTACCCGCCGCGTGTCGAATATCCGCCTGCGGGACCGTGCCTGAAATAAGAGACCCCTTGCGTAAACTATCAAGAGCTAAGGCCGTACCCATACGACCTTCGACTATGTTGATGGGTACCGGAAGCATCGTGTTCAAAGAAGTCAGACTCTCAGCAGTCATACTTCTGGATGTACAGTACTGGATGACTAGTTAGCATGATTATCAGTCCCAATCTATCATTGGGCAAAATCATGCAAACCTAGGCGTTGAGGCTTCGCAGGCGACAAGGAGCGCCTCCCTTTATACCTCGTGCCATACAGACAACATCCATGAAGGGATCCCGTCCAGTGTATGATGTTTCTCGCAGTATGGCTCGAGGAAACAAGGAAGCTGAAAACCTTTGTCGGATTCAACCATGAAGCATCCTAAGGGAGAGCACGAACCGAAGTCGAAACGGCCGCAATGAAACGGTAGCATTTGATGATTGGTGCACTTTGAACACGTCTAGCCCAAGCCATCTCGCCCTGTCACCCAAGACATTGCCAGATGTCTCTAAGGCTCTCGTTGTGCACCACCGAGTCGGTCTGCGGGAGAAGACGAAATCATCGCTCTGCCGTTGCAAGCTCGTACCTCGCATGTGCTCTGTGAGCAGCACGTCGCGCAGCGTCATGTAAATGCAGCAAGCCGGTAAGCCCTACCAATCAAAGACGCCCATCGACTTTATCCCGGTCCCCCAGAAGCTTCGGAGCGTTATGGTCCATCAGTGAGGAGCACCAATGCCGCAGTCGTATCACCCTGAAGACTATGGGGAAGACGCGCTTTGTCCTAGGGCTGTAACCCTTGCAGAACCGATCGTAAGGTGTCCTCAACTGACATAACCTGTCCTTTTGTCGGGGTGTTTCTTCATGAGGATCGAGTCCCGACGCAGCTGCGTACCGTTACGAGCGGGCGATGCTCCGTAGGAATGGTGTCAGAGTCGATGGTAGATCTTCTCAAAGGCGCCTAGGAGCATGTCAGTGTCAACGGCTGTAACCAAATGACGGCGGACGAACTCGTTGCGTTTGTGGCTGTGGGTGCGCCCCGATTTGTTCCTGGGCCGGCAGATGAGCTGTTGTGGAACGTCAGGCACAAGACCAGCACCAGGGGTGTCAGTCCAGCCGCTCTCCGCCCCATGGACCCCGGTCTACGCCAGCGTAGGAAAGAAAGCAGAAGCTTCTCTGGAAACAATGCTGTGGAGAATCTGCATTCTTGGTCCGGTTTTAGCTGCTTAGATCTGGTCTGCCTTGACCTAATCTTCCCGCTCGCATTCCCGGCCAGAGACTGGTCCTCCACTGGAACCCGCGCAAAGGTGAATAGAAAAACACCACGAGTATAGTCATAAGATCCTGTTGCCGCCCATGGACTGCAACCGTTTGAAGTCATACGGACTAAGACTGCCTTCGTATCGCATTGGGATGCGTGTCACTGCCACCATGCGACAAGAGGCTGCACGGAATGCCTTGCATAAACACATGATTATCGATTGCCTAGCCTCAGGTACCAAGCAGCCATCCGTAATAAGGTGCTGACAAGCCTCTCAGCTGCGTGATGCGGCTGCGGGCTACAGCAGCGCTAAGCGGCGGGAGCATGACCATCCTCGGGGGTCAGCGAAAACATGGCAAAGCCATGATGTTGTTGATCTGCACAAGGAATGCGGCTGCGTGCTGCATCTCACCGTTGTCTGTCCAAGACAGCGCGGTCCCACACCCCATTGGCGCTGCCATGCTGAGCCGTGAACATCACGCTGGCTCCGTCAATGTTGCGCTCATGCTGTCGCACAGGCGCATGCGTGTGCTGCTTCCCTGGTGCACTCAGCCCGACTGTGGCAAGCCATAACTACCTGAGCGTTGTATAGGCCGTCGTGATAAAGGGCCGGGACCCTCAGCTGCTGAAAGCTGAGTGCCAGCTTCTTCTATGTCTCTCGGACGACTACACGGTTGACGCCAAGTTGCAATCTCCAGGCATAGGCTTGGCTGCTGCTAAGGCTATTGATTGCCATTGGAAATTTCTTTGGAGCACAATCCCCTCTATACGTAGTAGGCACGCGCAAAGAAAAGCCACTGCTCCCCCGGAGAACAGGAAAGGAAATCTGGTGAGCATCCCCGGAGGGCTATCCCGATGAGCCTTTGCGAGTGTAGCGCCAGCTGCTCCCGTCACATCCAGCGCAGCCCCTGCCATCTGCTGCTCTTATTGCTCTGGACAAAGGCAGGCGAAAACAGAATGCCCCTGGACACGAGGTTCTATTGGCATCGTGTGAGCCAATTAGTGCCTAGGCGGGCCTCTCCAGGCACGCACGGGGTCTGTTTTTGGGGAATGTTAAAGCTAACACCCTTGTCCCCGCCTAGGCTATCCCAAGGGCCCTTCCAAAAACCGCCTGCTCCCCGCTCCCTCCCTCCACCTTTCCATGCAAACCTACCCGTTATAGCCTCGAAGACCTCATGCAATAGCTCAAGCGGTACGCGCAGCCTGGTTCTTTCCCTTCTTTCTCGTCGATCCTTTCACTACCCACGGTTGCGAGCTCCACGCTCATTAACCCCCCTCCGTCACCGGCGCATCAAAACAAACGGGCCGGGGTGCCATTAACACACGCACCTTCCCCGAGCACACTCACTGTCGTCATCGCTCGGCTAGCCGCCGCCTGACGCCTACTTCAGCTCCCCCTCCACCTCCCCGACCTTCTCTTCCTTTTCATCCACCCCGTTCTTCTCTCTTTCAACACCACGCTCAGCAAGCAACTCTTCACAGCCTCGCGCCGCGCAAGCTGTAAGTCAAAAGCCCCTCCTTCGCCTTGCAAGTCCTTGTCTGACTGGCAATTGTAAAGCTCACTCTTCGCGAACTGTCCTTCAGCTTTGCTGTGAAGCTCTCACACACAGTCCTTTCCAGAAACCTCTCACGTTCACTCACTTTGCATCACACTATGAACTTCCTCGTGCAGTTCCTGGTCTTCTTCGCCGCGCTGGTCTCTGGCCTAGCCGTTGGCGGTAGCCATGGACATGGACACCGCCACGCTCACCTTGCCAAGAAGGCCGTCCATCTAGAGTATGTGACGGTTTGCGCTCTCGGAGATGTCATCCTCTCTCAGGCAGACTGCGAGGCCGGCATTGCTTCCGGTCGCCTCGTCTACATTGACTCGCCTGTGGTTACCGTCACGTCCATGACGTCCTCTGTCTCAGTCAGTCATGGCACTACCATGACCGGCGCCAAGTCCACCACGATTTCCTCGGTTCACTCGATCAGCGAGGCCAGCAAGTCTTCTACTGGCAAAGTCACCTCGACGTCTGTTTCGACCACCACTGGCAAGGGCTCCAGCCTTCCCAAGACCTCATCCGCCTCTGAGACCTACGGAGTTCCATCTGGCAAACCGACTTCTACCGTCCCCACGGCCAAGGGTCTCGACAAAGACTTCCCGGACAACGTTCCTTGCACTGAGTTCCCTTCTGACTATGGTGCGATCCCGGTTGAGTACATGAACCTCGGCGGCTGGATCGGCGTGCAGGTTCCGAACATTGCCACTGCTGCCGGATTTGACGACATCGAAACCATGGTTTCCAACCTCTGTGACGGCGAGGACTGCTGCGTCGAGGGCGCATTCTGTTCATATGCCTGCCCCCCTGGCTATCAGAAGTCTCAATGGCCCAAGACTCAGGGCACAACTGGACAGTCAATCGGTGGAATCCAGTGCAGAAGCGGTATGCTCCGTTTGACTAACCCTGACGAAAAGAGGCTCTGCATTCCTGGAGCCAAAGAAGTCAATATCCAGGTCGAAAACAAGCTCAACGGCTCTGTAGCTATCTGTCGCACCGACTATCCTGGTAAGTTATTTGTGACTCTTCACTTGCGCACAGTCAGTCTGATTCTCATACAGGAACCGAGGGCATGACCATTCCTCTGGAGACGTATCCGGGAGATGTCGCACCCTTGACCTGCCCTGATCAAAAGACCTACTATCAGTGGCAGGGTAAATCAACTTCCGGACAGTACTATGTGAACAACCTCAACGTTCCGGCTTTTGATGCTTGCCAATGGTCTGATGGAGAAGAGCCTATCGGCAATTGGGCCCCGTTGAACCTTGGTGTCGGATATGCCAATGGCGCCGCATACCTGGCCATCTTCCAGAACAGGCCCACGACTTACTCGAGGTTGGGCTTCTCCGTCGAGATTGTCGCTAAGCACATGAGCGGCAAATGCAAGTACTCTCACGGAAAGTACTGCAAGGGCGACGATTACCAGGATTGCAATGATAACGACGGCTGCACTGTAAATGACCGGCTTCTTCGATTGATATGAATCAATACTGACCTCCCTTAGGTTGCCGTCTCCTCGGGTAACGCTACCTTCGTCCTTTCTTATGATTGATTTCTTTCTACGGCTTCTGTTTCGAGCTTCATGACGACGTGATGGAAACGCTCGAACACTTTCATGTTGCTTTTTACTGCAAGGTGCATATGTATAGCTGGCCCTTGCTATTTTCTGACTCCTTTCTGCAATGGCACGCGACGATGATGGGGAGTTCTGCTTTTACTTCTTGTAACTACTACTTAGCTGAGCTAGTAGTGCCTGCTCGTCCTTATAGTAGCAGCTACTAGACGCAATGACCATGATACAGCCACGATGCTGTCTTTCAAAGAACTATGTGAATTGTTAAGTGACATGTGCGTCCATTGTTTGGGCAAAGGATACTGGTCTATGGCAAGATGAGGTCTTTGTCTTGCCCATTGAAGGCGAAAGGCCCTACGATTGTAATCAGTATGTAAACAGTATGGATGACAGCGAATAACTTGTTCACCTTTTTGAATATTTTGACCAGCTTTGTGATATCACTTACATTGGTATATTATATTTTGCCTCTTAACTTTTGTATCCCCCTGCTATTGCAGGATGTTTTCATACTCTTCGCATCCGCACTCTCGTACCTTTTCCAATACTCTACCTAGTACAGTTACATATCTAGAAGATGATTTTCGCAACATCCACGCGAGCACCATGCAAGCGGCCACGACAAACGGGCTTCGGCTCGAACACGGCCTTGGGACTAGAAGAGAAATTTTCCCGGGATTAAACCGGCAGGCCCATTATCATAACTCGACCAGATCTCTCTGACCGTTACACACCACGTTGCTAAAAAAGAAAAAAGAGAAAACACAGTCGATAGTCAACCAATATGTCTTCAGATGACGAGGGCGGTCTTGATCTCTTCCGCGAGCCTGATGGCTACTTTGAGCCGGAGAAGCCGCCGACTTTTGCGTCGCATCGGCTCGTTTCGGGCGAGGAGTTGAGGGTCCGTCTGGTTGGACATAATCCGCTTTGGGTAGGTTGGTATTTTGCTGTTTTTGGTCGTTTTTGGGTCTTGGGGCTTGGGGCTTGGGTTTTTCAGTTGTGTTGGCTGGATTTTTTGTGATTTTTGGATTTTTTTTCTCTCTTGGGTTTGGGCAGATGTTCTTTTTCAAAGTCTCTATTTTTTTTCTCAACGTTGTTTCCCTCTCTCCATATCCATTTCTTCGATCGAGGTTCTCTCCCCTTATTTCTTTAAAGCCGCCAGCATTACTCCCTACCAACCGCTTACCCGCATAATCCCCCCATACTTGCACCACCACCCTGCGAACTAACAACTCTCTCCACTCACAGGGCCACCATGTCTGGAACGCCGGACGAACCATCTCGACGCTCTTCGAGAAGCACGCCGCGACGCTAGTGCGCGGGAAGACAGTGCTAGAGCTGGGCGCGGGAGCCGGCCTGCCCAGCCTAGTATGCGCCATCAGCGGCGCCGCCAAAGTCGTCGTCACCGACTACCCCGACGCAGACCTGATCGAGAACCTGCGGTGGAACATCACGAATGTGGCGGCGATACCGAAGGACGGATGCATCGTGGCCGAGGTACGGCTTCCCTTTCCCTGACCCGCACTGCTGTGCATGCCGCCGCTCGCAAAACATTCTCTGCGGCCCACCCTGCTGACGGCTCCTCAGGGCTACCTCTGGGGGGCACCGCCCGCGCCGCTCCTCGCGCACCTCCCTAACCCCGCTGCTGGCTTCGAGGTCCTCATCCTTGCGGACCTTCTTTTCAACCATAGCGAGCACGCCAAGCTCGTCCAGAGCATCCAGCAGACTTTAGCGCGGACGGCCGCCGCGCGCGCCTTCGTCTTCTTCTCGCCGTACCGGCCGTGGCTGCTGCAGAAGGACTTGGCGTTCTTCGAGCTCGCAAAAGGCGCCGGCTTCTCGGTGCGTAAGCTCGGCGAGGAGGTCATGGAGAAGGTCATGTTTGAGGAGGATCCTGGTGTGAGTACCTACCTAGTTGCGCACTGATGTGCTCGCATCGCTGATGCTGGCACTGCTGCTGCTGCTGCTGCTGCTTGAGTGTGATCGGATGTGACTGACACCGCCCCGTGCACCACCAGGACGAACTCCTCCGCCGCACCGTCTTCAACTACGAGCTCCGCTGGGCCGACCTCGACGACGGGCGCGACGCCTGAGCAGTGGGCGTGCAAGCCTGCCTGCCGACCCTTGAAAGCACTGCACGACGCGGCGCTCGCACCGCGGCTCCTCGGCCTGTGGCTGGCTGCTCTCGCGGCCGAGACTCCGTAGGTCCGCGGCACTCCGGTGCGGAACCAGCTCCGGCACAAGCGGGCGGCGAGACCGGCGTGCGTGCGTGCGTGCGTGTTTGCGTGTGTGCCGTAACCGACGCTCTGGCAACCGGAGCAAACGAACGTGTTTCATGCGCTACGCTGCGTGGGGTAGGACAGGGCGTGAGTGTTTTATTCAGCTCGCGGGGATGGAGGGCTGGAAGGGGCGGCGGTGTCGCCGGGTTGGGCCTTTGGGTGAGACTGTATCAGATGGTTCAAGACAGGGCAACCGAAAGAGCGGCGAGCGAGCTCGAGCGGCGTGGGCGGTTTGTTCCAAAACAGGCGGAAAACGCATTCTTTTGTTTTGATTCAGTACACTGCGTAACACCGTTTGCCTGGTCGCTAGTGACAACAGCGCCCAAACCCGAGTCCGCAAACCAGGCCCGTATCAAACACCTAGGTAGCTAGACAAAAGTCCCAAAATTTCAATCCCACACACACATCACGCGCACCAGACGCCAGCATCTTCATGAACAACAAACACTTCTTTCAAGATTGGTAGATAGGCAGGTAGGTATAAGTTATAAGCCAGACAGACGCAGAGTATAGGCTCGCATTTGCTTTCGCACGCTAAAATCGCTTCACACGGCGATGGGGGCAGCTAAGCGCCGCCATCGGGATGGGGATGAATGACCCCATAAACCAAAAAACAAAAATAACAGAATAATGACTGGATCGGGAATGAGAATAAAACAGCAGACGACGACGACAATGATGGTGGTAACGATAGCGTCTTCCTCCCGCCCTGTGTGTGTGTGTGTGTGCGTGCAGACAGTGCTAGGGTGGCATGTGTGTGGATGGAGAAGAAAACCGCGATGCAAGCGTGTCCGAGACGTAGGAAAGCAAGAGGAAGGAGAAGGAGAAAGGCAGGACGCAAGACGAGCCCTCCTAGGACGCGAGAGGCAGGGCGCAAGGCGCTGGCGTGCCAAAAGAAAGGATGGATGATGGAGAAGGATGGAGGAAGAGGAATAAGGCAAGGAAAGAAGAAGGCGGGCACGGTAGTAAGGTAGGAGATAGAGACGACGCAGAAGGTCTATCTCTCTCCTTTTCCTTGCGTGCACAAGCTGCCAGCCTGGACGGGACGAGCAAGTGTTTTGCTGCCGACTTACGCATACACCCAAGAACCACAGTTCCGCCCGCCCTGAAGTGACCAACAGAAGCGCATCCAAACAACCCAGGCCCAAAAGACCGCCCAAACAAACCCATTCGTACACTCCAAGTGTGCAAAAACAGCCATACAAACCTGACACAATCGCGCGGCACTTATCCAATTCCACGCCCCCGCCACACCACACCACGCAGTCACTCAGTCCTCAACCGCCACCTCATCACTGCTCGACGACTTGCGCTTCGCGTCAGCCAGTGCACCGACACCCACACCCATCGCCCCAGGCCTCAACATGCCCGCATTCACCTGCGCCGCAATCTGGCTCTCCTTCCAGCGCGAAAACTCCTCTGGCCGCTCCCGCTCCAGCACGCGCAGCTCCTCAGCATTGGCGCCAATCTGGCGCACCGTCTCCTCCCACCCCTGCCGCAGCACGCGGTGCCGCAGCTCGTCGCCCGACATAGTGAACAGCTGCTCGCGCAGCGCCGCCAGATGCTGCGGCTCCGGCGGCTCCGTCCCCGTCGTCCCGTGCAGGTGGTCTTCGATCTGCGGCCGCAGAATCTCGCGCCGCACCGACTGGCCCAGCCGGTGGATCCGTCCTTCTTCGAGCGTCTGCGCCCGTGACGCGAGCGACACGTCCGAGTTGTGCCGTGAGCGCAGGCCCAGGGGCGGCAGGTCGATGTCTTCGTCGTCCGAGTCGAAGAACGCTGAGTCCCGTGTGTCGGTGGGCGCGGTCGTGATTGAGGCGCGGTCGTTGGGCGGGCCCGACTCGGCGAGAGAGTTTGGCCGCGAGGCGGACGACTGCGAGAGAGACTCGAGGGACGCGGCGAGGGCGGCGGCGTCCGGGCCGGTGCTGGGGCTAGGCGAGATGCGGCATTCGGGGTACTCGGCCTCGAAGCGCTGAATGATACCCTGGAGGGTGTTCTCAAGGAAGAGTAGACGTCCTGGTTATACACGTTAGCAATAAAAGTTGCATTAATAGTCGTATAAAACTTACTGTAAGCCATATCATCACCAGCCCTCGCTTCCCTCGCAAGCGCCGGCTGTAGCCTTGCTTTGATCTTCCTCGCACTGTTCAACAGGTCCTTGCTCATCGTCTTCGCCTTTGCGCTACGAGACTCCGAGTTCCTGTTTCCCATGCGACTTGAGCTACGCGGTGTAGCCGTCCCGCTACCCGGCAATGATGACTTGCGGCGCAGGTTGTCCGACACCTTTTCAAGGAGACAGTAGTTGAGTGCTTTGACCAGTCCGGTTCCTCCGACGATGTAGTCATCGTCAGTCGCAGCCGTCTCTTCGTCCGAGCCCTCGGATTCATCGTCGTGACCTACAATATGCAGCAGAACCTCTGGAATCTCCACTGCCTTGCTACCATCCGCAAGAGTTGTTTCACGCACCGTAGCCCGCTCCATGTTACGCAAACAGTATGCAACAACTTGTTTTGCAAGGGCCTTGATGATTTCGCTAGTGTCCTGGCTGGGAACGTCCATATCAATGCAGATGATTGATTCCGAGATCCGGACCGCAGCCATGAGCGACGCATACACCGCACAAGCCTCCTCTTGTGATGACTCGTCTGATGCAGAGGCCAGAGCTGACAGCTCCGGGTTTTCCAGGAGGTTGATGTGTGCCAGTTGTGGGCATTCCGGCAGGACCTCCGCGAGGCCTATTGCTTGCTGCGGCGTCAACGAAACATCTTCCAAATGGATTCGTTTGAGGAAGCGTAGTTGAGGGATGTATTTCCTGAGCGTAGCGAGAGAGCTTGGTTCTGTCGAGAACAGCTCGCGGTTATGTGAAAGATCGATGAACCGGAAGTTCTGTAGCGACACGAGGTGCGGGAAGAGTGGCTTGATGGCAGTCGGCGTAAGGTTGCAATCCGCTAGACTGAGTGCCCATAACGGGGATTTCTCGTTGATACCCTCACAAAGATGCTCAATGCGGTCTCGCAGATCGTTACCGCCAAGATCCACACCGTGGCAGACGCCAGAACGCAGGTAGCGCACGACGTGGTCCAAGCCCTCGTCGTCAATCGCGTTGCTGGACAAACCCAGTCTTTGTATACCGCTGACTATGACTCCATCGACAATCTTGCGAATGTTTGCCGCCGTCAGCGAACAGCCAGTCATGAGAAGTTCTTCCAAGTAGGATCCCCCCAGACGCTCGGACAAGGATTTGCAGAGAATCTCGGCGATATCGTCCGTGGGCACTTTGATCTGCTTCTTCGTGTCCGAGGGGTGCGCCTTTGGCTGGACTCGCGGTTGTGGAAATGGAATAGCAGACAAATCAATCGCCTTCAACGACCGGCACATGTAGATGAACAAAGCGATGTGCTTCCAACCCTCCCGCGAGATCTTGAGATTGTGCTTCAAACTCAACTTTTCCACGACCCCTGACCTGTCTTGGAATTGCTCGGGTTCGCTACCATCGATCTTGGGAGCAATTGGCTGGCGCTTCTTTTGATCGGGAGATCTCGCGGCTAGAAGACCCGCCAGGATTACCCGCACGCCTTCATCTGTAAGCTCAGCATCTTCCATGAGAAGCTTCTTGACTGGCACAACTGCAAGCCAATCGCCCAGCGTGTTCATGTCGGCCAAGGTCAGCCTCGACCCGGTCAGGTTCAAGCAGTTGACAACTCCAGGTGAGGTGACGGAATGGTTCGAGCTCTCCGCAAGCTGCTCGCTGATTCGCTTCAGAATCGGCGTTTCCCTAAGCTGACAGCATCTCCGATATATCCTCAAGGGGTCGGTTGTCGGGCGATCTTGAGGTTTTACAGGCACGCCGTCCACCGTGGAGCCGTCTGGTGTGTATTCCATGGGTACCGATCCGCTCTCTTCAGCTTTCCGGCGCTTTTTCTCTTTGCGCTCCTTGCGCTCTGCTTCAGAACGTTTCTTTTTCTCCTTCTTTTTATTTAAGGAACATCCGTCCTTCTTATCGTCGAGTACAGTGCCCTCAGGATTAGGAGCTTGCTCATTGCCAACAACCTCATGACTGACTTGTACCATGCCGTCCTTATCCTTCTCTTGCGCGACGGCTTCAGGGTGTTTGAGTGCCTCGCCTTCCCCTTTTTCCTTCAATTTCTTATCTTTTGTCCGTTTTTTCTTCTCGTCGAAGTCATCGTCATCCTTGTACCGCGGGCCGCCGGCAATTTCTACGTCGACGCAGAACGCAACCCTGCGTAGCTTCGAACTATCCAGCTCCGGCACAAGGCACCGTTCGCGGTTCGGGTCAACATTCATAACGCGCCTGGGGCACATGCCACCGTTCGCCGGGGCCTTGCCCTGAGGCGCCGATTGCTGATTTGACGAAAGGCGACGAAGCGCATTCGACAAGAAAGACACTCGCGACTGCTCAGGTGGCTGCGGCACATATGGCTCCAAGCTCTCACCATGCTGATGTTGTTCCTTCACACTTGGCAACGGGGTGCCCATACCCGGCGAGTAGGGATTTGCTATAGGCAAGTTCCCTGGCGTGGCATTGGTCTGCGACTTTGCCCCCTGCCCATTCGTGCCAACGGTGTTACCCGGCGATGACGAGAATTTTGCGCTGATGCTGGATATCCACGAGCCCCTCCGCTTTTGGTCGGGGGAGGTGCCGATGGTGGATTTCTCCGAGCTGCCGCGGTGGAGCAGCCTCGGCCTCGATGGAATGCCCTTGGAGGGAGTTGTAGCATTCTCGGACGGGTCGTCCTCGTGGTGCTCGGCGTCTACGGTATGCTCCTTCTCTGGCTCAGGCTTCTTCGCGGGCTGTTTGTCTGGAGTGGCAGCATTATGCGACGCGGGCGGAGAGGGGTCACGAGCGGTTCCCGGGGCCGCGGGTGCATGCGCGCGGTTGAGGTTGTCTTGCAGATATCAACGTCAGAAGGTGTTCGCGGCAGGCTCTTATCACGCCGCCTGCACAACCTACCTTTGTTCGAATGATGGAGCCAGCTGACATCGACGCCGTGAATGCCCTCCATGTCCTTTCAAAAGCGTGCGCGGCAAGGGTGGGAGTCTGCAGGCAATGCGCCGTGCGATGGGTGGAATTTGTTCGTGAATGGGCGCTGATCGCGCGACCCGGAGGAGCTGCGGCGAACGGCGGGGAGAGGGGAGGGGTGGCCCAGACACAAGACAAGCCTATGCGCGGCTGAGCATGTTGTTTCACCGAGAGTGCGCAACAGCAGGAGTCGGGGGATGAGGGCTGGTCTCGCCAGAGCGAGGATTTGCTAGAGGCTTCGCCGATGATGCAACAGGCGTGTTTGCATATCTCGGCAAAAGCCCTGCTTCTTAGTGGAGATCCGCAGGGTCTCAGCTGATTTCCACCAGACGCCGAACGCACGGCGTCTGGCCGGCCCCTAGACACAAATAACATGGAGATGGACAGGAGTCCGCACAGTCAGCACTTTCCCCCTGCGCACGCCTCTCTTTGTCACGCTCACAGGGGCTCCATTCATTGCAGAGAAAAGACGGGTATCTGATTGGTGGGTGGTGCATGATGTCTTTCATTCATGGGGCTGCCATACACTGCAGCTCAACTTGTCCCGCCACATCCTTTTCCACCAGTGCGCCAAGACGTTCAAGAACAGTTCGCTTTTGATAACCCAACCGCAACCGCTTACATCGCCTCCTTGATCTGAGCGATCTTGGCCTGGACGCGCTCCTCCTTCTCGGCCTTGGTCAGCTTGTTCTGCTTGTACTTCTTCGACTCGGCCTTCCACTCGTCCTTGCTCTTCTTGTTGCCGGCCTCGGGGTCGGCCTTGAAGGGGTCGGCACGGATCTGTTTGTGCGCCTCCTCGTAGAGCTCCTCAAGACCATCGGCCTCGATGTCGTCATCGAGGTAGCCCTGGAACTGCGACTTGTAGCGCTCCTCGTCATCGTCGGCAAGAGTCTCCATGTACTCAGCGACGTGACCAGCGAAGATGTACTTGCGGAGAGTCTCGGCATCGAGCTCCTTGGTCTCAATGTCGAAGCCGGGGAAACGGCTCTCGGAGTGGGGGATGTAGAGACCACCGTCCGAGGCACCCTTCATGGCGCCGAAGACGCGGGCACCGGTCGAGGTGCGGACGAGACCGACGTCAAGGAAAACCTTGAAGGGACGGCGCTCACCGTCGTCACCCTCAACAGCCTCGGTGAGCTTGTACTCACCGTCGGCCTCCTCAACACCGACGAAGTCCTCGTCCAGGCCGAGCTTCTTCAGGGCACGGCGGGCGACGAGAAGACCGGTGGCGTAGGCAGCGGCCCAGTTGGTGAGACCGTGGGTGACGCCATAGCGCTTGAGCTCGTGGCCGTAGGCAGCGGCGAAGACCTTGTCACCAGTGACCTCAGAAGTGACAATTTGGCAGATGATGTCGCGGTTGGTGAAGCGGACGACCAGGCGGTACTTGGGAGCGTTGTACTTGTTCTTGGCCTGGACGACGAGGCGCTGGCGAGCGTAGTAGTCGGTCTTACCGGATCTTCTACGCTTGTACTTCACCTGGTAGCGGCTAGAGATTCGTCAGCTTATGGTCGTTTTTAAAGCATTAGAAATCAGACTTACGAGAAGTAGGCGCTGTTCTTGACGAGCTTGGTGAAAGGCATCTTGACGAACTGCTCACACTATCCAAAAAACCCCGAGTCAGCAATTGACGCTTCAGAACCCCTCCGAAGCAACTTGCGAGACTCCAATTCGGACGTCCATGTCGCGGCCGGGCGCGGCCGGAAAGGCTTCAGCCCTCGTCGGGCCTCGCTCGTAGCATCGAACCAGGTAGAAGATGGACTTACGAGATGATGCCCGTGAAGTTTGTCGGTGGTCGTCGGTGGTCGCTCGTCGAGAAGAGTCCGCGCGAAGGTCAATTTCTGTGCGGATTTTAAGCGAGCCGATCAGAAGCGTAACCTCAACACCACAAAAGCGAGGTGGGTGACAAGCGTGCAAGCTCGATAATGACAGCTGTGCCACCGCCCTGCATCGGCAGAAAATTAAATCCCTCTTGCGCGCAGATTGTGGTAGAATACTCTGTTCGATTTTTCCGTCCGTTTATTACCTGCAACCAGCCCATCTGCGACTGGCCATCTGTTGCCCTTTAATATTCACTATCCCGCTCCTCTGCCATTAAGTAAAAAAAGACTAAAACAGAGAACTCCTCTAGTATGGTCTATCAGTACAACCATGGCCCTGCTCATGGAGCAAGAGCTTCGAATATTTATCTCTAGTCATTCCTCACAGTTCCTGTTGGACCAGATTGCGCCCAATCCTGGAGCGCTGAAAAATTATTTTCGTCGATGCGCCTATCGCACTTTCTAACATTCTCCCATAGTCCTTATCCGGATGAACCACAGCAGCCATCACGTGGAGCGTCATACCGCGCTTGCGATTGTAGTGGATATGCCGGTGCAGGAGCAAAGCCCGTACCAGCTGCGCCAGAAGAATGGGCAGCTCTGGTACTTGATGGCCTCTCGAGCGGAACGCCATCATGACCCCCGTGAGTGAGGCAGCCGACACATTGGCATCCGTCGCCACAGCGACACGCGCCGGTGAGGTCGTCGCAACCGGGAAGTTCTAATTGTTGTAGAAAGAAAGACGAAGGTGAAAGTATCGGTGTGTCATCCCCAGTGTTTGGTGGAGTTGCTGCCTGCTCGTATGGTGTTGTCGTTGTATACGAATCACAGGTGTTTCTTCGCTGGAACTGCGAAGGCAGCTGCTGAGGAGAATAGTAAGGTTGCTGACCCACATTACGCTGTACGTTCTCTTGTGTTCCGAGGTGAAATTGTTGTAATTCAGAAGTCGGCGTTGCTTGCAACGAGGTGTTTGACGACGGCGGTTGTTGCTGTTGCCACAGTGACCCTCCAGAGGCTCCGTGCTGGTAACCAACACCGACTCCCGAGGGGTTGAAGTAGGCTCGATGATATGGAAGACCGCCGACTCCAGGGGTATGTCCAGGTATGGTAGAGGAGGGTGAGTTTTGTACGGGATAGCTGGGTTGGTACTGCGCTTGTTGGTGGTTTAACATTGACATAGAATCATAATACGGTGAGTGAACCATGAAATCCGTGATTTCGCGGATGTAGCGCATAGTAGTATCGTTCCTAGGGTGTGCCGCACATCCTAGACAGGCACAAGAGTCACCACAGGTACAGTCGTGTCTGAAATCGTGCTGAGCTCCACCAACGGTGTCGTTGCCAATAGCAGATGTACGCCCGGATCCAACTCCCTCGTGGCGTAAATTAGCATAGGGAATTGAGTAGCCATTCATGCCGGCATTCATCGTCGTATAACCGGGATCCAGACCAGATCCGCCGTTGGTGAAAGGTCCGTTGTGTGGTTGGGTACCAAATTGGTCTGGGCGCATGAAGTTTGGATACTGATGACCTACTCCGAACGGCTGTTGTCGATTTTGTATTCCAAGGCCGATCCCATTAGAAGCCTGAGGAGCTCCGTTGCCACCGGCGCTAGATGCCGAAGAGCTAGAGGTTGACTTGGGTTCTGGTGCTGGCAGTTGTTCCGCAGAAGTCTTGCCTTTTCCTTTGCAACAACTTCCTTTGTTTTCTGAGGTCTTCTCCACTACAGGCGCTGCGTTCTGAATTTCACCAAATGCCCCGTAACCCCAGCTGCCTGCCGAGCTTGTCGAAGTGAAGTTCCCTCTTATGGTCTCGAGTTGCACTCGCAATGGCTTTTCCTCTGATGTCAAATCCGGTTTTGGCGGGCCACCATTCGTCTCATTTCCGCGGTTAACATCACTATCGGCCCTAGGCGAATCCGTGCCATTCGTAGAAGGCGGAGATGCAGCATTGCTGCTTGCAGGGGTCGATGCGGCCAGCTTCGTACTGCAGCATGACTTTGTGGGAGTGATCTTAAACTGTTGTTCGAGGTTCTCGATATCCTGTATCGCTTTTTCCAGGGTGACTGGATTGCGAGTGTTGGTTGTTTTTTTATTTTTCTTCTGAACTCGGTTTGCAGAGCTAACAGAAGGTGTAGAAGTCTCTACGACAGGAGTTGAAGCGCCATCGTCTCCTGGACAGGCACATTCCGACGCTCATAACAAATTTTAGTATCCTGTGTCCAAAGGACAGCTACAGACGACGCACCTCGGGGGATAGTGTAGTTGATGACAAGCCGCTCACAGCTGCACTTTCCCGCTGGATGAGGGCAGGTGCTCAGGGGCCTACCCGGCTTGCGGACTTCAAGCAGAACGCGGTCTGTATGGTTACAGGTCGTTGATCTATGACCTCGGATACATGGTCCGCTTGAGTACACAGAAGCTGTCAGTTGATCGATCCCGCTGAAGGTAAGCAATAGAGTGGAGGTAAGGAAAAAAACATCCGCGGGATGAGGTTCGGCAAAGCGAGCGGACGGGCTGATCTTACCAAGCAACCTTCTTTCTCTCGCCGTTTATTGTCACCCAAGGCATGACTTCAACCAAGTCGTCGTTGTACCACGGAACGAGGCACGCTCATCGGTCCAAACAATGTTGCCAGACCTAGCACATTGTAAGTCCATGGGGTCCTGCATGGTGGCATGTCGGCGCATAATGACTCGCAGCTGGCTCTGAAAAAGAAAAACAGACGGGAGAAAACCAAGGGAAAAGAAGGTGTTGCGTACAAGGGGAGCGCAGCCTTTGGGGTTCCACTCGCAAGTTGGTCGTCTCGTGGCCAGACGGGGGTTGGAGCCTTACCCGCCTAGTGGACGCAAGAGCTTGGAATACAAGGGATAAGCGTCTGGAGTGAAGAGATGAGAAGAAACGAGCAGATTTGCACCACCAAGCGGCCCGGTCACCCAGGTAAAGAGTGGCGCGCAGGTAGTGGGCAGAAGAGGCGGCTTTGTCCCGGCAGCGGGCTCACAAACAGACGGCGGTCAGCAAGAGACCGCTGATCGGGGAAGCTCGCTTGGTCCCGTAGCGCTGGGGGAAAACGGTTTCGCGATGAGGAAGTTCGCGCAGATGTGAGTCGCCTAGGCTCCGCGGATGGAGCCTTGGTTGCGGGCGTGTCGGCGTTGGCCATGCAGTTGAGCAAGTTTCTACCGGAAAGGGTAAAGACCGGCACGGTTATGCCTCCTGGCGCTATTTCAGGCCTGTCGGCGCAACGACTGAGAGAAGCCTCGATGTCAGCTTATTATTAGAATGCACCTCCCGCAAGCGACGACGGCTCCCGATGAAGAAGCCGGACGACTGTATGCTTTCCGCCAGTCTCGTGCTGCATGGATCCCTGCAACGCCAAAGGGCTGATCTCCTCCATGGGCCTTCTTCACATACATGCAAGTACATGCATGCATACCCATGTGCGGCGCAGTCGATCATGTCCTAGGTATAGATACTCCGTATCCGTAAAAGCAAAAAGCTACGGTCAGCATCTTACCACGTGCGTCCGACACCGTGCTGTCTTGTAGACAAGGATACGATTTGATTATACTATTTCACTTCTTCGAACTATGTCCGCTCCCATGTAAAATTAAGTCCAAAAACATGCGATTCGTAATTGTTTTACCCGCTGGGATAATATATGCTACGCGCTTAATAAAAAAAATAAAAACCTTACGCCGCCCAATGTACAGCCCATAAAGGACTCTTTATCATTCATTATAGTGGTATACCTGTCATCTCGTGAGTAGCCCGCTCTCTCGGCGCAACACGCTTTTGAAGCAACTTACAAGGTAATTCGGTAGACCGTAGCTTTTCCAGCCCAGTCTGGACGCCATCTTCGCAAAGCCTTCCGTCTCAATCAAGTGGTAAAACGCAAATGGCGGGAACATCGCGCCATCTCTGTGTACATCGGCTTTGACCAGCAAAGCCGTGCCGCCGACACCATCAAGCTCGATTTCCTTTTTCGGCTCCGCGTGGTGATTAACATCCTTCATGTAAGCCATGAGCGACCGGTATGTCGCCATCTCAGCATAACCTTCCAGCAAAATATCATCTTTGCCCATGGATTTGGCCAGATCTTGAGCCGTCGGGCTGTCGATCCACGAGTTGAAATCGTAGGGACGGATATCCATTTCCTTCGCCTCTTCATTGTAGTAGCGCTGAAAGCAGTTCGGCACAACAATTGGCTTGTCATGAGCCGCGAGATCTTGAATTAGCGAGGGTGGCGACTCCACGATATCCGAGTCAAGCCAAAGGACCCAAGAGGTGGTTGGGCCCAAAGTGGTGAACAGCAGCGAGTTGCGCGCCTTGGACATGGCTGCCCTCCTTGCTTTTTGGTTCTCAAGCTTGTGTCGCTCAGACTCGACCTGGGAGGTCAGAGGGCTTTCATTGTCCTGGCGCAGAATCGTAACGCTCGCGAAGCGCTTTTTCTGGGGTCCGCTCTGGGTATTTGCCACAGCTGCCTGCAATTCCGCTGTCGCAGCATTCCCATCGCGGCCTTTTGGCAAGATGAAGCCAAGCGAAATAAGCTCGTGCGGGTAGCTCAGCTTCAGCAGATTGTCCCAATACTCTTGGTAGAAACGCGCCAATGGCGTAAGGATGAGGACGGTTTCTCGGTTTCCAACAGGGTCGCTCGAGGTGGTGAGGTTGTTCATGTGGTAGTGTACTACCGGTGGGGGAGCCTGTTGGCCATCGGACTTTGGCTTTCTAAATGGTAGCGAGGGTGGTGACAGCGCGTTCGCTGCAGATGTCCGCAATTGATGCGCGCTTGGGGCGACCTCAGCGTCGGAGGAGAATATGAAGTAGAGAAAGCCGAAGCATAGCAGGCCGGCCAGGACGATAGTGATGGGATTGGTACGGCGTAACGACCGCGCGGCAGGCATCTTGACCAAGGGCACCGGGTACGGCTCGGTTTGTGGTGGTTCAGGCGTGAGGCTTGCTAGGTCAGCGCGAGCTACGGTGTCGCGTCGCTGAGATTAAGAGAGCGGAGCCGAGCTCAGAAGCGGATGGATTGAACGCGGAATGGGATGGGACGCGGGAAGTTTGATAAACGGCGTCGCTGACATACCAGTTGTAAGCCGTGTAGGCTTGCCCTGGCAGATCGATTCGACGGTGTTCGCGCTGCGCTCGAAACCGTCTACGTATCCGCGAACGTCGCCCTTGATGAGACGACCGACCGACGAGAAGCGTTCCGGCATGCGGGAAAGACCGACCCGGCAATTTCCATGCCCGTCCGACGACTTCCTATGATGCTTCCAAACTCCTTTCGCCGCACATTTTCCTCGTCCCATAATCCCCATGCTGCGCAGGCCGCCGCAAACATGTCCGCCTGCTCTCCGCCATGGGCCGGCGCTTGTCCGCCCAGGTGTCCGTTGCAGTTGGCTTCGCCAGCAGCGCCTTCAGCGTCCCATGCCGTGTAGATATTTCTCGATGGACAGACATCGGTACAAGCATCAGTACACGCATATGGGTACAGTGATTGTTCGGGATGACACGAATAAGGTTCGACGCCCGCAGAGATAGCATGGCTATCATTGCTCTTGCTGACCTGGCGCAGGATCCACTCCGCTTGGTTGCCAAAATGTCCCAGTATCCCCATGATCCGCATACGCCCAGACCCAAGGAAGCCATGGCTTTGGTTTTGCTCTTCACGCCTATGTTCGCTCATTCGTTGATTGAGAACCGCGATTCCGCACCCACAGTTCTCACCTCAGCCATTGCTCATATCTTTGAGCCTATGTTAATCGCTCCCGGCGATCCGCAACGCTTTCTTGCCCTTGCGGCTGTTGTAGATCGGTTACCTGGACATGGAAACGGGCCAATTAAAGATAAACAAGGCTATGAAGGCATTGGTTATGCTGTTATGCCCGAATCTCTAATTTCGTCCACGGATCGCACCATTTCTTCTAAATCTTTACCAAAAGATGCTCCAGAAACCGGAACTTTGACATTCGAGGTGCAGGCAATGATCAAAAATCCATTTTTTGTTGACACCAACGATGGAATCGCACACAGAATAGAAATGCCGTTAGCCAACACTATCTTCCAAACTGGTCGGAACACGACAATGCTTGCCTGCCAGTATATTTCAGCCGCTCGTGAAAACACCGGCCAGGCGGGATCACGCGAAGCACGCCGCAATCTACTGTTCACCAATAGGTTGGACCTTTTACATCAGAAGGTGACATGGCCCCTAAAATATTGGTTAGAGCATGATGAGGTTGAACATTATGGGACGCAATCGATGCATATCCCACTGGTACCTCTTACAATTCCCCGAGAGGTCCGTTCAGGAATGGGTAATATTATCAGGGAAACAGTAAGCGCGGAGGGGAAGCCTGTCCCTGCATCTCAAGAACTAGAGCGTGCTGTTTCAGCATACTTTCGGGCTGAACGTCTAGTGCCACATGCCATGCCTGTATGGGCACTCGTAAGCTCTCGAGATGCAGCAGAGGAAATGAGCTGCCGTATAATGGAAAGGATCAAGCTCCTCCACCGCCTTCCGTTAGAGCAAACCACTCCCACCGAAGTTCAAGCCTTCATATCCCAGCATTTTATGGATGTTTGGGACACTCCACTACGTGGTTGGACTACGATCATGTGGAATGCTATGTTCAAAGGCGGAGCTCGCCTACACCGAGTGCTTAGCGGAGGCGGCGGCTGGGGCAAGAAAGCTGGGTTGCTTTCTTTGGATCCCCGAGTCTCAGTCGTGCAAGCTAGTGAGGACCAACCCCCGTCATTTGAATTTGACGAAAGATTTGACGGTGGCCGATCGTCTCTCACTCAACCACTCGAAGAGGTCGCTAAGGAAGGGGAATTTATCCAATTTTTCGCTGCTTTCAAGCCTTTTAGATGGTCGGACTGGACCCCTATGACGCCTGATAAAACTAAGAGAATGCTTGTTCTCGGTGCCATTCCCAGCAGTATCGACGATATCCGCCACAGGGAACCGGATGACGCGTCGCTTACTAATATTCGACATCACATCAAATTCTTTGGGGTTTTATCTGAGAAGGGCATGAGCATACATAGCGTCCTGAGAAATGGTGGTCCTTCGGGCGACAAAGAATGTCTACGCTCCATGGTCGATGTGCCATTCGCAATGTTCAGACAAAGACTTCCGGCAGATCATCTGGTATCTGGACACCGCGAAATCGTTCCAGAGATCGAACCAGATGATTTCGATTCTTCGAAAGAGCCTGAACCTGAGGAGCGGGAAGAGGTGGAAGCGCAGACCGATTCAAACAAATCAGAAACAGGTAGCTCAAAGGTTAGTTTAGATTAACTCGATCACGTCTAACTCTTGCACCTTTCCTGGCAAGGAATGGAGCGTATCTTCCAAAGTTTATATTTTTCCTGGGGCTCGTTTCTTTCTAGTTAGAATTTTTTGGGGTTCTTTTCATTTTGAAACAACGCTCTTTTTGAAAGGTTGACTTTGGAAGTCTCCATTTCTGTGGTGTGTTGACATCTGAAGAGCGCTAAGAATGAGAACTGACGGATACAGACTTCTTACGAGTCCCAAGCAGAGCACGTTTCATCGATAATGTCAGTTGATCTGGGAAAAGCATACACGCATAGGAACGCCATCTTTGCTGCACCCGGCCATACGTCTCTACAGAATCGCCGGACTTATTTCACGCATGCCTTTGCCAAGACGAATGACTTGGTCCTTCGCGACGCCTTAAACCTTAGCAACTCGCCCACTGTACCGCTAGAAAACACCCAGAGTGATACGTTGCTCATGGGGAAGAAGCTCGCAAGGAACCGGCGCATCCATTTGACGCAGAAAAGACTCACAGACTCAGAAATGAAGGGGCTAATGTCGCCGGAATATTTACCTCTCTCGCATTTCTGGGCGGGTTTAAAGGACAGAGTAAACGAAATACGTGACATTGAACTCTCATATCTGGACTACGCCGTTTGGGAATCCAACTACCACCTCGTTCAATTGACACGACAAGCCTTCTTCATACACCCCACCGCTTTCCCCACAACCAACACTGCCGAGGGCCACGCATGGATTCAAAACCCTGACGAAGAGACCATACGCAGAGAAACCGCCCGCAAAGAGGAGGTTTTTTCTTCCCAGCATAATGATGATTTGGCGCTTCCTTCGTTCATAGTCATCGATCTTATTACCAAGGAGCTAGATTCAATATGCCAACACGTCGAGGATATCGGAGAAAGCATCTATAATTCTTTAGCAATTACCGAGACCACGTTGACCTACAAGCGAATGGATGACAACGACGACGCCGACGACAAGCAAACGCAGCCTACGCAGGCCACCCAAACATCAGCACCCACGACACTTCTACGCTACGCGCGTGTCGACGCGCCCCCGCCACTTCTACGATATGCGCATGTCGACGATGCACTTTCGCCGATTGTACGAGCCAAGGCCGTTAAAAAACCTCTGCCATACAAGAAGACCAAGCCAGCCTCACCACCGTCTGTAAAATACAAGCTGACCGGCCCGCCCAAGGGACTTTTACGAACCGTTCGTGTTGGTTCCACCAAGGACAAGACAGAGCCCGACGCCTCGATGACTAGCCCCAACCAAGTGCTCGAAGTCAAGGACGGCCGCATCCAAATCACGCCGTTCGCGCCGGAACCTCCCGCCCCCCAAATGCGCATTGTCTGGGGCTCAGAAGCCGTTCGGCAAACGCAGCGAGGCGCGCTCGAAAGGCGCAAAGCGAAGATGGAGAAGGCCTCAGCGCGCGCCCAGCAGCAAAAAAGCGGAGGCATAGTACGACGCGTGAAGTTCGACGCGCTCGCGCCCGGCCAGCTCGAGGACTCGCCCATCCGGCCCTACACGTCACACACAGAGACGCAGGTCCCAGGCTTCGAGAAGCGCATGATCACAATGGCGTCTTTGCCGCTCGCCAAGCGCGTGCGCAAGCTCCCGACCACGACGCCGCTGCACCTCCGCGTGCTCCTGCTGCGCAAGCAGCTGTCGCGCAGCCATCGCGTCCTGCGCAAGACGTTTAACCTGCTGGGCCGCATGGACAGCGTCCGCGACCGCTGGGACCAGATCGTGCTGTGGCGCGCGCAGGAGCTGCGGCGGCATCAAGACCCCCAGGGCGCCCGAGGCCGCGAGTTGGAGCTGCAGAAGCGCTCCTCCCCGCTTGAGCGCCTGGCGGGCAGCATGCGGGTTTCGGCGGAGGAGGAGGTCGAGGACGCGTTGGGTGGTGGGGTGGGGGTGGGGGAGGCGCTGCCGCCGACGACGTTCTTTTTGGAGAAGCCGCTTCAGAGGGGGAGGGGCGGGGGTGGGGGTGCTGGTGTGCGTGTGGGTGCCGAAGAGAAAGAGTACCAGGCCCAGCAACCGCGGATCAGGAAACTGGTCTCGGATACAGGGCTGACGCCTGCGCAGAAGCTGCTTAGAGCAGAAATGTTCGATCTGGTGCGGGATCTGGACCACTTGCTCTCAGACTTAAATAAAGAGGGGAGGGACGGGGATGAGGACGACGAGTTTGAGGATGGGTATGGGTATGAGGATGAGGATGAGTTTGAGTTTGAGTTCGAGAAAAGGGATAGGGACGGAGGAAAGGGAGGGGATGGGGTGTAGATGGGGAATGTTGTACATGTACTGTACTGTACGGTCGTTTGAGCGGGACGCTGCTTTGGGGCGCGTGGGGTGTATATACATGTATGTGTACGCATAGCACGGAAGCGCGCTGTTTGGACTGGTCCTCGGGTTTCGTCTGTGGAGACTGCTGTTATAGACATGTGGGTGCGTGGTATCCGTACGGGGTAGCAGTGTCTTGATATTCGCTTGTCCAAGTCTGGCTGTCCCCTTACTCCAATGGGCAATTTGCTCAAAGTCCATTGAGAAGCTTGGCCGTTCTTACATGAGTGGGCTCAGCTCAGCTTCCGCGGTGGTCAAGCCACCAAAGCGTCCTAGGTATTTCACTGCTTATTTCATTTCCATAAAAAGCAACACGCACACAGACCCTTCGATCTACAGCAGCGAAGAGAGAGAGAGACGCACACACACACGCATGAACCGAGGTGAGATGCGACGATCCGAACATCATTCAGATTGAGCTAAACGCCACTGATATTTACAAGCGCCACAGCACGAACCCCATGCAGGGCCTCCATGCCGATGCTGATAATAATAAGAATAATACAACTTGAGAAGAAGCACCCCACCGAAACACTGGCTGCGTCTAGTTCCCCTTGCCGCCGCGCTCGTCCTGCATCCCGATCACGACGTCGGGCGCCTCGGGGTGCTCCTTCTTGGCCTTGGCGGTGCTGCCGCGCTCGTCTCTGCGGCTGGTGGCGCCGCCGCCGGTGCCGCTGGCGTGGGAGCTGTAGACACTATCAGCACTTTGCACACAAACACGGGGTTTGTTTGGCTGGGGGAATTGGAGTTGGGGGCGGAGGGAATGGGTAATGGGTAACGGGTAAAGGGCAGCCACTTACGCCTTGCCGGCCGAACTGCTCTGGTTCTGCACGTCCAGCTCGTCGCTCTTGTTCGTCGTGTGCTTGTCGTCTGGGTACTGGTCCGTCTTGACGCTGGAGTCGGTGCTGGGCTTGCCGAAGCCGAGGCGCGCAGGTGCGGCGCTGAAGGCGCGCCTCGTCGTGGTCGTCGTGGTCGTCGTGGCGGGCGACGCGAAGCCCCGGCGCAGAGTCGGGTGCGTGGCTAGGCGGCGGTAGAAGGTGAGGAATTCGGAGGGGGAGGGGGCGGCCATTGTTGCTGTTTGTGCTGCGGAGAGAAGGATAGAGAGAGTAGGTTGTAGGAGTGAGGTTGGTTGTTGTTGGAAATGGAAGCGTGACGGTTGGTCGAAAGGAGCAGGGAGATGAGGTCGTCTGGCCAGGACCCGTGATGCGCCCGAGCGAGTACCTAATCGATGATGCCGAGGGCGGGACGAGCGAGTGCGCATACCTACGCTGCCATGACATCACCCCGACGGAGCGCGCGGGGGAGCAGCGCGCAGCGGAAGATCCCGCTCCGCCGTCCCTCCGCCGCGGGGCATGGAACACCACGACAAGACGACAAACTTTCTCCGCTCCCCTCTACAACCACAACCATGGCGTCCACCGACGACCTCCCCTGCACACTGTACGCCGCCGACCCACCCCCCACCGCCAGCACGAAAACTAACGACCCACCCCACCCTAGCACGCTCACCATACCGCTCCCCACGCCCACGCACGCAACGACAGCCGCCCGCGCCCTCTCCGTCGACGCAGAGCTCTCGCCCCTAGTGTCGCGCACCATCGCCGTCTCAAGCGCCGACCCCTCCGCCCTCGACGTGCGCTACCGCGCCGCGACGAACCGCATGCTGCGCGTGGCCGTGAACGGCTTCTTCGAGAGCCTGGGCGTCGTGCTGGGCGTCATGGAGGAGCTGGATGTCGATACGGTGCTGCTGCCTGGGAAGGAAAGTGTGGGTGGCGCGCAGGGGCTGGGCGAGGTTAAGGCGTGAGAGGAGGGGAGGGAGGGAGGATAAATATACCCAGGGGATGGATTGGTGGTGTGCTTGTGGTTTTGGGCGCGCGCGGGCGCGGGTGCGTGAGGCGTGCGTCGGGGGGTTCTCTTGGAGCTTATGAACGGCTATCAGTGCTGCTGCTGAATCATTCGACGCCTCACCAGCGCATGATATCAAATATTGCCTTGGACAAAAAGTTACACTATAAAAATCACGATTGAGTGTTACTTTTCTGCTTCAGGGTTACATCTTTGTTCCTACTGATTCAAGTGTGCTGTGGATTGGGCTTGAAAGTCTGTCTAACAATTATATATACTCGTCTGGATATAGCCGTGATTGTAGGCGGATTGGTTCTACTGCCTATATCAGTACTACTCCTATGGTCGGAACTAAATTAATGTGTGTTCGGGGGAGAATACATATATACTTAAATATAGCAGCCTTAGTGTAGTCTCTTCTCGTTTGACTGGAAAGTGAAGACTATACCAACCCTTCTGGAGGAAAGATATAAGGCAACAACGAGAAAATAGAAGATGGGGGAAACTTAAAGACAACCTTGAAATCGACATTAGACAAGGCCGGCCAACGGCCTAAGCTGAACATAGGTACATACATCACCACAAGAGGAGACAAAAGGGAAAGCGAGCCAGCCCACAATCCCATTATCAACCAACTAACCATAACAATCCCAATACTGATCCATTCGTTCACTTATCATATGTAGGCACCCCAAACAGGTATCCCACCCCCATCAAACCAAACCCATCTACACATCCACCACCCCACCCAACCCCACCCTCAAATCCACAATATCCATCCTCCACCCCCTCCAATTATCCAACCCACGCTTCACCTCCCTAATGCGCTCGACGCGCTTGCGGGCCTCCTCCTCCTGCGCCGCACGGAACGCATCCTCATCGAAAGCGAAGTCATCGCCATCATCACTCAACAGCCCCAAGCTCTGCTTGCGGGGCCGCTGGCGATTCGACGAGGGCCGCCTTGCCGCCGCGCCCGTAAACGCGCTAATACCGCTATTAATAACGTCGGTGAAGGAGGAGCTGCCGCCGCGCTGCCCGCCGGAGCGCGGCCCAGCGCCGCCGCCATCAAGCGGGGAATGCGCGCCAGAGAGGTCGACGTCGTCGAAGCCGGCACCACTGCCGCCGTGCTCGTGCTCGTCGAGCCCGGGCTGCAGCTGCGTGCGCCGCTCGCGCCAGATCCCCCGCCGCAGATCCGTCGCCTCTTCCTCGAGGAACTGGATGCGCGCGCGCAACCGCGAGCGCTCCTCGTCTTCCAGCTCGTCGAGCCCTGGCTCTTCGCTCTTGAGCTTCGTGTTTTCGTTCGTGAGGGCCTCGACTCGCGAGCGCAGCTCCTTGGCTTCGCGCTCTGTCTTCTCGGCTTCGCGCAGCTTGGCTTGGCTGCGTGCGTCGGATTCGCGGTGCAGCGTTGTGAGCGTTTCGACTTTTTTCTCGAGCGTTTCGGCGCGCTTGCTGGCGTCATCGACGGCGCGTTGGGCCGCGGCGAGTTCGGCTTCGAGCGATGCGATGCGCGTCTCGGCGGAGCTGCGGGAGTCGCCTTCTTTGGCTGCGTCTTGGCTTGCTTGCTCAAGGTTCTTCTTGAGGTCTGCGAGCTCTTGCGCCGAGTTTTCCGCTGCGTGCTCCGCCTTCGTGAGCTTGTCTTCCAGTTCGGTGATGCGGTTGTCTTGGGTGGCCTTGGTGTCGGAGGCTTGCGAAACCTGGGTGTTGAGGTTAGAGATCTCGAGCTCAAGGGACTCAATCGTGCTGGACTTGGATGCCAACTGCGCGGCTAAGTCGTCGTTTTGCGGAGAGGCGCTCGATACGCGTCTGTTTTGCTTGGTTTGGGATTGAAGCTGGGCGTTCTGGCGTTGCAAAGACGCTATTTCCGTCGTCTTTTCTGCGAGTTAGATCGTGTTCGACTAAACATAGCATTATGGTGTTGCGTACCAGCTTCGCCACTTCCCCAGACTTGCTCTCCACCTGATCAGCCTTCGCCTTGAGCTCCGCAACCTCGCTGCTCGCCTCCCTCAGCTCCTCCAACTCCTCCTCGGACTTCTTCCAGCGCACCTCCGACTCCTGTGATTCAGACTGCAGCCGCTTGTTCTCCTTCTCCAGCTCCTCAATCCGCTGAACCTGCTGCTTGTAGATGTCCTGCACTTCGTCGCCAGGGCTCATCGGCACGCCGGGCGACTTGAGCGCATCGGTAGGGGACTTCGCAGAGCTGCGCCTGAAGGACTCGGAGCGCATCTTCGACTGGAGGGTGATCGAGGGCTGGCGGTTGTGAGGCGGCCTCGCGGGTTTGGCAGACGACTCATCCTCCGCAGGCTTGTCATCTTCGGCAGGCTTTTGCTCCTCGGCAGGCTCTTGTGGCTCTTCGGCTTCCTTGTTCTCTGCTTCAGCTGGAGCTTCGGGTTCCGCTTCCGCAGCAGGTTCCGACGCCTCGGCGGCCTCAGTCTCCACCGGCTTGGCCTCTTCCGGCGTCTCCTCGAGCTTATCGGGGGTCGCAGGAGCTTCGGCTTCAACCTCGGCCTTCTCTTCCTTCTTTTTGGCGCCGCCCTTCTTGCCCTTCTGCTTCTTCAATTGCTCAAACTAGACAGCGACAGCTCGTTAGCTCGGCGGGTCCGGACAGGTGGCCGGAACATGATAGGTAAGGAATGGATTGACATACGCGCTTCTTAGCGGCGGCGAGCTTCTCGGCCTTCTCTTTGTCCTCTGCTTCAGTCATTTTCGGGTATCAAAGATGGTTGGTGGTGGAAGCAGCTGTCTGGTAAGCTCTCAAGTCAACAGGGCCCCGCGCACGTGATGATAAAGCAGCTCGGTGTGTTATCGACTTCGTCAAGCAACAACTCCAGCTCTTATAATTGTAAAAGATATGTTTCAATGGTTAAGGTAGTAGCGACTGCTCTTCAAAGCATCTAAAAGAATGACTTCTACCAGCCACCTGCCATTTATCACGTGACCCTTTCTTACCATATAAGGCAATTGGAGTAACTCAATCAATGACCACCATTTTGACAAGCCGAAGCTTCAATGGCCGGGATACTTATCTGATCGCTTATTGGAGACAATCTGGTAAGCCTAAGCCAATAAACCAAATTTATCCTAATCTAATCATCCTTTAACTTTCCAGTCAGAATCAACTCTTATGATCTCTCTACTCCGCGCTATAAACCCGATACGACGGTATAAATATCTCCGCATATAACACCCAGCCCGACCGTCTCATCAGTGCTCACGTAACAAGGGCATCAAACATCAAACCCACCAAGCAAGCCCAAGACACGCAGACCCCGATTCATCTTAATCGCCTCATCCACCTCCAGCGTACAACTATAAACCCCAAGCTCTTAACTCGAATGATAATTGATAATGAAACCCAACAACGCCCGCATGAAAGTGCACGACAATCAGAAACGACATGTCTCTGACTGAAACAAGCAGCCACAGTAACACCCCCATCCCTCCACGTTGATATAGCCAGTCCTTTATACATCTCCCGTGTAGGGATGTCTTCCTTTCACTATCACAGCCGCCGTGCAGATGAAGCAGACATACCGTCTCTCTGCACGCACACAAGAGCAAAAAACTGCACTGCACGTCTTCCAACATGGCAAACGAGTCAGCCTCCCGTGTATAGACAGACGTGCATGCACACACACACAGCGCCATAACCTCACGTAAGCCACCTTCAAGGCCCGCAATCTGGTCCTGCGTCTCATAATCTGCATGCACGCCATGGCCGCAAGCCACCCAACTGCAGCACCACCGCGCCCACTATTTGTGTCACGTTCAAACCCACGGAACCAACCGAAGCGCGCATGTACGTGTGTATCAAACGAGTGAGGTTTTTTTATTTTGCGTGTCATTCATCATCTTCTCCAACCCCCTCTCAAAACAAAACTTAGCCAGCGCTTCCGCGCACCTAGCCACTCAGCTAGCTAGCTAGTTAGGTAGCCAGCCGCCCCATCTAGCAAAAAACGGACGGGATACACAAGACACGCATTCCGTCCCGTCGCATCGCCCCACGCTTCCCCCCTGCCGAAACCTGGCGCAATCCCACGGCAAAACGTCACCCATAGACAAAACAGGCGAGACATCTTCTGTGCAATTTGCCAAAACAGGGTAGAGGAGAGACAGAGTAGAAGGGGTGAGGGGGGAGAGAGCAGGGGCAATGTTATACTCCCCGCTTTTTTTTTTTTAAAAAAAAAAAAAAAAAGGAACAAGAACAGAGAACCAGATGATTTCTAACAGACAGAAAAGCGAGAAAAACTGTGACAAAAAAGAACAAACAAAAGCAAGCAACATCTCAACCACCCAAGAGCAAAACCGAGCAGAAGAACCCGTCTTACCCAACACCCGAAGCTTGAGTAAGACAGCAGGTCGGAGTAGACAGCTATCGCCAGTTTCTCAACGTTTCTCAACGAAAGCAAAGTTTCCGCCTATTCTGGCCTCGCAATGTTTTGTAGTCTTCCAGATGTGCCTCCCATGATGTGCTACTGTTGCGGCGTCGTCTTTTGGTACGCTTTTGACTGCTGAGGCAACCGAGAATTGTGTCCATGTGGAGTCTGCAAAGGAAAAACCCGATAAAGAAAAAAAAGAGCAACCCTGATGTGCTCATACAAGAACCTGTTGCGACGCGCCTTTATGCTCCGTGAACGCAAAGAAAAACCATGTCCATTAACTCAGCCGGACACCGATTATCAAAGTGTTGAACAGGGGCGTGTATAAGCCCAGAGAAGAGAATCCATCAATCATGCCATCAACATGAAGGCCGGCTTCGGAAGTCGGCCTGACGTCATTGTCGTCCCAAAGGGGGCCGAGTCGAGAAAGGTCGGGGTGAGAAGAGGAGCGGGTGGTGTGAAGTGATCTTCGCCTACGAGTGCGAGGCTTCCTTGTAATCCTTGTGCTTCCAGAATTGCAGCATCCTACTGACGCGTCGGCTCTTCTTCGCCTTGACCTCTCTCAGCGGCTTGTCAGCATGCTCCGACTGCGGTCTCTGCTCGATCGAAAGCTTGCTTCTCTCGCTGAGAGCGCCACCACCAATAAGCCTGGAAAGACTGGCGATGCTTGAGCGTTTGCGGCGAGCGTCGGCTGGCATGCTTGACATAGACGAAATAGAAGAAGTGCGGTCGCCAGGGGCCCTAGCCATCACGTACGGGAAGCTACCGTGAGGCACATTCGTCATTGTCGACCTGCTGCTTGTCAAAGAAGGCACGTCATCGACAGACGAGTTGCAATCTGGGCCAGGCTCGCCCAAGTTCATTGAGTTGAGCGTGCGAGTGTCCGTGATGGAAGAAGCGGCAGTTCCGAGTCTGGCGGTATCGAAAGAGTCCTGACCGCGGATGAAGTCGGGAGATGGGAAGACGGAAGACCCAGACGAGTCGGGCGACATTGGCGACGGATGAGAGCCTGGTACTGACAAATGCATAAGCTGTTCTGTGCCTTTGGCAGGCTCTATAGTTGTCGTAGGAGTGATCGTAGAGTCCGAAGACCTCGTCACGGTTGACGCGCGAGGCTCCTCGTAGTCCTCGACGATTTCGACCGGGCTGGACTCGCGGTGGATTGAACATGGGCTTACGTCGGATGAAACCGGTGTCGGCACCCTGGATGTGGTCGGAGAAGGTTGTGGAAGTTCCAATGCAGAGGTCCTTGCACTCGAGAATGCGTCATCGAAATTCCAGTTCATCACCGGCAGTCCTCGGGACTGCGGCTCAGCTGTCTCGACCACCTGAATTCCGGTATTCGTCTCCTCTTCATTGTCTTCGACCGTCTCTTTCTTTGCCGAGGTGGCCTCAGCAACGGATGTGCTGCTACCGTTAGTCGACACCGCCGGGGCGGTGTCTTCCTCTTCTTCCTCTTCAAAGACGTCGGCCATAGTCGGACCCGAAGCAGTTGCCATGTTCCTGAACTCAAAAGGAACGAGTTCTGGCGCGCTTTCTGTGCGACGGTGGTTGGCCATTCCTAGGCTGCTGTGCATTGCCTTCTTCGCAGGGCCTCGTCCATGGGAGCGGGGCACAGGGCCAATGCTAGGCGTGTTGAACGGTCCCATCGCAGCATCCAAGTCAATCACGGGACTCATACCCTCACGCTCCTTGGATATCATCTGTCGAGGCTTCCAGGAGGCTATGTCGGTGTCCAATTTCGGCCGGGAATGGTTCTCATCCATCGTCGGCGACACAATGGTAACAGTGTCGTCCACATCAAAGTTAGGCGAAATCTCAAAATCGGTCTCCATGTTGTCGAGAGGAACACTGATTTGAGTGGGGAGAGTAGGAGTTGAGCCCCTGCGGGGAAGCACTTCCTCCAATTTAGAGCGGTGGCTCTTGGGCTTTCGGTGAATTATGGAATTGGCCCAGGTTTTGACTTTACGCGGCTTTCCGTTCGACTTGCGTGGGCACGTCGATGAAAACTTTTCAGTCTTCCTCTGCTCATCAAAGGATGAGGACTTGACAGCAGACTCCGTCGAGGTAGCGAAAGATTGTTCAGAAGAATTCTCACCAAGCCTCGCAGCAACAATGGAATCGCTGTGCCTGTGCTCAAGCCAAAAGAAACTCCGCTTCTTGTGGTGACGCGAAGTGGCAGAATTGCCGCTGGGAGATGATTGTGCGTCAGTGAGGACTGCAGACCTTGGGCGTCTAGAACCAATCAGGTCGCCGAAACTGTGCCTTCCCGTCTCTTTCACGTCCAAGATCGCACCAGCGGTGCTGGGGCGTGCGGATTTGGTCTCCTTCTCGAAAGCGGCATTGAGATTTGGGCGGGCCATCCGTGCTCCGGAAGGGTTGGAAGCTCCACTGAGCACAGAGTTCAGACTGTTGGAAACAGAATGACCACGGACTGTGCCCTCCGTTTCCGAAGAGATCGTTGACAATGGGCGAATGAACTCCACTGTGTCCGCGAATCCAACTCTAGCCCGTGACGCTGGACGCTTGGGGGAAGAGTCTGAGTCGGTCTGATGAGAGACAATGCTCTCAGGCGAGTCGGAAGGAGGAGTCGGGTTCGAAGGGAAATGAGATGGAAGCAGAGACGCGAGCGGCTCGTCCCTCTCAATGGGTGTTGCGGGCGTCTGGTCAATGCGAGGAATATTCGCATTCGGCTGCATCATGAACGACAGATCGTGGGACGAAATGGCTCCGGACCGGCGGTGGGCGTGGCCCTTTCTGCCTGCGGGAGGTCCAAGTTGAAGCGAAGGTGGAGATCCACCGTCGCCTTTTGTCGGGCTGGAGCTCATCGGAACCATGCTGCCAACCCTCTTGTGACCACCACCGATGAACTCACTTGCTCCCCGCCTGTGACCAATGCTCTTCGACGGCGTGGTTGGCGTGGTGGACGTGGGACTGTCGGGAGGAGTCGTCTGGAAGGTAGGAGGAGCCAGACCTGGGCAGCCCGGGTTAAATGAGAAGTCGGGAAGAGCACTGGCGGACCTCCGCTTGTAGGCATTCGCGGAAGCGTTGGGAACGCGCCTCGAGGTGGGCAGCACCTGCAGCGAGACCGGGCGCCTACCTGCACCGGGGGCCATGTCGAAGGTCTGGGGAGGCGAGTCCGGCGGCTGCTGAGGGAAGACGAAGTGAGGATTGGGGACGAGTTCCACGGTTCCAACAGAGGACGGCGTCCGTCTCTGATACAGCGGTGTACCCATTGACTGGGTAACCTGGTGTCGTGGCAGGGCAATCTGTGCCATGGCGGGTTGCGATTTCAGTAGAGGTGTCGAAGGCCGAGCGGCGAGAATTGGCGTTACAGCGCGATTGCGTCGAGAAGGGCGCGGATGAGCGTGGGTTCGCGGGAGGATGCAGACGGAGGGTGATACGGCGGTGTTATGCCTGCAGCATAGCACGAGAGAAGCCTGGAAAACAACGAGAACAGCGCTGGAAGAACGGAAAGAAGCAATGCGATTAACTGGCAGGCGAGTCAGCGAGGAGAGCGGGCGGGCACGGCTTTGGAGCAGTCGTACAGAGTATTAGACACTCTGTTGACAGGACAAGGCAAAAGGAACGACTGGAAGGAACGGACGGCGACAGAGATCAGACAGCGCGCATGCAAGGAATTTGCGCAGTCGAGACCTAAGAGCCTGGAGAGGTTAGTGGGATGAAGAGGTGGTGGAGTGTGGAAGCGTGGGAAGGAAAAGGCGGAGGAGAGTGAGCGAGCGGTTCACCAGGGCGATAGCGCCAGAGCCGGGGCCGACAGCGCGCCCGAGGTTGCTGGGATGGCGGGATCAGCGCACGCTTGCACACTGCGCGCGCCGCCTCTGCTCCACGATCTCCAGCAGGCAGGCACGACCGACAGTTTTGACACACACAGTACACACTCTGACTCTCTCTCTCCCGGTCTCTACTCTCACTGCCTTGGTTCCCGCGTCTTCCTTCCACTCCTCCTCCTCCCCCATCATCATCATCACCATCACCTACACTGCCCGGACAGGCCCGGCAGCGAGATTGCAGCCAAGACGCTCGAGCCGCGCACGGCCAATCACGGCCGAGTGGGGGACTGCGGCTTGTAACAGGCTGTTCCTGCCTCCCCCGACTGGACTTGTACATCGTAGGTATACCGTTCGCGGCCATCTGGCGCCGCCGCCGACGCCGCCTCCTTCAAGCACACCCCGCGCTTGACACACCTTTCCCTAGCCCGCGCTCCAGAAGCCGTCCCCCTTCCTTCACAGCACAAAACAGTCGGTCCTTTGGGCCGCAGGGTGGCAATCTCGGGGTGATCAAGATAACCGCGTGGCATAATTGGGAATTGCCCGCCCCAGTTTTCCTCTGGCGCCGCTTGCGTGCACAATTTCACGCCTGCACTGCACATGGCCCGGGCGGGGCACGCAAATCCAGCAGAAACGGGCAGTCCACCATGCAGGGGGGCCGGAAGAAGCATGGCCGGCGACGAAGCGCCGCGATAAAATTAGCACCAGCCTGCCTGGGCGATCGTCTCCTCCAATTTGCGTGCTACCGGCCTTTCTGTCATGACGTTTCCCCCAGCCTCGCACAAATCTCTCGCGAAATGAGGCTCGAGTTGACATGGCGACCTGCGCAGCTATTTACCTATGTGCGTCCTCCGCACTCCGACGGAGCACGCGAGACAATCTCTCCATCCTCCCCACACCCGCCTTTGTTGATATCGCCGGGAAAAAGGGAGAGAAGGAGGGTGCACGGCAAAAAAGAGCACGGAACCGCCTGCGCGTCATCCCACGGCTTGGACCGTCCGACGAACTCGGCTGCTAATATCCTATATTTGTAGCAGTAACACACACTGCATCTTTGTCTTGTCCTTGAAGCGCTCTCGTAGTTAGGCCTCCCCGTGATTTCACAGCGCAATCTTACCAAGGCAGTGATGCTGGGCGAAGGATACCGAGCACCAGCCGCTTGCTGCTCGGTTGCGTGCCGAAATGTGCCTTCGCTGAGGTTTAAGGCCCCGAGGACCCTGACGATCCGGCTGCCGAAGGCACCGACGCTGCGGGATGCATGTATGGATGATGAGCAAATTTCAACAAACCCCAACACCTTGCCACCACGAACGATGTCGGGAAGGCCAGCATGGAAACACGGCTCTTCCCTCCGGACCGGCGTCCATGGTGGAACATCCCTCACCTCCGGACCGGAACCGCCGCAGCCTCACGCGCAGATGGTCCCAGAAACCATGAGTTGTCAAAAGTCCCGCTCTCATGCGGAACACGTATCCTAGGCGCTGCGCCGGCCCGCTCTCTCGCTGCGAAGGAGGGAGCGACTCAAGAGACGGTCAGCCCAGCGTTGCACATGCACGGCAGCCTCGCACTTGCGATCGAGTGCCGCAAAGGGTGCGCCTTTTGCGTTTCGACAGATACGCTGCAGTACCACCTCACACACACCCCTACTACTCCACCCGTTGGGACCGACAAAGACCCTCGCGCACCGGCTGTGGCGAGTCGTCGACCGCGCCCGCTGTCCTCACCGCTCCGCCGGTTTCCTGCAGCGCACAACAGCTAGTAAGTAGTAGCAATAGCAGCGGCAGCAAAGCGCAGCACAGCACAGCACACAACACCCCACGGCGCGCGGCACCCTTGCTCTCGTGTCGCGGTGCTGTTGTTGCGCGAAGAGCCTCGCACGAGCCGGATTTCCCTTCCGGGCTAGGACAGGTCGGCGCACAGAAGACACCACGTCGTCGCCTGGCTCGAGAGTCTTTGTTGAGAGGGTTCGAGCGGTGGAGGATTTGCCCGACGTGCGCCATTTTGAGCGGCGGTGGACGTTGAAGTCAAGAAGGCGGTGGGCATCGCCATGTTGCCGGTGACGGTAATGTGAGGTCAGAGAGGCTCGTTCAGAGGATAGCAAGAGAGGGGAGGTAGCCTGAAACGCGGCAAGGCGCGGTTCGAGCGACGAGATCCCTGCGGCGCATCTTGCAATGAGAGGCAGATAGATCGATAGTTGCTAGGGGCGGGCACTGTGGTTGCCATGGAGGAGGGGGAGGTTAAGGTAGGTGCTTTTTTTTTATTGTTCGCATATTGGGGTCTCTGGTTATATTGCGTGCAACCGTGCGAGCAGTGTCGTGCAGACGTTTCGGTGCCATTTCCACCACACGCACGTCTTGCGTGCTGCCTGTTTGTGGGGTTTGGACAATAGGGGAGAAGAGCTCCGTCCGAACGGCGCGCAGATCTATGTCTCTCCTTGCCGCAGTGTATGTATTGTGTGTAGTAAGGATTTATGCCAGAGGCTTCACAAGTGCGGAAGCACCCACACACACCCCGCGCGGGCGTGCAGGAGGAGGAGCAAGGCAAGGCAAGGCATGACTACAACACTACGATAAGAGCGCGCCGCGACTCGGGACATTGGCCCGCGATCTGAGCTGGTGTTTCCATTGCCGGTGGAGCAAATTTGCGGTATCCGGCACACACACACACTCACACACATGTGTGCACATGGACACACGCCCACACGAATGACGGCACGGCACGAAGGCGACGAGCGATGACGATGCCGCTGCCTTGGTGCCTGCCCATCGCCATGCCCACTCAACTCTATTCCAGACCACAAGATTGGGATCACCGCGGGCGACGTTGTGCCATGACGTTGAAGTGAGGGGTACGAACAAGGGCCCGTATCTGGCCGTCGGCCCCCGCCAAGGCACATCAAGGCGCTAGCGGGCGCGAGATTCAACGAGAGAGAGAGAGAGAGAACGAGAGAGATAGAGGGTGTTTCCAAAGGCGAGGCAAAGAGCGACGAAACGGCACGTAGGCGCCGGCAATCAAAATGTGAAACGCACGAAACGCTAGCTGGCCCTGTCGGGGGCACGCGGGCGCGAGCGAATCAAGCAGCGCCTGCAAACTCCACAGTCCACACGTTCGGTCGCGACCCGCGAGAAGCAAGCAGAAGAACAAGAAGCAAAGGCCAAGAGGCCAAAAAACACCGGTAAAAGAAAGTATAGACGAACCTGACCTACATAGCTATGGAGAACGGAGGACGGACGCAAAAACGCGCCTGACCGGTCGCCGGTCAACGGGGTGCGGCTCCAGATGACGCCCCTCTCCCCCGCCGCCCGCTGCTAGCTAGAGTACGTACTCCCTACTCGGGACGTACACGCAGCTCCAGGGGAAAAGAAGAGGAAGAAGCAAAAATAGGGATGAGGGGCGGGGGGGATAGGCCAGCACGCGAGCGAGGTGATGCGCAGCGCGCGCGCGCGCGCGCGCGCGTGTGTGTGTGTGTGTGTGTGTGTGTGTGTGTGAGTGTCGCAGAGCAGGCGCCACCAGACACAATGTGCAAGAGCTATATTGTGGTGATTGTCTCATCATGGGGGCGCGAGTGGCGGCGACGCCTCCCGTGGCTGTGCTTCGCGGATTAGGAAATTTCCAGGCGCTGGCCCGCGTGTCGCGTGCGGTGATTGCGCGAGGCTCGAGCGAGCGAGACGGCGACGGGGGGCACGCGCGGTTGACTCACCAGGCAGCCAGGCAGGCGCTTTTGCCTAGGTACAGAAAGGCCACCTTTGTTGCCTTTTTTTTTCTCGGCCGTTAATGCCCTGTCTGGTGCGAATCTGCGTGCGTAAAATGTCGTCGTCTGCCTTCTACGAATTACCGCAGTTGGGCGGTTGGGATTGGCGCCCTGCTTTGTCGTCCGTCTCGCGCGACTTATGCTGCGCTTGTCACGCGTTATCATGACCGTCTGAAGCCATGCATGGAGTGTTTGCCTTGTCAGGAAGACTTACCCGAGTCCATAATTACAATCTACCACCGGTATGGAACATAAAAGCGAGCGGCAAGCGTGAAGCTACTTGGGTAAAGGATAAAGAGATGCTCTGCAAGCTAGAGAGATAATAGAAGTGAAGCAATCTGCGGCCAACCGAAAGATTATGCTAAACACGTGCCTGAGCATGCCTTTTGCGACCGCAATCTGGTGCTGCTGTCTGTACGGGCATGCAAGCTTGATTGTCCTCATACCCAAATAATGAGGGAATACGATCGAACTGCCCAGGCCCCAGACTGTGACATCGTCTTACCCAGAGAGCCATTGAAGCCTTGCAACTGCCGAAACAACCGCGTAACCGATGTCTCAAAGCCAGCCTGCCAGGTCTCAACCGTATCATGATGCTGGAAAGCGGAGACAATAGTCTTCTATTGGTTGTGTTGAGTCTAAACCATCGCTCCGACCGAATCCAATAACGCCACCTCCGCGAAGCCCGAAAGTAGCAAAGCGAAGGAATCTCAACCCAGCAACACCACCGATTAATGCCATGGGAGTTTCGGCATTGCTTCCCGCCCGCGCCTTGAGCTTAATTTAACCGCTCTTAGGAGAAGCCACGTGAGGTGGGGGCTGAGCCAGCCTGCGAAGGAAGAAAGCGATGATCCGAGGCGCGTCAAATTTAATCATGGCCGGTTTGCGTCTACACTCTGCTCCGATCGTAGCCGGAGTAACTAATCATTTCGCGGTGGTGTTGACCTGTTTTTCATGCAGCTGTCGGTTTGCATTTCATCACCATTTGAATCGGTTGACGTTTGACATTTGTTGTACATGGGTTCGAGGATGTCCATAACCGCACGCCGAAAATAGGCATGACTAATTCCGTCGCGCCTTGATCCATGGCTGAATGGATGGAAGGGAGACGTGCTCCAGACCAGACTCTAGATTTCGAATTCACTGAGCCAGTGCTTGGCCACAATCTTGCCTTCCTCGAAGCTTGGCTTGATGGGATTGCGTACAATGATCGCGGCGTGGCTGAAAAATTCAGTATTTGTTAAAGGTAGTTTTGGAGGAATCAGCACTTACCTATGCCGATTCTTGTGAATCCAGACAGGATACTTCCGAAAGCCCACGTCGTCAAGAGCCTGGATCATAGCGAACTGGATAGGGGTCAATGCAAGCGTTGAGAACTCGAGGTCAGAACGCTGGAGCCTAGATTGTTCTTCTGCCCCTTGGTCTTCAGCTTGGATAAGTGGCTGCGTCTCAGAAGAATCGCTTTTCTCATGATCGAAGGAATGCTTAGAGCTTTGAGCCGCTGCGTATTCTTCACTGCCCGAGGGCAAGTATTCTTGGTTATTGTTCATTCCCTCGTAGATTTCCTCGGCCTCCAGCCGCACATCGTTCACAAGGAGAGGGATGCTATATGCGGTTGGATCAAGACCCGCTTTGCCCTCAACATATTGACGAATGCGTTTCCGGCTCCTGATTGACTGAACGCCCGAGTTGAGCAGAAATAAAACTGACGCGATTGGTATAAAGATAAACAGAAACACCATGAAAGGGAGTCTGCCCAGAGCATTATAACTGCCTCCAGCCAAGCGCCGGGAGAATGTTGGTAGAGCTTCTTTTTCATGCTTTGGTGAGACCGGGTTGGCAGGGTCCACGAGGACTGGCTCATAACCCTTGAGGTAGTTGACTTTGACGCCAGCAAGGTCATGAAACGGGTCAATGCGTGATATGGCGGTAGTGTAGTAGACGGCAGACCGGTCATTAACAATGTTGCAGTAAAGAGACCTGCGTTTGAACCTCTTCAGGCCTTTGATGAACACACTCTCAGGGTCCGCCAATATGGACAGCAGTGGACGTTCGGTGTCGCGGAAGGAATCGATAGTGAATAATTGCCTTCCAGATGTGGATAAAGTCCTGGCGCCGAGGACATTCCATAAATGGTTCCATACACCTACGAGCGGCGTACGCACGCCCAGATGCGGAGTTGCAAATGTGGTGAAATTCTGACAACTCATGAGAACACGAAACATAGTTGCAAGGTTGTATTTGTACGTACCACAGGTTCAACCTTGTCGAACCATCCTTTGTGGTATAGCAACCCAATCGCATACCTAGAGACGAGCCCGCCCAAGGAATATCCGATAATGCTCAGCTTCTTAATCGTTTGTCCGTTTCGCGCCAATCGATCAAGCTCTTCCTCAATTTCTTGGGTGATTCTTTCTCCGCCTAGTTCAATGCCATCGTAGGTAAAGCTTCCGGCGTTCCGTGCAGCGACAAGGATGTGGAGCTGGTCCTCGGAATAGGCCTCGCGAAGAGACTTGGCGAGATAGCCCATGTGCTGCGGGCTTCCCCAAAGTCTAGGTACAGAGACAAATTAGCAATGTACTCTTAGGCTGAACAGATCATAAGGCGAAAGTCAAGTACAGTTACTGGTGTACCAGTCACAACCATCCTGAGCCTACTCTTACCCGTGAACTAGCACGCATAGATGGTGGGCGGCAGTAGAGGACGAGGCAACGTCCTCCATTGCGATGTGAGAGCCGGCACCGGCTGGGGCGAGGGAGGAGAGAGAGAAGGGGAGCATTGAAAGGAGAAGAGTGCTGTGGTGCCCCCTGCGAAAGCTTTTACTCTGTAGGTGGTGAAGGTGTTTTTGTTTTATTTTAGGTTATCACCAAATATCTTGCCTTCGTCACAGGGACAGTGCACGTCAGAGGCGCGTTGAGCCGACAGGGATTGCGCGCATGCACCACGTCCCTAGGGCTGTCTGCGACGACGACAACGACGACGACGACGACGAAGTCTTAACTTCGCGCGCTGCGGGCAATAGGAGCTTGCTTTATCTCCGGAAGAAACAAGTGCTAACACCGTGTCACCGCCCCTTGTACCGGTCATTTCCTTCACCTTATCGACCCTCGACGGACCTGCCGAGCCGCAAGACACGCGATCCAGGCACGCGACACCACGAGAGGCAACGCTTGATCAGATGCGCCCGCGCCTTTCCTGTCTGACCACATCACCTCAGATGCCAAGCCCGCAGCTCAACAAACAGCCTTCCAATCTCCATACGGCCGCTCCAGACCCGGAAGCCATTCAACAGGAGTCGCCGCCGGGTTTTTCCGATTGTTGCAACCATGTTTTCGAGCAAGGGCCTCTTCAAGCACATCGTGTGTCCCGAGGGCGCGGCTTGCAAGGTGCCCAACTGTATCTTCAGTCATGAGTTTTTCGGGTCAACTTCACAGAATACGCCTGAAGCCGCCTCATCGTCGGCCGGTCCAGCTGTGCCTGCCGCTAGTAGAGGCAATGAACTGAAAAGACAGAAGCTTGCCGAGGGGGGCAAGGCAGCGACTGATGGTACTGTTCCGGCGACCGAGACAATGGCGTTTGTAGGCAGCCTCGTGTCCAAGCCGACAGACAAGAAAGGAGAGGTCAAGCATGAGCCTTCCAAGCCTTCGAACACCTCAGCCAAGGTTCTTAAGATGGCACAGCGGCCGGTGTCTCCGCCATCAAAAACAAGTTTGCCAAAAAACAAAGCCGCTGGTGCTACTGTGAACAAAGCCACACCAGCAGCCAAGCCGAATGCGCCTGAGAACAAAGTATCATTGAATCCTCGCCTTATACCTACCGCCCCTGCTCCATGGGGCGTGCGTACAAAGCTATTGGAAACGCTTCACGAACATATGTCACGGCTCAACAAACAGGTCCTTGACAGCAAAGACAGCAAGCTACACCTGAATGACAACGAGTTGGTCATTGCCGCGCTAGACGAAGAAGAAAAGCTGGCTAAAACACATGGCTCGGTCTACACAAACATGATAAAGCATAGAATTGTAGCATACAAGAAGATGAAGGTGGATGATTGGAAAGCCCACGTAACATCACTCCAAGCAGCACAATCTGGCATGCCACCGCCACCAAAAGAGGCGCCTCCGCCCCCGCCACTCGATACTGGGCTCACCCCGAAACAAGAAATGATGCTACTATCCCATCTCATAACCCCTCAAAAAGGCCTGGAGAAGTTCGGCTACGTCACGAGCGTACCAAGCGAAGCAGAAATCGAGCAGGCCAAGGCAGGCAATGCCGCCAGTGATGGCTGGGAGAAATGCGATCGCTGCAGCACCCGTTTCCAGGTCTTCCCTGATCGACGTGAAGATGGCGCTCTTACCAGTGGCAAGCAGTGTGCGTATCACTGGGGCAAACTTCTACGGCCAGCATACAAAAAGACTGAAGCAATTACCGGCCGGGCTGAGCCAACATATACATGTTGTCATGAATTAGGTGGAAGCCCAGGTTGTACTGTAAAGGACACGCATGTGTTCAAGATCAGCGAAGCAAAGAGGTTGGCCATGGTGCTGCCGTTCATCTCGACTCCTCCAAACCCCAAAGCCAGGAAAGATCAGGCAGTCAGCTTTGACTGTGAGATGGGATACACTGTATACGGGTTTGAGCTTATTCGCTTGACTGCAACCTCTTGGCCAGATGGGGCGCCGCTCATTGACGTCCTTGTCAGGCCACTTGGAGCCGTTTTGGATCTCAACACTCGTTTCTCTGGTGTATCACCCGAGCTCTTCTTTAACGCTTTGGATTATGACGCGAAGGATTCCTTGTCATCAAGTCATGCAGGAGCAGGTGATGCAGAGAAGCCCACGCTCCGGATCGTTAGCAGCCCTGTCAGAGCACGAGACTTGCTTTTGTCACACATATCTCCGGAAACACCGTTGATAGGACATGGAATAGAGAACGATCTCAACACGGTGCGCCTTGTACACCCCGCCATTGTTGATACGACGGCGCTGTATCCACACCCAAGAGGCCTTCCTTTCCGTTTAAGTCTTAGGCACCTGACCAAACAGATGCTTTCCAGGGAGATCCAAACGGCAGGTGCGGCGGGACATGACAGTTTGGAGGATGCGCGAGCAACAGGAGATCTAGTACGGGTCAAAGTGGGCAAGGAGTGGAGGAAGCTCAAGCATGATGGCTGGACCGTCATTGAAGAAGGCTTCTGTCCGCCCGTGCCTCCGGGATCAGGAGGGGTGCCGAAGCCAGCTGACCTACCGACTCTTGGTTCGGCGGTGTTGGGCAAGACTTTGAAGAAAAGAAAAAGGACACAGACTGAAGGAGCGGATGATGAGGCTGAGGACAGTCCGGGGCGTTGATGCCACGGCATAACGGATTGGAAGGAATAATGACCGAGTTCAGGTTATCGGGTTGCACCAGCGATGACGGAATATTGTTTTATTTTGGCGTGGGCACCTAGGGAAGCGAGCACTGGCGTTGGAGGAGCAATGTTACGAAAAGCAACGGGAGGTTCCAGAACATGCAAAAGCCTGTTTTTGTACAGATCAGCGCTCAGCTCCCGCGCGGACGGTGAGGGAGTGGCGCAATTGGGAGGATGCCCAGAAGCGCCGCCTACCCCAGATTCTGAGGACCCTGGGGCAGATCTCGATGCGCGTCAGGGCGTGCGTAGGTCTAACGTCACCCCGCGTGCTCGAAAACAAGCATTGAGGGCGATGCTTGGGCGAGGGAGCCAATACCAGGCGAGCCTGTAAGCAAGGCAGGCAGACATGTCGTTACCTCGCCAAGCAAAGAGCGTTCCACGGCGCAGCTGTCCCGCGGTCATCGCGACTTCCCCGCCCTTGCCTGTGACGTAGGGGACTCTTTGTCCGCCATCCATATCACCTCCCCGCCCTCCACTGCTTCTGCCTCCTTCATCTTCATCCACTTGTTCCCACGATACCCTACCTCTACACCTCAATCACTCATCTAACATCACACTTCACCACACATAACACAACTCACAATGGATACCCTCAGCAACCTTGCCAGCGGAGCTAGCAAGCTCATCTACGGCGACAACAAGGAAGAGCAGTCTGGGCAGGAGCCCGTTTCGGGTCAGTCGGGAGCCGGCACGGCGACCGATCCCTTCGACTCTGGCAACGTACAAGGTTAGTGTCGATCCTACAAGTTTGCTTTCAGCCATTGCTGCCCCTCTTTGCCTCCACGTTCGTTACCCGTCACTGTACCTGCACGTTCTCGGGAATAACGACTTGGGCTTCACCCAACGAATTCGCACATAGAACCTAAGCTAATGTTTCCCTGGCAGGCAACACGGGTCTCGGAGGCAGTTCTGCTCAGGAGACGCATGCGGGCAGTCATATTCCTCCCCCGGGTCAGCCGCATACTACCCATGCTGGCGCTGTGTTGGACCCCCACATCGAGCAGACCTCTGGCCTTACGGGCGGCACGTCTGGTCTGACGGGCGGCTCTACCGGTCACACCGGGGGCTCGTCTGGCCTCACGGGTGGTCTCGGTGACACCACTTCCGGCCTCACAGGCAGCTCTACCGGCCACACTGGAGGCACCTCTGGTCTCACTGGGTCTTCCGGTCACACTGGGAGCTCCTCAGGCGGCATTACGGGCGGTCTCAAAGACGCCGCTTCCAGCCTCACTGGTGGCTCTACCGGCCACACCGGCTCTACCGGCCACACTGGCGGCTCTTCTGGCCTTACAGGCAGCTCTTCCGGCCTAAGTGGCGGCTCCACTGGTCTCACTGGTGGCTCTACCGGTCACACTGGTGGCTCCTCTGGCGGCATCACGGGTGATCTCAAAGACGCTGCTTCCAGCCTCACTGGTGGCTCTACCGGCCACACCGGCTCTTCCGGCCACACCGGCGGCACCTCTGGCCTCACAAGCGGCTCCTCTGGCATTGGCAGCACTCTCAGCGGCGACAGGACCGGACATGGCCACGAACACACCCTTGGCACCGGAACCTCCTCAAACTCTGCTTCTCTGGGCGCGGCGAGCGGAGGCGCAACTGGCGGCATATCTGATCGCTCCAAGGAGCTTGGCGACGGAGCTGGCTTTGACAAGTCTGCTACTGGCTACTCTGGTACCTGAATTTTTCTTTAGCTGTAGCTAGTTCGTCTTACTATGGAAGTGCCCTAACCTATTGCCTGTAACAGGCCCCGACACATCTGTTAAGAACCGTGAATCCACGCTTGGTAGTGGATCTACGTCAGCAGCAGACACGACTAGTGGTGGCGGTAGTGGTGGTGTCGGAGCAGGAGCCCATGGCGCCAATGTTGCCGGTGCCGTGCACCCTGAACACCAGACGCCAGGCACAGGCGTGACGGGTGCCCACTCCAGCAGCATCCCGCACGGCACCGACGTACGCCCTAGCGAGCGCGATGCGTCGGGCCCGCACACGGGGAACGTAGGTGGCTTCGGCACGGCCGCGTCCTCGGTGAGCGCGGACCCGTCTTCCGCCCAGAAGCCCACAGACAAGCAGCAGGGTGGGGACAGGCCGCGCGAGGCACCAACAGGAGAAGGAGCCGCAGCGGTAAAGGAGACGAAAGACGCAGGCGAGGAGGCGCTCGCGAAGCGCGACCCCAACGACCACTCGGGCGAGCCGCTGAAGGTGCACGATGGCTCTGAGAAGGCGAGCCAGAAGCGGGGCTCGAGCGCCGGCCAGGAGGGAGGCGGCGAGCATGGCAGGGAGAAGGGGACGGGGGAGCAGTACGTCAAGACGACGGGATTCAGGGCCGATGGCGGCGACTTTGATGCCGCGAAGCCGGGCGCGGGACGCGAGGCCGATCGTAAGTCTTACTCTCACCCTACTCCCACTCCCACTCGTACCAACCACGGCGGCGGTGGTGGTGATGTTGATGGAGGCGCGGTGGCGGCGTACGAGCACATGTTTGCGCTGAGGGCGGCTAGAGCAGCGGCGGCTAATGTAGGCCACGACGTGGCGGGTGCTTCTGCAGGTCTGCTAGAGTCTAAGGGCGTGCATCCTCATGGCGGTGCTGGCGATGCTGGCGATGCTGCTCCTGCTAGCACGGACAGCCCAGCGCTGAGTGAGGGGGCGAGTGGTGCGAGTGGGAAGGAGGGGAAACCGGGCGTGGGGCAGAAGATTAAGGAGAAGTTGCATTTGGGGAAGCATTGAGTGGGGGTTGGGGGGTTGAGGATGGATGGAGGGAATTTGGGGATGAGGGATGGGAGATGGGGGATTGGGAATGGAGGTCTGCTGTCAGAAGGCAGCTAGCCAGCCAGCTAGGGGCGTCCGAAATGATGGATGGACGACGGACGACAGACGGCAGACAGACGACCTACGACTTACGACACGACCGGCACATGACCTTGCTTTTTTTTCTTTCTCGTTCTCACTCCTTCTCTTTCTGCATTCCTCTTCCAATCACCCACCTACCTACTACTTACTGTACTCACATTCCTCCCCTCGCCCATCAAGCACCTCCCTCCTTTCTTCGCGCGCCCAGCTGCTGTAGGTAGCACTCACCCACTGTAGCACGCATTCCCCAAGTAGCCTAGCCTAGACACGCTCGATACCTAGCCCCGTGTGTGTGGTGTGCTGCACGCACGCACGCACGCACGCACGCGGGCAATCGCTTCTCGTAGGGTTGCACATTCGATCGCACAATTGCACATCATTGCATGCACGTCACACGCTCGCGCATACACACAGATCATGCACGCACGCTGGAGAACGAACAAACGAACGAACGAACGGACGGATGGACGAATGGGACTGGTTGGCCCCCCTCCCCCATAGCCCCCGCCCTCGTGTGTGTGGGTGGGTGAGATCTGTGTGCTACGGTGCATTCATTCCTCCTGCCTGCCCCTGATCTGGTGGGTTGACTGTTGACTAATGGTCTTCTTCCCCACGGGGGAGGCGGCGCGTGGGACGCGTGTGCCGTGCCTACACGCCTAGGTAGTGGGTTCTGTACGTAGCGTGTGCGTGCGTGTATAGCATAGCATACCTAGCAAAGCATGCGCGCGCTCGTGCGGAGGCTGGGCTGGGCTGGGAGTGCGGCGCACAGGGTCGTGCAGAAATTTGGCTACCTACCTGGCTGGGTATTGAAGGATGGCGATGCCGCGCGCCGCGCTCTCTTGGCTCTTGGCTTTTGGCTCTTGGCCTGAAGGGTGGATTAAGCACGCGCACCGTCTGCCTGGCTGACTGACCTCGTGCCTAGGGCCTGCCTCCTGCCTAGTTAACTACCCCGTGCGGCGAAAGATGCGAGATGAGATGCGATGGATAGATGAAGATAGATGGGGTGGGCTATGCAGAGGAAAGGGGGAGCGCCGCACTGCACTGCGCTGCACTGCACTGCACTGCACTGCGGTTTTGCTGGGCAGGGCGGGGCAGGGCAGTCCTGATCCGATCGCCGCGACGATCTACCAGGTACGGACGACCATGTCGGCAGTTGGCTGGCTACCCGGTTACCTGCCTGCCTGCCTGTCTTGGGCCGCTGAAACCTGGCTGACTGGTTGGCTGCGGGGAGGCAAGTCCGTCACGTTCCTGACCTGGAGACGGGGAACTGGGTCGCGGGCTGCGCGCAGCTGGGCGTTAGGTGATCGTTGTTGTTGATGACTGTCGGTTGTTGGATGTTCGGAGTGGGGGGTGGGGTTCCCACTGGTGGTTGACGAGTGGCCGCCTACTCTAGAAGCGGCAGGTGAAGCGAAAGTGTCGATGGTGGCGGCGGGAGCGCGGGAGCGGCGGCGAAACGAAACGAAACGGTGGGGTGATGGATTGCGCCGCCGCAAGAAACATTAAAACCGGTTCCTGGGGGGCGCATTGTTTACCTCTTCTCTCTTTTGCTCTTTTCTGCGCTTCTCCGACGGGTAGACGGGCGGTTTGCGGTTAGTGCGGCGAAGGCGATGTGAAGAGGATCGACGACGACTGGCCCGGCTGGGGCAGGACAGTGCGCAGTCCGGGGATCCGGCAGAGTGCAGCTGCCTTGGCAAGTGCGCGCGCAGCAATTAAAACCGGGGTTGGCGAGGTGGGGAGGAGGACCACTGTGTGTCCTTGACATCCAGGTGCCCGCCGTAACACACTCGTTGCACCTGGGCAGGAACCTATGCTGCAGACATCATCCACCATCTCTGTGTGGGTCCACGCTGGAGATGGGATATGGATGACGGGCAAAGACGTGTGCAGCCGGTTCATCTCCGACCTGCAGTGGCGCGCATGCGCCCTCCTCTTTCGTCGCCGGCGAAGCTACCTCGAGTTAGACGGGCCCCTCACTCCCTCCTTGGCCTTGCCTTGCCCGCATTCCGCATGTTGTGTGAACGCCGTTCACTAGCTGCTTGTCCGTCGCCTGCGAGGTGCTGATAAAAAGCCCGCTCGCCAGCATGCGGCCCTAGGTAGGGTGTGAGTCTGTCTCTTCTCTCTCCCCTCTGCAGCTCGCGTCTTGCCCCCCCGGTCTCCGATCGCCTCCCCGCCTCCCCACACCACTCGTTTATCATGCGCCCTCTGCTCGGGTTGCTGCTGGCCGCTGGCTCTGCGTGGGCCCAGAACCCTTACACCAATGCGGCCGACTCCAATGGGTGCGCTCAACTCTCTCCCGCTCTCCCCCACGCGCTAACACCGACGCGTAGAAACACGGTGCCCGTGTACAGTCCGGCGCGTCCGCCCGCAGTGCCTCTTGCCGTCCGCTCGCCCTACACCAGCGTGTGGTCGACGACCGCCTCGAATGGCACCCTCAACAGCAACAGCGTGCGCTTCTGGACCGGCCAGAATGTCGGCTGGGAGGGCATCGTGACCGTCGACGGCATCTCGTACGAGTGGTTGGGCACCGGCCTCAAGGCCTTCCCCATCGTCGACGAGATCAAGTCCGCCACGCCCCTCACCGTGAGCTACGACTCGCAGTACTCCAACTTCACCTTTGCTGCGGGCCCCGTCCAGCTCACGGCCAGCTTCTTCTCCCCCGTCACCCCCCACGATCTTTGCCGGACTAGCATCCCGCTTAGCTACTTGCAGGTCTCGTACCTGTCCACGGACAATTCTTCCCACAGCGTGCAGTTCTATGGTGATGTCGACGACTCGTGGAACAACTACGCTGCGAGCGCTGCCGTCAACTATGACCTCTATGCTGATGCTCAGACGGTCGGTGGCAATGTTACGGGCGGTCCCTCGTCACTCTGGAGTTGGTAAGTGAATCCGGCCCGTTTTCCGCATGCGAATGGTGCATGTACTGAACGCGCGCAGGATCTACCACTTGGCCCAGGAGTATGACTTTTCCGAAACAAACGACTTTCCCAACTGGGGAGATTTCGCCTACTCGACCACTGCAGGCACGGCGGTGAACTTTACCCACCAGGCCGGAGACGCGGTTAATTTAAGGTACAACTTCCTAAAGAGTCACCAGCTCACTAATGTGCGAGATAATGACATATCCCACCCCGTCTTTGCCTACGCGCACGACTTTGGAAATAGCAACTCCGGCAGCGCTCTGTACACCGTCGGCACGATCCAAGCTCCGCAGATCAATCTTTTGACGAGCGAGGGGCTGCAGTCGTTGCCGCCGTGGTGGGCCAGTCCGAGTTGTTATGGCCCTGACCAGTCCAACCTCATCGCTTTCCACTACGCGGACTTCCACTCTTCTCAAGGCATGGCAGCTCAGTTCGAGACTCAACTCAAAGCGGATGTGAACAACTATTATGCCACCGAGGGTGTCAGTGTCTCCAGTAACGCCCCTGCGACGCCAGCACCGGCGTGGGCCAGCGCTGGAATGGACAGCTCCACCATGGACAACTTCACCAGGGGCGTGGACCAGTTCGGAGAGGCCTACATCTTCGACTCGAGCAACGCGTACGGTTTCCTCAACCCGAACGACTTCAGCGGCGTTGCGGTCCCGGACCTGTCCGAAGCTCAAGCCTACTACTCAATCGTGGCGCTGTCGGCGCGGCAGATCATGGGCGCGTACACCCTGACCGTTCCTCCAAACTTCAACGGGGACCAGGCCACCAGGTACAATTCGTCGGAGCCATTCATGTTCCAGAAGGAAATCTCGTCAAACGGCAACATGAACACCGTTGATGTCTTGGTAAGCACCACATCCAGCCCGTGAGCAAAGAACTGTCACTGACAAGACGCAGTACCCAGCCATGCCTTTCTTCCTCTGGGCAAACCCGGATCTCCTGAGGTATGCGCTGAACCCGCTTTACTTGAACCAGGAATCAGGCTTCTACCCCAAGGATTACTCGATGCACGACCTAGGCACGCACTTCCCCAACGCGACGGGCCACGTGCCCGGCGACGACGAAGCCATGCCAGTCGAGGAGTCTGGCAACATGCTGCTGATGAGCTACTCGATCTACAAGTTCACGGGCGAGGTGCAGTGGCTGCGTGACCACTACAGCAAGCTGTACCAATGGGCGCAGTTCTTGATCGAGTACGCGCTGATCCCATCCGAGCAGCTCAGCACCGACGACTTCCTCGGTACGCTGGAGAACCAGACCAACCTCGCGATCAAGGGTATCGTGGGACTGCAGGCCATGGCAGGCATTGCCAGCGTGACGGACCACTTGGATGACGCAGCCAACTTCTCCGCCACGGCCGCAAACTACTACTCCCAGTGGGAGGGCTTCGCGATTGACCCGTCGGGGACGCACACGGTGCTGGCGTACCAGTGGCGCAGCAGCTGGGGCCAGCTATACAACGCGTACCCTGACAAGCTGCTGAACCTAGGCGTCGTGACGCCGGAAGTGTACGCGATGCAGTCGGACTGGTACGATCAAGTGTCGCAAGTCTTCGGCGTGCCGCTCGACAACCGCCACTCCCTCACCAAGAGCGACTGGGAGATGTGGACGGCGGCGACGTGCAAGCCGCATACGCGACGACTGATGGTCAACGCGCTAGCGTACTGGCTGAACCAGACGAGCACGGACAAGGCCTTTACGGACTTGTACGAGACGATCGACACTGGCAGCTACCCCTCGCAGGCGACGTTTATCGCACGACCCGTCGCCGGTGGACATTTCGCCCTGCTGGCTCTGCTGCGTGCGGGCGCGACGTCGGCAGTTGACTCGGTGCCCGCGGGCTTCCCGGCCAACTCGACCAAGCCCCTGGACCAGGGCGCGGGGCTGCCGATCAGTGCTGGCGTGACGCCGACTGCGAAGCCGTCGTATGTGGTTGAGAGCGGGTCGTTTACGCAGACGAGCAGTATCGTCGTGTCTAGTACGTTGGCGGCGGCAGCGAAAGCGGCGATGTAAGGGGAGTGATTGAAGTGGTGATGCTTATATTCTTCTTCTTCTTTTTCTTCTTCTTCTTCTTCTTCTTCTTCTTCCCCCTATTCTTACTATCATTTTTCCTCATTACGGTATCATCACCTTGGTTCTTCTCTTCTTCGTTCAACCCCCGTCTGTCCGCATACTGCGTGCCAAGGTTACCGAAGACGACGTATTCGCTTCCTAGCTCTTCCTCTTCCTCTTCTTCTTCGCCTTCATTCATTCATTCATCCTCTTCACCATCACCTTCTTCATTCTTCAGCATTTCCTGTCTTCTTGGCCAGGTCTCTAATGTAGTTATAACCTCTATTATGGGTAGTCGGCAGAGGAGGAGGAGAAGAGAGACGGCGCCGCCAATGAGGGGGAACGGAGCGCATGCGTACGTATGTGCGTCTGTTGGTGTCCTGCCTAGTTGGTCGATGGTTGGCTGTTGGTGGTTTGGTAGTCGGGCTCCGTGTTGGACGAGAAGACGATTCAATGAATGGTATGCGTGTGCGTGTGCGTGTACGTGTGTGTATGTGTGTATGGTGAACTTGACGTGGGTGCAATGCCTCAGCTCTGCTCTGCTCTGCTCAGGTCTTGATAATCAATCCACCCTTCCACTCCCTATACCAAGCAAAGTTCCTCCTCTTCTCTATTCTCCATTCCCGTTCACACCTCCTCCTTTCCTCACTGTGTTCCACATCCCCATGCCTTACCTTGCTTACCTTACCTTACCTTACCTTCTCCTACGCTTATCAGCATGCATGTACGTACATACTTAGGCCAAACCGGCACCCAGACGACACCTAGGTACACGGCACCCCACCCCGTCCGTCCGTCTGTAGATACGTACACACGCCCACGGCGCGCTCGAAGCCGTGTCCTCAACCCTCACCTGGGTATCCACTACTACTACTTTGTAGCAGCGGCGTTCTTCATCTTCGTTGATCGCTCGTGGCCAGATGCGCTGCGCTGCGCATCACTCGGCCCAGTATGTATATCTCGCCCGCTCGCTCGCTTGCGCGTACCGTATCGTAGCTGATGGTAGCAGGCGTGCGGGGGTAGGTGCGTCGATGGAGCTGGCCGAGCTGGCCGAGGGAGGGGTTTGTGCGCGCGCGCGCGCGTGCGTGCGCTGACGAGCGTGGGTTTTAGCGGGTTGGGTTGGAGTTTCGAACAGATGCGACACGATGCGATGCGCTGCGGTTTGAAAACGCAGACGAGTTTGAAGCTGCTAGCTTGCTTGCTAGCGGCGGGGATGGTGCGCGGGGCGATCTGATCTGTGGGGGAGGCAAGTCGATAGCGGGGCGGCTGACTCAGCTATCAGCTATCCGATCCCTCTGTGCTACAAGTGCAATGTGGGAATGGTGGTGATGTGATGCGGGGGACCGACCGACCTCTCTCCCCGGGCTCCTCTCGTCTTCGCACCACCCATCCCCTCGCTCGCTTCTAGCCCGCGTCCGCGAACACACTCACTCAACCACACACCCCGTCGAAGCCAGTGCTAACTCCACGCGGAACCAAGCAGCCTCTTCTAGAGTAGAGTAGAGCATTAAGCAGGCGAAGCTCGGCCGAGCTAGCGCTATTGGATCCGTTGCTGTCCTAGGTGCCGTGCCTGGCGTGCCTGGCTTGGCGCGGCCGGGCCGGGGGTAGGTAGGTGCTCTAGTCGAGCGAGGGATGCGTGGGTGGATGGTCCTGGACTGGGACCGGGACTGGGACGACAGACTGACAGCAGACGCGGTGGCCGATGCTCTGCTCTGCCCCTTCTAGTTCACTCGTCGGTTGTGGTTGTGTGCGTGTCTTTTTGTGCCCATGGTGGGCTGGTGTCGTTATTGTTGACGGCAAGGCGGGAACGAGGTGGTTGAGCAAAGAACAGATGCGCTGGGCTGGGCCGAGTGGAGTGGTTTGGTCCCAATCGTGCGGCAGTGCGGTGAGCGGACTGATGTGGGCGCGCTGGTCGCTTCGGCTGCGTGTGGATATGGATATGGATATGGATATAGATATGGAGGGCGGAGGTGCAGAGAGAAGGTGAGGAGGGCGGGGCAGGACACTGAGGGGATACATAACATATTGCACACGCACAGCTGAGGGTATGAGGGGAAGGCGGGAGACTCAATTGGCTGGACAGACGGCAACGCTGCATGCGGTCGCTGGTGGTGGTGGTGGTGATGATGGTGGTGCTCGTCGTGGGTGTAGTGGTGGAGGGGAGAGATGGGCGCGGGAGCGAGGTCTGGGTTGTGGGATCTGGGGGTTGTGGAGGGGTTGTGGTAGGTGGGGTTGAGAGGGGAGGTACAAGGAGAAGGATGTATCTTTTGCTATGTCTCTCTCTTTTGCTTCTTTCCTTCTTGCGTTGTCTTCTTCGATTGCGACTCACGATCGCGCTGCTGTGGTTGCTTTGCACTTGCCTACTCACTCGGTCACGTAGACGGACTACGTTCGGTACTCGGCAGTCTGGGTGTCTGTACGGCGGCAAGGCCAAGTGTGATTGCAAAAAATCTTTGCTCATTGGATACGTCAGTCCGTGACTGGGGAGTCAGGCAGCCAGGCAGGCAACCCGGTAGGGAGCAAGGTAGGCAACCAGACGGGCGGGACCGTCTCACCTCACTCGGCTCGTCCCTGGCCGGCCTAGATGTCCTTCGTATAGACTCTCGCGGTACTCCGTGCGACCCCCTTCGCAGCCGCCGGCGCTGCTGGGCCGCCTACCCGATCTGTACGCGGAGGTCCTTAATACAACCCACATAATGTTCGCGTAACATGCATTTGCGCACTCGTAGCGAGGATACAACACCTTTTTAGAGGGCATTGATGCCTTTCTTGGCGACCCTGGCATGTTCGCTTCCCTTTGCGGCTTTCGGTGACATCCTGGTCAATGCTAGGTACCTGCCGGCAGCATACGAAAGCGAATGCGGCGGAGGATGTTGTACCTAGACCGCAGCTCGTGTCGAGGCGGCGAGAGTCCTCCGGGATGATTTCGCGCGCTTGCACGTCAGTGAGGCATTTTCCCCCGCGAAGGCTGCTCGGCTCATACATACTACTGTCAACCACATGGCGGCAAGCGACGTTGGAAGTATCGAAATTATGGGAAAAATGCGCGACGTGTGGATTGCGGAAACAAATGGCCATACGTGCCTGAAGAACATCAAAATGGAGAAAAAATGCCGCAGCAGTCCTTGCGAGGGCGCATGCGGTCGGCTGGATGGGTCCCTTCCTACAAACCATCCTTCTCTTCGCGTACCGGTCCAACGCCATGCCTCAAACGCCGTCCAATGCGATACATCCGCTCGCCATTCGGGTCGAACAGGACCCGACGCAACGTCAAACGAAAACGACAACTCTTACTGCTCTCCCACCTGGCTGGCCCTCCACTTCTGGACCCTTTTCTTGATGTCACCCTCCGTCTGCTGCATGGGATTGAGCTTCATATCCCTGCTCATTTTCCTATAGTCATCGCCGTACTTGGCGACCAGCCTCTCAACCCACTCGACCTCGCGCTCGCTCTGTTTCCGCGGCGCCTTGCGCACGCCACTCGCCGCGTGCGCCTCGAGCTGCGCAATGACCGGGTTAGCAGAGCCCGACGCAGCAGACTTGGCCTTGCGTCCCACGGGCGCTAGGTCATGCTCCGTCGCAATGCCCTGCCACTCTTCGTCATCATCCCCGTCGTCGAGGTCGTTCAGTGGGTCATTGAGCGGATTGGGTTTACGCGCGGTGCTGTCGTCGACGACGCGAAGTTCGCCGGTCTCCGGATCCCGCTCGATCCGCGCCTCGCCCAGCGTAATGTTCGTAGCAGCCTTGGAATTGATGGCGAGGGGGCCGTCAGCGGCGGCGGGCTGGTTGTTGGAAGGACCGGCTGCGAGGGTCTTGGCGGTACGCTCCACACCGCCAGTGGTGCGGTTCAGTTTGGTGGTCAGACCAAGGCGGCGGTAGTTCTGAGTGAGGGTTTCCTTCTGGTCCCTAGGGGATGTCAGTGGTGGTGCTGGGGAGAGGGAGGCATGCGACGGACCAGTTGGCGGCGATGATGGGGTTGCTCAAGATCTTCTTCTTGGACTTGGGCTTCTTGGTGACCTTGGCCAAGCCAGATCGGTTCTTCTTCTTCTGCAGCTCGCGACCCATGATGCCTGTTTGCTGTATGTGTCGTGCAGCGAGTCTTGTCCGCCCGTCGCTCGCGCCAGCAACTTTTCCGTTTTGCCTTATCGATAACCCACGAGCTTAGTCAGGACGATCTGATAAGGACCCGACATGACGGCAGGCGCGATCGGAGCTTCATCCACATCTGCTCGCAATGCCGTCGCGAAGTTATTGGGCTGTTGCGGCTCTCTTGTGCGCCTTCCTGCTCTTCAACGTCGCTCAAGCTGTCGTGGACAAGGCCAATGACTCGGGTGCCATTGGCCTGCTCTCCACCGAGGATATCGAGGACAAGCTGCAGGTAGAGCTATCTATCTTCCTCGCGCAACGAGGTCACCTTGCTGACACCCTCAGGAATGCCCCATTGTCCAAGAGCTAAGCGCACACAAGGTCGCTACCAGCCCTCCCCCTGGTGGCTTGACCTCTCGCATCTTCGCCGTTCTCTTTCCCGGCAGTCCCGCCGTCAATGCTCTTCTGGCAACCCTCTACATTTCCGGGCCGCCCAATTTCCTGCTGGCACTATGCCCGCCCAACATTGACCCCTCGTCTCTCAGCATTATGGTTGCCTTCGCTGTCGGCGGCCTGATGGGCGACACACTGTTCCATCTGCTGCCAGAAATCTTCCTTGGCGAAGAAGAAGTTGACCGTGTCAAGTTCGTCATGGTCGAGCCGAACAAGAACCTTTTGCTTGGTGTTGCCATCATGATCGGCTTCATGACCTTTGTTGCCATGGACAAGGGTCTGCGCATCGCGACTGGCGGCGAAGATCCGCACGATCACTCTCACGGGCACGGCCACGCCCACGCCGATGACAAGCCCACTGCTACCACCAGTGGAGCTGACGCCGCAGGTGCTAGCTCTGTGCGCTCGCGGAAGTCTACCTCCAACACGCCCTCTTCCGTCTCTGATTCCACAGAGCCCTCGAAAGAGCCTTCGGCCTCAGCCAAGCTGGGAGGTCTGCTGAACATGATAGCTGACTTTACGCACAACATCACGGATGGCCTCGCGCTCAGCAGTTCTTTCTACGCGTCGCCCACCATCGGAGCCACTACGACCGTCGCTGTCTTCTTCCATGAGATCCCGCACGAGGTCGGTGATTTCGCGCTGCTGATTCAGTCAGGTTTCAGCAAGCGCGCGGCCATGGGCGCGCAGTTCGTAACGGCATTCGGCGCACTGCTGGGTACCGTTATTGGAATCGCCGTGCAGGAATTTGGCGGCTCCTCTGCGTCCTCCGGCGATGCGGATCCGGGTCTCTTGGGTACGAGCCTCCGCTGGGGCGATTTGTTGCTGCCTTTCACGGCGGGCACTTTCTTGTACGTCGGCACTGTCGCAGTCATCCCTGAGATGCTAGAGACAGGGCCAGACAGGAAGCGCGAGACGCGCAAGACGCTGACGCAGTTCGTGGCCATTGCTGCGGGTGCGGGCATCATGCTGGCGATCTCGTGGCACTGAGAGATGGATGAATAGACGAAGGGAGTAGAGACGGAGGTTGGCCCAGACAAGAACCACAGCATAAGCAGGTTTATGGTTGTGGGCGAAATGAGACGAATGGATGATGTTGCTCGCGCGCAAGTGTGACAAGGGCCGCCACGTTTGGACGGTGGTCGCACTCGTAGCTTAGGTACTTTATGTGGACGGGCATACCGTATTCAGCTAGGAGCTGATACTCTCAGTCGGAAAAACAAGAATCTAGATAGGAGGCGGATTTAGAAAGGCATGGCATACGCGACTTGATTATTGCGCGCTTCCGCTCCCAAAATGCTTTTAGTTTATTCAGATCCCACTGTCTCACTCATACATCGCTTTCTTCTATTTATAAAAGCATGCAGGCATGAAGACACGCGTTCAATTGTCGCCGAAAATCAAAGACACTGATGAGAAAGCGTTACACTATACAACGCCCCCACTTCCCCATCCCCACTTCCCCAGGCAACACTAGCCCCCAGAACTCCAGCACCTTCCTAAAAGTCCACCGCCACCAGGCACTGTCAACCTCAGCCGAAGCTCAGCACTACGCTGCGCCCTCACTCCATGTGATTCTGACGCAACACCAACACCGCCACCAATGCCTCACCTCTGACTACCTACGCATTAACTCCTCCAGAAAATTCGCGTCGGGAGGCGGTCAGGGATGTACACAGTTGCGGACACAAGCCCGCAAGGAACCGATCTCTTTCATCGGGTCGCTCCATTGTGATAGGCCGCTTGATGCGGAAACACCGTATTCGTATAGGTTGCATGCGCAATTACCTATTCGCCTACACACTCGCCCCCAACCTTTTGCACTTACGAGCGGTTTGGCAGGCAGATGTACAGGCGCGCGACGGCGACGGTGAAAGGCGCCGGTGCGGCGACACGGCCACACGGCGTACCTGGGCGTCTTTCACCGCCTTGGACCCTTTCGCCCCAAATAATAAGGCCGATCCTTCCAATAAGCACCACTCAGCTTACTACAAGACGAATCCTAAAGGGCGGGCTTTCCAGCCTTTTCAATCACATCTGCTCACCCATTTCAACGCACGGCAAACCAATCGCCAGAGACGACAAGATGAGCACAACGACAACGACCGTCACGACCGTCATGGAGCCCATCACGGCGGACAACATCATCCGCCTGTTCGGCGCAGACATCAACACCGAGGTGATTGGCGGGAACGCACGCCAGGGGAATGACCGCGGCAACGACGCCGACCTGGCGGGCTACGACGAGGAGCAAATCCGCCTCATGGACGAAATGTGCATCGTCCTCGACGAGAACGATTCGCCGATCGGCAGCGCGAGCAAGAAAGTTTGTAAGTGGCGCTGCGCTTCCCTCACCACCCTGATTCGCTTCCCGAGCAATCAGTCAACAAAGCAAAGGCTAACAATGGCTCTCTCTGCTTAGGCCACCTGATGGACAACATCAACAAAGGTCTCCTCCACCGCGCCTTCAGCGTCTTCCTCTTCGACGACCAAAACCGCCTCCTCCTGCAGCAGCGCGCCAGCGAGAAAATCACATTCCCCGACATGTGGACCAACACCTGCTGCTCGCACCCGCTGGGTGTGCCCACAGAGACGGGCGCAGACCTGCCTACCTCGATCGCGGGCGCCAAGCGCGCCGCTCAGCGCAAGCTGCAGCAGGAGCTGGGAATCCCGCCAGCGGAGGTCCCGCCGCAGGACTTCAAGTTCCTGACGCGCATCCATTACCTGGCGCCCAGCGACGGGAAGTGGGGCGAGCACGAGATCGATTATATTCTTTTCATCAAGCCCAAGAGCGGCGTCTCGCTCGATGTCAACCCGAATGAGGTCCGCGATACGACGTTTGTGAGCCAGCAGGAGTTGAAGGATATGTTTAAGCAGCCCGGCCTGAAGTTCACGCCGTGGTTTAGGCTTATTTGCGAGAGTATGCTGTACGAGTGGTGGGACCATTTGGATGAGGGCATGGATTCTTACAAGGAGGAGTCGGAAATCAGGCGTATGTAAGGAGGCCTGGTTGCTTGCCTCTTCTGGGGCTGAGGGGGTGGAGAGGTGTGGACTTGGACATGTGGGTCGATGATACCCGAATGCGATAGAGCTGCTGCGGCATACACGAGGATATACTTAAGTTTCCTTTTGAATTATTGCACATTGCTCGTGTTGTGAGGGGAGTGTCTTGCCTATGGTAGGCTTCGCAGATTGACCGAGCTGGTCGGGTTGGCCTGCGAGGCCCGAGGGATGTTTTTGCTAATAAGTGTATCAAAAGATAGCGCTGAATAAGGCGACAATGCAGATGTAATCGCCGCAGGCGTGCGGGCTATGGCTGTCGAATTATAACAAAAAGTTGTTTTCTAGATTTGGATGTTCGGTTGCTGGCTGGCACGCTGGATACAATAGAAATCACCAGCCGTCGCGACCTAGGCGCGTTGCGCGAGTCGGCGGGCGTTCCCCGAAAAAGATCCTGGCGACTTTCGACGGCGCGGCCGCGCATCCACCACACGACGAGCGAACCCCGACGAGAGGGAACCTTTGCCCAGCGCCTGCGCCTGAGAGACCTCGCCGACGCCATTCATGTCCGAGACGACCATGTTCCGCCCACCGATCAACCGGGCGATGCGCACGCTGGACCGCGCATTCTTCCGCCGGACATTTCCCATCTCGGCCGCGCGCGTCACGAACAACAATGACATATCAATGGTGCGCAAGGCGCTGGAAAAGAGCCAGGACATTCTTGTGCAGCCGCGCTACCAGGCCGTGTGGAGTGACCCGGCCCAGCCGGGCAAGAGGCTCGTCCTACTGAAGCCTGAGATCAAGCATAATGGTAGGCGGAAAGCTCTCGCGCCGCGCCGCGCTGCGCTGGTGTTCGATGCTGACGGTGGCAGACAGACCCTTCGACTTGGGGCCCGCAGGTGACGGAGTTCCAAGATGCCAATATAACGACCTTGGTCCCTCATGATGTGACGCTGGACTATGACTACTGGACCTATGGTGCGCAATGCTGCTCGCCCCTTCATATCTACCACCACCCACCAAGAGCTGACATTCTCCAGACGACATCATGAAATCGATACTCCCAGAGGAAAACCAGGAAGATCTTTATCCCAAACGGTTCACCCAAGTCGGACACATCCGTAAGCTTCACGCCTGCGCAACGGCGGCATGATTAGCATAGTTTCTGACCAGCCATGCAGTCCACCTGAACCTGAGAGAAAGCCACCAGCCGTACAAGCAGCTTATAGCCGATGTGCTCTTCGACAAAACCAAAAACATCAAGACGATTATCAGTAAGATTGACAACGTCGGCGAGGAGAGCCAGTTCCGGACATTCGCCTACGAAGTACTCAAGGGACCCGATGATCTTAACGTCGAAGTCCACGAGGAAGGCTGCACCTTCTGCTTCGACTTCGCCAAGGTCTACTGGAACAGTCGGCTCCAGGCGGAGCACAAGCGCCTGGTCAGCACATTCAAAGAAGGCGATGCCGTATGTGACGTGATGGCAGGCATTGGACCCTTTGCCGTGCCCGCAGGCAAGAAGAAGGTCTTTGTGCGAGCAAACGACCTAAACCCGGAGAGCTACAAGTACATGGTGGATGCAATCAAGAAGAACCATGTCGGCCCATGGGTGGCCCCCCACAACGAAAACGGCCACAAATTCATCCGCACTGCCACTGCCGAGCTCTATGCCCACCCGCGCCAACACTCGCAACTCATCGCTCACAAGTACAAGCCGGGCGAGAAGAAGCCGGCCAACCCGCCCAAGCCGGAGGAAAAGAGGTACACGGAACCCAAGATCTTCTCGCACTACGTCATGAACCTCCCGGCCAGCGCCATCGAGTTCTTGCCCGCGTTCATCGGGCTGTACAGCCGGCACCCGTTCAAGAAGCTCTTGAAGGGCGCGGCACCCGAAACCTTGTTCAGCCCGCATACCCCGTTCAAGCTGCCCATGATCCACGTCTACTGCTTCGAGCGCAAGGGCGGCGACGTCGTGGCCGAGCAGAGCGCCGACGTCTGCAAGCGCATTTCCGAGCAGCTCGACTATGTCATCACGCCCGACACGCCCGACGTCTCCATCTACGACGTCCGCGACGTCGCCCCCAACAAGCGCATGTTCTGCGCGTCCTTCAGGCTGCCGGCAGAAGTGGCGTTTCGGCCACAGAGGCCTCGTTCACAAGAGGGCACTTTCGAGGTGGATTAAAGACAAGAGCCGTCATTAGGCCAGGAAAAGCGGGCATTTGCTGAAAGATAAAAAAAAAGAACTTGGAATTTTTGGAAAGAAAAAATCTACGGATCAGGGAATCTAGAAACCGGTTGGCTAGAACAGGCAGGAACAATACCACAAATTCTTGCTAGCCGAGTGCCATGTCTCCCGTCCCTCGCTCGCTCTCTCTCTCTCGATACCTACCTATCTACCTACCTACAGCATGTTGCTTGCTTCAGGCACCGGGCAGATTATCCTTCCGCCAAGCCCCGATCTGCCGCGCGAGGCGAGAAAAGAGCGGGTTGCTGCCGCAGGTCTCTCTCGATGCCGGCACACTTTACCCGCGAAGGAAGGGGAGGTGGTGACGGTGATGGGCGATGGTGTGGTGTGCTGATGATGAGTTCGCCACACGCCTGGCTGCCTGCTTGCCTGGCTACCTTGCTTGCTTGCTTGCTTGCAACCTACCTGCCTGCCTATAGCCTTGCGCCGCCGCCGCCGCCGCCGCCGCCGTCGTCTTGCAGAAAAAGAAGCCCTGCGGTGCAATGCCGCATGCCAAGAGCAGGGCCAAGCGATGGCAGGGCTGGCAGGGCGCGTCGTGAGTCGCCCGTTCTCGACGTCGTCGGAGTGGCATGCGGCCTTCTCCGGCCAGGCCTGTTCTCGCACTACCGAGTAGCTTGCTCGTACAGTACACGCATAGCAGCCAGCACAAGCACAGCAAAGCACCGCAACACCAACACCAGCAACACCAGCAGCACGAGCGGCTGTACTACATGCGCCGCGCGCTCTCTCTCGCGCGCTCCCGCCCGCGCCCCTCGAGCACCGGCTTCCCGTGTGTTGTGTGCTCCCTCCCCACCCCCTCTGCCCACCCGTTCAGTGTGCTCTCGACGACGCGTCCGTCGCGTCATGGATCGCTGAGCTCAGCGGAAAGCATGTGACCTCGGCCAGTCTCGTTGGCTGAGAGTGCTTTCTGGGGCCTCTTTCGACGCACTTTAAACTTTCCGAAGCCTATGCGGTGCGAAGCTTGACGCGGATCTTGTGGGACAAGTTGCGCATATGGTGCGTGGCTGAGACGAAAAGGTGACACGACAGCCACGGAAGATACCAAGAGAATGGTCTTGTAGTTCCGCCTGCTCTTTATTGCTTCCGTCCTATTGCATTGGGGCAGGCGGAAAATTATCCTAAGCGTGCGAGCAGGATTGGCACTGTCATATCCAACGTGGGCTCTCACTGCCCAGTCCTGGGCGTGGGGTGTGGCTGCCATGTCGTCACTGCGTCGAAGCCATCCAACGGTTTGCTGCCCGCTGTATAGTGATTGACGGTGATCGGCAAACTTCGTAGCAGCAGGAAGTGGCAGCATGTACTGGTTCGCACAAACATGTCGAATCAAGCGGCCTGTTGCTCCACAGGCCCTTCCTTGACGTCTGTCTGAAGTTGCTACGAACTTCAGGCTAGCGTAAGGGCAAGGCGAGGCGCGCCGCGCAGGGAACCCGGGCCGCGAGGTGCGTCAATCGCAACCTCTGCCGTGCTCACGCGCAATAAGCCTCATAGAGGTGATGCCTCCGTACCCTGGAGTTGTCGTCACGCTGGGGACGAAGCAGCGTTCGCCGGAGATAACCAGCGTGCGCGTTTCCGCGAACCTCGGGCAGCGGCAAGCCGAGACGGCGAGAAACGGTTTCCGATAAGAATAGCCGATAGGATCGATCGAAAATGGAAAGTGGGGTGTTTCGCGCGAAGTGGGCTGTTGCTTCCCGAGCGCGAGCTCCCACAGAGCGGCCCGTGACGCTTGTTGCCGCTGTCATTGGTCGTCCTCACCAATGACAAGAGGGCGGTTGGGCGTCTGGAGAGGATGCTCTGATAGTGGTTCTGTTTCGACTGCATCAAGCAGACCCTCGGAGATTGAAGGCACCACTGGCTTCGTTTCGTCCCGTCCCGCTCCGCTTTTCGAGCTGGAGCGGCCCACCTGGCACCGCGCGCGCGAGACGAGTCCGACTCCTTCGCGCTCTGCAGGCGATCGCTGGGTGGGAGCTAACTAGCTAGGTAAAATCAAAAGCCGGGTGGCGATGTGCCGTGTGGTAAGGGTAGCCAAGAATAGCTCGGGTCAAAGGCAGCGCTTCCAATACTGGCAGTGGTCAGCTTCTGGCAAGAGGCTCCGTTGACGTGCAGACGCATATACAATCATCGCGGCTTCCGCCGGCTGGAGATCGAGTTTGTTATGCGCGGCGGCATGAAGACGAGCTGCTTCGAGGTGGTGCGCCGGGCGGGATTGGCGCGTGCTGGGGCAGGGGCTGGTAAGCGGGTTGACGTATGGGGTCGGGCGAATCGTGCCACAGCTGCAGGCGCGACTGCTTTGAAGTCAGTAATAGCAAGGTCCAATGATAATGAGCGGCTTTGCGGGCAGGGTAGTGGAAAGATTCGCGAACGCTCTGACGTTTTTTGCCCTGCGGACCGCGCACCCTGATCTGCGGCCGGAGTGCATGAACCCGTACGCGCGAGGAGGCCCGAGGAGGATTGGGAGAAAAAAGATGGACCTAGCTAGTAGGAGGTGTGGCTGATAATGATGATGATGATGTCTGGGCAGCGGAGTCGGCCGAGGAGCTGGAGAGAGAGATGGCCGGAGGAATTCAAACCATGTTCTCCCGAGGATCAACCGCCCCAGGCTGTGGTGCGTCATTTTCGCAGGTCCAGCCGGGGGACCACGTCGGCAAGTGGAGCGGTCTCCGGAGTCGGCGGGTCATGTGCGGTGCGCATTGAGCTGGCTAGCGCGCCGTCGTGTAGCTGGGGTTTTTTTTGTATCGGGCGGGTTGAAAGGGCCTCGACGACCCGCCCTTCTGCTGTTACTGTAACGTCGCTAGCCTGAGGAAATTGCCTCGACAGTCCCCACCGAGGATCAGCGATGGAAAGGGTGTAAGCGACACGAATCAGTGCGGGCTGCACGACCCGCAGGCACAGTTGCCAGCTCGAGCCGTGTGGAAAATCTGGGGATGGTCATGCGCCCTCGGCCACAGCCCACGATACGTACCCTCTCTTACCCCGGATTCCTGGGGGGGAGGGGGGCAGGGCGCTGATTGACATCCAGCCGTGGTTCTGGGCGAGGCCTTGTATCTCCGACGCCGCGACCAGCCCGCCGTTTTCAGGGACGCGCAGTCGTCGTGAGACCAATCACGCTCGGCAAGCCACTGCGCCGTTGCGGGTGTGGGCCTACAACGGGGAACCTGGTCGCCCGGTACCGTCCTGTGCCTAGCACTGCATCGCTCTGCGTGCAGGCATCCAGGCCAGCCGGCTGGGCGGCAAAAGGCTCTATGGCCTCTCTCTTGCGCATGGCTAAGCACGCAGCGCCGAGGCCCAAGCTCCTGCCGCCGTGTCATGCAACGGCTTACTGAGGGTAGAAGATCGCCAGCATAGCCCTCACCAACGAGCCCTCTTGAGATCGGTGGACCCTCCTGTACGCCAATTCACCTAAGACCATCCTGCCTGCTCCTAAACACCCTCTCCTCCTCCTCTAATCCTCCAGAAAAGATTGGCGTCGACGCTGATTCTGGAATCCCGGATCGCCTGCGTTAGCACCGGATACTCCGGGTCCCTTCAGCCTTCCCCCAGACGACCGAGCTTGCGCAGCTGACCGACGGCTCGTCGCGCGAGACCGACTCCCCTGCAACCCCAACATCCGCCGCCTCAACTCCACGAACCCTCCTCCGTCTGCCTGTTTTCTTTTGAGAGAGGGAGAGAGAGAGCTGTCTGCCGAGAATCCCTCACCGACTCTGCTACTGCCGCCAAACAGGTATACACACGATCCCTGACGCGCATTGACTTCTGCTGCTCACTCGTCTCTCGTTGAACGCACTAGAGCTCCCTCCTGCTTATCTTCGAGCTTCGAGCTTCGAGCTTCGAGCTTCGAGCTTCGAGCTTCGAGCTGGCTGCGTTGCATCCCGACACGGTGTGCGCGACGTCTTTTAGTGGGACGCTCAGAAGTCGAATAGCGGTGACCGAGCATCCAACGCATGACGGAGATACTCGCAGCCCCTCAAAGCTCCATCATGGCCGCCTCCACCAACTTGGACGCTGTAAATGGCGCCAATGACACGCTCGCTAACGTCAAAGGCAAGCTGACTCTCTCATTCACACATGCCCTGATTGGTCGATGCCTCGCAGTGCTGACCATCGACGCTCAACAGCTCCCACATCCAACACCAAACCCGCCCCTCCTCAACCCGCTTCCAATTCCTCCTTTCCTCCGCCAAAGACGGACAAGCCCCGTCCACACGTCTGCGGCACTTGTGGTAGATCGTTCGCTAGGTTGGAACACCTCAAGCGCCATGAACGCTCCCACACGAAAGAGAAGCCATTCGAGTGCCCCCAATGCACTAGGTGCTTTGCTAGGCGAGATTTGCTGCTGCGACACCAGCAAAAGCTCCACCAAGCCGGAGCTGCATCTACTCGACCCCGAAACGGGCGCAGAGAAAGCACAACCGGAGTCCCCTCCGCGAATGGCGCCGGTAGAGTCCGTAAGAACTCCGTGGCTTCCACTGCCAACGGTAACGGTGCAAGCACTGGGCCAGCTACAGCGAGGCCTAGGGCAAACACCATCAGCCACATTGACGGTGCTGCTTTGAACACCCTGCTCTCGAACCACGCTGCTTCAGCGAGGACTCCAAGCATGAGCATGGGCCACTCTCACCACCCTAGTCTGGCAGGCTTCGGCAACGCTCACAGCTTCGATTTCCGTAGCTTGCAGAGCCCAGTGGAGCCGAACGTCGGGAGCCACGGCCTGCCAAAAATTGACACCCACTTGGGTATGGGCATCGGAGGTGGCCTTCGTACGGCTCCGATCCCAGGCTTTGGTGACATGATGGATCTTGATAAGCTCTTCTCCTCAGGCTCTACGATCAACCCGAACCAGCTCCACTTTAGCGGATCTCTGGGTACCCCAGCTTCTCCGTTCTCCACTTTCCCCCCCTTCCCTGGCAATACTAGCTTCGAGGACGAGGACAGCTACGATTGGATGGGCGGGCTTGACAGCTCCCTCAACCTGAACGCAGGGGGCCACGAACGAGCTCCAGAAGAGTCGTCGCCCTCGGCTATCAGTACTGCTAGTCAAAGCGGTTTCAGCGAAGTCATGCTCGACGGCTCAAACCAGCAGACGCAATCGACTGGTCCCATGTGGCAAAATCCGCTCAACGCGTCATCGATGGGCGACCTCCACTCGATACCGATGGAGGCCATGCACGCTGTGTTCCCCGAACTCATGAACCCGATGAACACGGTCTCACCGAAAGAGCTGCAAGAACCCAGCAACGCACCTGACTTTTACTTTTCGTCACCGCCGCCATTCAACGCGATGAGCCCTTCAACGGCGATCCCTGGAATGCCTAGCCAGTACTTCCACGCGCCCATGCCAAACTTCAGTCCTGATAGCACAAGTATAGCTTCCTCTTCAGTCAACGGCAGTGCTCGGCAAAGCTCGGTGACCTCCGTCTCGACTGACTCTATAACTGATGCTACTCGCCAGTCTCTCCTCATGAGCTTGTCGCAGGCGATGAACTACAGTCCGATTCAGCGTAAATACTCGCAGCCGGCTATTGGCTCGCCGCTGTCGCCAGGACTTCCCGCCACGCAGTCGACACAGCTCCCTTCGCTCCCGGGCACCAATGATTTGCAGCGTTTCGTCAACGCCTACATCAGCTACTTCCACCCTCACCTGCCATTCCTGCACATTCCGACCTTGTCCTTCGATTCGCCGCTGTACGCTGGCAGCGCGCGTGCTGCGACCTTTGGTCACGGAGGCACGATTGGCGGGGGTGAATGCCTGATTCTGGCTATGGCTGCGATCGGTGCGCTCTACGAGTATGAGCATGCGGCTGGCAAAGAGCTCTTCGAGGCTGCCAAGAAGATGATTCTGTTCTACCTTGAAGAGCGTCGCCGGGCGGATTTGGCAGCTGCTGTTAATGGCATCAACCCTGCTCATGAGACATCGGGTCACACCACCCCGCTTTGGCTGGTGCAGTCGATGCTTCTCAACCTGATCTACGGCCATCAATGTGGCGATAAGCAGGCCAACGATGTCGCATACACTCACTGTGCGGCATTGGTCAGCCTCGCAAAGGCCGCTCACCTCGACCAACCTCTTGATGAGTCTGCAGATGAGCGAAGCAATCTCGACAGAGACATTCATATGGGAGAAGATGGCATGTCGTGGAGCCCGAGGGACATTTCTGCATCTTACGACGAGCACTCTCAGTGGATGCGCTGGAAAGCGCAAGAAGAGCGCAAGCGCACCCTCTACGCAGTATTTGTCCTGTCAAGCCTCACTGTCACTGCCTACAACCATGCTCCCAGAATCCTGAACTCGGAGCTACACATTGATTTGCCCTGCGAAGAGGATTTATGGGCTGCTGACAGCGCCCATACCTGGGTTGCTATGGGCGGTCCACAAGTCGCAGCCTCGAAGCAAATTCCCTTCGCTGATGCTCTGTCGTTTTTGCTCACGGCTAGCGACCGCTACAGGAACAGCCCGCACGGTGACCCCGAAGAGAGTGTGCTGAAACCGAGCACTTTCGGGTGCTATGTTCTGATCAACGCTCTGCATGTTTACATCTGGGAGACGCGTCAGAGACACAACGGCCGACAATGGACGGGAGCGGAGACCGAGCAGATGCATAACCAAATCGAGCCTGCTTTGAAAGCTTGGCAAGCTGCTTGGAGAGCGAACCCACACCACAGCTTGGAACGCCCAAACCCGTACGGCCCTCTCGGAGCAGACAGCATACCACTCCTGGACCTTGCTTACGTCCGCTTGTTCGTCAGCCTCGCACGGTCGAAGGAGGGCTTCTGGCAGCGTGATTTCGATGCGATGGCCGAGGAACTGGCCAGAGGTGACGAGATCCTCCAACATGCCGAATCGGACTCCGACTCCCCTGGAGACATGTCCAGCTCAACCGGTAGCATGTCAGTGCCAAAATCAGAGTTTGACACTCCAGAAGCCATCAGCCCTGGCATGTCCAACCCCAGCCTCCAAAGCACCAAGTCCTCTAAACGTGAGCGTCTCCTGCGCAAGGCTGCCTTCTACGCTGCAGACTCTCTGTCTATGTCCGACAAACTTGGAGCCACGTTTGTCGATTTCACATCAAGGGAACTGCCTATTCAATCCGCAATGTGCACGTTTGACTGCGCGCAAGTTCTCGCAGAGTGGGTGGCAACTGTGCAAGAGCGCGTTGGACGCTACATGGGAATTCTGGGCAATTCTGAAATTGACTACAGTCAGGTTCCTGCCATCATGCTGTTGGAGGATGAAGACATCAAGCTCCTCCAGAAGGTTGGGGAAATTCTTGGTAATGCTGAAGTGAAAATTTCATTTGATGCTGGAAACTCGGGTTCCGCGACAGCTTTGGGTCTGTCCCATCTTGGCAACTACGGATACGGGAGCAAGCTTTTGCTCATCACAGCGTACATGATGGAGAGGTCCGCTGTCTGGCCTGGTAAGCCGAACTTGGTAGCAAACCCCCATCTCAGAACGCTCTTTGCTGATATTAAACAGTTACCCACGTCATGGCTCGCGCTCTCGAGGCACATGCCAGCCATGTACACCGTAGAGTCGAAGCTTCTGTCTCTTAGATCAACATCATTACCGTGCTCGACCGATGAGTGATGCGCTCGCTGCTACCAAAAGTTCTGTATATGTACGAAGAGCCGGCAGTGCTCGGCCACATAACGACTATCATGTAACGACAATCAAGCAACGACCAGGTGCACGAATCAACGTCCCAGGAAAGCCAGGAGACTGCAGACGGGTTCCAGCCTCCTGGTTTTCAGTGCGCTGGAACGCACCTTCTTTTCAGTGGAGCAATGCAGCACTGTCCCTACAGCATCATTTTGTACATCACCATTATGGACAAGCGCGGATCTCCATACATAAGAAACCCCTATACAGACTATGGCATGAGATCAACGAAACAAGGATTTGGCGGCTTAATGTTTCAATGCCCCAATTGTTTGCGCATTTTTCGCTTTCCTATGGTCGCTATCGGATACGCTCGGATTTTTGTTTTCTCTTCTCCGTTTGCGGCACTCGTAGCCAAAAGACTTGCCTAAAACATACGAGAACAACACACAGAAAGGGATGGGCAAACAAAAAAAAAAAAAAAAAAAAAAAAAAGTATTTTCGCTGGCATCCTAGGCCACGCAAAAAATAAAAAAGATAATAAAAAAAAGCGACGCCGCATCTCCTACCATCGATTGAGAGGGTGGCATAACCAACTGCGTTTACGGAAAGACGGCCTGCCAACAAACAACACAGAATGCGGGAACACGCAGCTTCAACACCCCTTCGTTGCCTCTTCTATTTTAGCACTCCCTCACTTTCCGCCTTCTTCCATGGTTCCTTGGATGCACTCTTGGTTATTAATGACATGATTTTTCATTGCGACCTATCTATGCGGTCGGTTATCTTTTTTCTTTGGAAACCAGCTTCCCTTATTTCCCTATTTTGGCGACGCGATGATGGAGTCCAATCGCGTGCAGTCTTGGTTCACGCGTGAATCTCTGGGAGGCTGGCTGGGGCGGTTGGTTAACGGGTTTGGGACGGGGAGGTGTCTATCATCTTTTTTTGAGGGGAGGTTTCTTTCTGTTTCCAGGGCGTTTGGAGGGAAGGGGGAGGGGCAGGAGGAGCAATCGTCAGGTCCTTATTTTCATCTTTCTCTCTCCCTGTCTCATTTAGGAGCCCGTCACGTTGTCGAGGTCGCTGGCGGTGGGTTTTGGATAGGGCCAAGGAAGCCGCTGAGCGATAGTTGCAAGGCGGCAAAAGTAGCGTCTTTCAACTACTCAAAGTAGCCAGACGGGGCATCGCCATGGCAGTGCGTAGGGTACTCTACCTAGTGAGTGAGGGTTGAATTGAGAGGGAGTGAATAACAAAGGGCGGAAGCACTCCGCGCCGGAGTTCCGGACCGCGGGGGGGCAGCAAGCTACCTACCTACCTAGGATACCCTTACCCACGCCGAAAGGGGCAGGGCAAGGCAGGGCAGAGCAGGGCCCCATTGCCCCAAGCGGCGAAGCAGCCAGCGGGAGCAGCGTTGGGTGTTCTTGTCCACCTAGACCTCTTTCAGCGGCCGGGCGCGGGGAGACGGACTCTGACGGCGGGAGCCGCGAGGCGCACCGCGAACCGGACTTGGACTTAGGTTGACTTGCGACGCGGCCTGGCGGTCGACATACGTGGGTTGAGGTTCGTTCTCAGCTTCTAGCAGTGCAGCGCAGCTTGTCACTCGCTCTGAAACGAGTAGTTGCAATGTGTCTGTCAGGCTGGCTGTCATGGCATGTCATGCCATGCTATGCTATGCTATGCTATGCCATGCTTATGCGGCGCGGGCATGGATGGGTTTGTCTTGGGATCCTTCGTCTCTGCTGCTGCTGCGTATGCCGCTCGCCAGCAGCGGGCTGCGGCTGGGGCTCGGGCTCGGGCTGGGGCTCGGGTGTCCGCTGCTACATTACATGCTACATGCTCCATGCTACAGGCTACATACATAGAGTGACAGAATGACGGACAGCGGACAGACGCCACGACGCGGCGAGCCAGCGTGCGTGAGTAGTCCGCATGAGAGAGGGAGGGATTCGAGACTCGAGGCACGCATGCATGTAGGCACTCTAGACGCACATCAGCATCATATGCGCGCGATGCAGCAGCAGCAGCCAGAACAGGCCGGGCGCGCATCCGGGCGCATCACCGGAGGGCAAGCAAGGCAAGGATATGGGGCTGGGCTGGGTGGCTAGATTCGGCTGGGTCTACGTCTGGGGGTTGGGGCTTGGAGGGCTTGGGGCGAGAACGTGCAGAGTGACAGAGTGAGTGTGGGGTTTGTTGACGCCTGCCTGCCCGCCAGCCGCCGCTTGTTTTGCTTTGTTTCTTGCTCCTTTCCGCTCCCGCCCTACGCGCGCGCGCGGATCGAGCTTGTAAGCGCGGGATCGAGAGGCGGGATGGCGGGCATGGCGGGCACGGCTGGGGGTTCCCCGGCCGTTCGTTTCGTGCGTGCGTGCGTGACTGCAGCCTCGGGCGTCGGACTTTTCTCTCTGCGTTTAACGCTACTTTAGCCGCACCGGCGGGGACGTGGTAGAAGAGCCGCCGCTGGTGTTGTTAGTGGTAGTGGCGGTGATGGTGGTGGTGGCAGTGGTGTTTGCGGCTTGCGGACGCCAACAACTACTCTACAGTCGAGTGACGACGGGTGGCGGAGGATATCCGGATGGAGTCTGGGGTCGGGTTGCGCAGATGACATCCATGCCCGTTTCCAGACCGAGGCGATGGCCGACTCTCCGGGTCGCTGCGCTGTGAACAGGCAGAATCTCGGTTGAACTCGCCATCACGTGAGCCCGCTAGGTAACCGCGAGACTAGGTGGATAATTTTTGGGACGGCTTAACTCCGAAGACAACGACAACGGGCAACAACCTTTTTTCCCCCTCGACGCTCGCTGAGCCTCCCGACGCGCCAGGCCCAAAAAGGAAAAAGAGAAGCAGAAGAGATCAGCAGAGAGAAAGAGAAAAAAGCAAAAAAGCATGGAAACGGAAAAGCCCATCCACAGCCTCGTCCTCGACGCAGGGCCGATAATCAAAAATGCGCCCGCAGTATCCACGCTCCTGGCGCAGGCAGAGCAGCTCTTCACCATCCCCGCCGTGGTGGCCGAGATCCGGGACGAGGTGACGCGGGCGCGCATCCAGACGACGCTGCTGCCCTTCCTGACGCAGCGCGACCCGCGGCCGGAGAGCGTGCGCACGGTGCAAGAGTTTGCGCGCCGCACCGGCGACCTCGCCGTCCTCAGCCGCACCGACATCCAGCTCATTGCCCTGGCCCGCGAGCTCGAGTGCGAGCGCAATGGCGGCGAGTGGCGCTTGAGGAATGCGCCGGGCCAGAAGCGCACGAATGGCCCGCCGCCCCCGAAGCTGCCTGCTGAGGGGGAGCCCGCTGCTGCTGCTGTTGCTGTTGCTGCTCCAGAGGAGGAGGGTGCGGCTGCTGAGGCTAAGAAGCCGGCGGAGGAGACGGCCGCCGCTGAAGCTGCAGAGTCCGTCGGCGCGGTGGCTTCTGCTTTGGCCAATGCTCAGATCTCCGGCGAAGCGGCGCCGGCTGTAGAGGGGACGTCTGTACCGGAGGAGGCCACTGTTCCGGAAACCACGGCAACAGCAGAAGAGGAAACGACAACACCAGCACCGGAAGCCCCCACGCAAGCGGAAGAACAAGAAGACGACGAAGAAGATTCGGACGCAGGCGGCTGGATCACGCCCTCCAACATCAAAAAGAAGCAGGCCAAAGACAACAACGGCAGCGCATCGACGATCAACGAGCCCAAAACGATGCAAGCGGCGATCATAACAACCGATTTTGCGATGCAGAACGTGATCCTGCAGATGAACCTGAACCTGCTGTCGCCATCACTGCAGCGCGTCAAGCACCTCAAAACCTTCATCCTGCGGTGCCACGCGTGCTTCCTGACGACCAAGCAAATGGACAAGCAGTTCTGCCCACGGTGCGGCAAGCCCACACTGACGCGCGTGTCGTGCTCGACCGACGCCAACGGCGCCTTCACGCTGCACCTCAAGAAGAACATGCAGTGGAACAACCGCGGCGAGCGGTACAGCATCCCGAAGGCGGTGGGGGGGTCGGCGAGCGGGCGCGTCAATGTCGGCGGCGGCGGCAAGGGCGGTGGCAAGGGCGGCTGGGGCCAGGACCTCATCCTCGCCGAGGACCAGAAGGAGTACATGCGCGCCATCACCGAGCAGAAGCGCGTCAAGCAGCGCGATCTTATGGATGAGGATTACTTGCCGGGCATTTTGACCGGTGAGCGCAATAAGGGCCCTGGTGGTCGGCCGAAGGTCGGCGCGGGCAGGAACGTCAATAGCAGGAAGAGGTAGGGGCGAGGGAGTGTGCGTAGGGATGGGACGCGCTGGGTTGGGTCTGCCTCGGGGCGCTGTTCAGGCGGAATAATTGATTTTCATGGGGTTTCTTGTTGTCTCTTTACCAGCTATCATGCATGCATGCTCTTTCCTTCCCGTCTGCTACAACACCTTTGCGCTGTCCATGTCCCCATTCCTGATCTTCGCTACTCCTCCACGGATCGAGAGTGCAGCACTTCACGATATCTTGCCAGCGCGCAACTTGCTCTGCACCACGCAGCCAGACAAACCCCCAGTAAGCGCCGTTCCAGGCCCGAACAAGCCTCCACCGCAGTCGCGACAAACGAACCCCCGTTTCCAGTCCCAGAAGCCCCCAACGCGTCAACTTCTCTCAACCTCTCTTACCGCGGCCCAGCTTAGACAGCGAAAAGCGCCTCCGTTTCTGCGCACGAGGCGGCTGCATCACCAATCCCCGGGCGTCAGGCACGGCCGCGTCGTCGTCGTAAAACTCGCGCAGCGGCGTCGGGCCCTTTGCGTGCTGGGGGTACGGGCCGTGGTCCGCGTTCCAAGCCGCTACGGCTGCTTTTCTGTTGGCGGATTGCCGCTTGCGGTGGTGGTAGTATGCGGCTATGCCTGCGATGCTGTTGACGACGCAGATGGTGGCGCCGAGGGCGCTGTAGGCGATTATTGTGGGGGTGGCCATGAGATGTGGCTTAGGTGGGAGGTGAGGTTGTGAGGATGGTGAGGATGGTGAGGTGGCTGAGGATGAAGGAAGGGTGTTTGAGTTGGTATCTAGGTCCTGGAGGGAAATTTAAGCACTGCTGTTGCGCCGGTCTATCTTGGTTGGGAAGCTGCGTGCTGTGCGCTCGGTGGTGGGTAGAGTAGGCAGGTAACAGCAACCCGTCGCGGAAAAGGAATTAGTCCGTGGGATGGCGGTAGGTGCTGCTGGTATTTAGGCCACTAATGCGGACGTTTTACGAAGTGGACGAGGCAGATGAGTATTACTACGACTGCAGTGATGACGAGGGGAAGCATGTTCGCGAATGAGGTATTGGTGAGTGAGGATGTTGAAGATAAGGGTGGCTTGGGCAGGTCTTGAAGAGTTACTATCTCTGCTGTTGAGTTCATCTCGATTGGGAAACCGCATGCTGTGGTTTATGGGTGGGTAAGGTAATAACAACCCGTCACAGAAACGAGGAAGGAGGCGTTGGGACGGCTTCTCTTGCACGTAGCCGGATGTAAATGCTATCAGATTGTTTCGCTCTCTAAATCTAAAGGGGACGGTCTGCGCAGCTCGTTTGTACGCGGATGTAATTGAGTGTTGTCCGGCAATTGGAGTTCATGGAGAGCAGGCAGGGTATCGGCAGGTGCCGTCCGTCCCCCTCGTCTGCTCGTTCGCTAGGTGCAGAATGCAGCAGCTGTTGCCGCAGCGGATTATTTATTAGTCAGCTGCTTGTCCGGACGGGTTGCTTATGAAGCAAATTGCTTATGAATCAAGCAATCACGCGCTTTTTCGGACGACGTCGAAGAATCTGTTTGGGATGGGTGTCTGAACATGAGTTCGGCAAATGCACAGTTGGTACTGGTGCAATGGTTGTAGATTGTGGTGTTGTCATTGCTACTATAACGTCGTGAATAGGGAGGGGGCATCAAATGTCAAATATGGTCCAAGTGGACCTCTTTCAGTTCCAACGCCGCGGAATGCAATGGGAAAAGAATTAAAGAGAGCACACAATCTCATCTGCTACTGCTGTTGGTTGGTCGACAGTTGTTCAATTTCGTAGCTCGGCTACTGCGAAGTAGCCCTTGTTCTCCACGACGCCTCTGTCCTTGACGACGGCCGTGTACTTGACGACCCATTCTGGGATGACATCGCCCTTCAAGCCATGGCAAGAGTCGTTGGGGCCAGCGAGGACGCTGGCGCCCTTCTCGCCAGTGCCGAGAAGCTCGCGAAGGGTGCCGGGGGGAAGGATGTTGGTGCAGTCGTTGTGGGTGAGAAGCTCGATGCCCTCCTGCTTTGCGTAGAGGATCAGCGGCTTGGGGACAACGCAGCAGTCGCGGACATTGATCTGGTCGACGCTGGGGCGGACGCGGGTGCGAGAAAGGAAGCGTTGTAGACGCTGGGTGCCGAACTCGCTCAGGCCGAGCTTTGCAATCAGGCCCTCGTCGTGCAGCTGTTCGAGCGCGTGCCATGTCTCGATCATGCTGTCGACGTCCTCGACGCCGAGGCCACTCTCACGTCCGGATCCGCCGGCCCGTATGCCCTCGTCGCCGCCCTCGTCAGAGTCCCAGTCCTCGTCGTCGGCGTCGAACGCCACGCCCGGGAACGACACGATGAGTAGGTCAATTGAAGAGACATGCAGCTCCTTGAGAACGAGATCGATGGCCTCGCGCGCGTGGGCGCAACGCTGTGCCACAGGCACATTGGGCAGGTAGAACAGCTTGACCGTGATGTCGTAGGCGGGACGCTCCTCGGCAAGGCCCGAGGCGTCAAAGTCGATAGCCGGGATGTACAGACATGAGCTGTCCTGCTGGGTCCAGTGACGGAAAGAGAGGACGGCCGGGGCATGCGGGCTAGTGGTAATGACCTCGTGTTGGTGGGCCGAGAAGTTGGCGCGCAGAGCGCTGGTCAGCTCCGTGTTGGACTTCTCGACGGGACTGCGACGGAGCACCGAGGGCGCGCCGCCCATGATGTTTCTGTGAGAGGCTGTGTCAGTGGAATGTAGAGAGAGTCGGGCGGGTGGTTGCTTTTGCTCGTACGAGGTTGATAGTATCAGCTTGATCATGGCGGGATTGCTGCTGGAGCTCTGCGACTGGGACCACCGGCGGGCAGAGCGCTGGGGATGCAGCACCCAGGAGAGCAGCTCGCGGACATCGCGCGACTGGCGCGAGCTGATGTCCATGGTGGTGATGGTGAGCGGCGGGGTGCGTGTACCGTGCCGTCTTCCAATGCGCGCGTCGGGGCCTCAACGCCCCGTCGCCCCGTCGATCTTTACGCCGCGATCCCTCCGACTCCCCGTCACCGAAGCGTGCGAAGCTTCTTGCTGCCAAACAATTCTCACTGCACAACACCACTACCACCACCGTCAACATGGCTATCAAGTAAATCCTCCCTCTCCATTGGCTTTGTCATGTTAGACCGTCGCTGACTTCCCCAGGTACCTCTTCCTGCTCTCTCGCCAGGGCAAGGTCGTAAGTCGCTCCCACCGCGCTCCTCATCCCCGCGTTCGCTGACAGCGTCCCAGCGCCTCGCCAAGTGGTTCGTTACTCTGTCGCCTAAGGACAAGGCCAAGATCGTCAAAGACGTCTCGCAGCTCGTCCTGGCCCGCCGCACGCGCATGTGCAACTTCCTCGAGTACAAGGGTGCGTCGCCCTCCTGCCACAGCTTGCCCCTGGTCCCATGTTAAGCTCCTGCAGACAACAAGGTCGTCTACCGTCGCTATGCCTCGCTCTTCTTCATTGCCGGTTGCGACTCCGAGGACAACGAGCTCATCACCCTTGAGATCATCCATCGCTACGTCGAGCAGATGGACAAGTACTACGGCAACGTGTGCGAGCTCGACATCATATTCAACTTCCAGAAGGCGTACTTCATTCTCGACGAGCTCCTGATTGCGGGCGAGATGCAGGAAAGCAGCAAGAAGAACGTGTTACGTTGCATTGGCCAACAGGACAGTCTTGAGGACATGGAGGTGAGTGGGTTTTAGCACGCGTTTCCCGGGAGCAGCTGAGCTACACCAAGTCCCTTGACGAGGACCTCAAGCAACTGTCGCTGTTCTGATGAACGGCACCCCGGCCCCACTCTCGTCCGCTTGTCGACAAACTCAGCTGCTAATCACCAGTGCTGCGCTAGGTCGAGGACGACGGCGTCACCCGAATCGGATAAAGCTTCCGTCGGTCGTTTGTCTCTACCTTAGCATGATACCCGACGCAGTGGATTGTTGACTCTTTGGATTTCTGCGCAAAGACATGTGGACACGTCTCACTAACGGTTGAACGTGGCACGGCGCAGGAAGCACTGGAGCTCGAGAGCAAGATCCGCCAGACCGGCATTCTCGGTTGATGCACAGCAGGCGTGGGCGCACAGAAGCATCAATGGGAGTTTAGGAGTTGGTCGGCGGGGAAGGCATCGGATACCCCAGCACGTGTATTGTATCTCCAACGCCCTTTGCCGCAGGCAAGGATGAGCTGGCGTTCGGAACTAGTACTCAATGAAGCTACGGATAGCTGCGTTGCCTGGGCCCTTCGGGCTGATGTGGTTGAATCCCTCCTAACTTGCAGCTAGTGTGGTGACGTACAGGCGCTCAGCCTCTCACGCGAGTCAGCCAAAGGAAGGACGACAGCGACGACTCTCTCATCAGGATCAGGCATCTCACGAGGAGCAGGACGACCTCCTTAGTGGATACTGCTGCACTGCCGGAAACAGCCACGACACCGCATCACGTGGCGTCTCCTGCCAATCAGGTCACCGCGTTCCACTTCCGATCTGGGCCCCACCCAACCCCAGCTCGCAGCATCATCATACCTCCCGACCACCTCCCGTCCCCCCGACCGCTGCACCACCAACGACTCCTCTCTCCGCTCCGGAGCAATCCAATTCCCCACGCATCCCAGCCAACCCGAACAACGCACGACGCTCGCTCTCCGCAGCCAGCCTTGAGCGATCCTCGCGTGTTGTCTAGCTACACCTGCTCACCGTATCCACCCTCTCCGCATTCCGAAACAAAGCCGCCCCTGCTGCCCTGCAACTTCCCCTTTCTCTGTTCACTCGACTTGCGCATCAACTTCACCCTCCCTCTAGTTGCGACGATGAAGGTGCGTCAATCTCCCCTTAGCTTGCCCGCGCGCATTCGCTCAATGAAGCATCTGAGAGCGTCGCGTCGACGCAACAACGAGTGAGACAGGATCATCTAACGTCGAGCTTTGCAGTACCTTCCCCTTCGCGATTTCGAAGACGCGACGAATGCGCTCAACTTCGACACGCCCGACTGCCACGTTGTCGGTGGCTGCGATCTCTACACAACCAAGGCCGCTGGAAGCGACAAGAAGCTATACAAGAACATCGAGAGCTCGCTGGAGTCGCAGCACGAATCAGTGCTGCGACTGTCGGCGTCTCTGTCACCACCACAAGCCGAGTCGCTGGCAGGGTCGTTGAACCTGTCGCGTTCGAGCCCGTTCGGACCCCTGAGCCAGATCTCAAGTCGGCGGACGTTCGCGTACCTGATCGCGACACTGAACGCCAGTCATCCGGACTACGACTTCTCACACATCCTGCGGCCGAGCGATTTCCGCAAAGAGCGCAGTCTGCGTGCCGTGATCAACACGATCGACACGACACTGTACAACCTGCGGCCGCGGCCCTCGGGTGCGCTGCTGGCAGTACCGCCCGCATCAAGCGGTGCAGCAGGTAACGGCGGTGGACGCTCCTCACCCGGCGGCGCCGCCCAGGCCTGGGGTCCTCGCATGTGGCGGCTCATCGACAACGAGATGGGCCTGCGCGACTGCGCTGTCTACAGCTACGCACCCGAGGAGGACCCCTTTGACGGCGAGGAGGGTTCCATCTGGTCGCTGAATTATTTCTTCTTTAATAAGCACCGCAAGCGCGTGTGCTACCTCTACTTGCGCGGTCTGAGCGCCATGTCGCACTCACCGGTAATGCGGCCGACGCACGTGAGCGTGGGCACCAAGGGACTTCAGCGCGGCGGCAGCTACCTATCCGCAGGTCTGCAGCGTCGCCGGGGTAGTCGAGGCGGCAGTGCTGGTAGTGGTTTTGGCGATGGAAGCAGTGCGGCGGCCAAGCGCGCGAGTTACTGGTTGGGCGACGTGGCAGAAGGCCGCCGCGTGAGCGGAGGCTGGCCCGACGACGACGATGATGACGTCATGGTAATTGCGGACCCGGGCGACGACGAGGTCTACCGCGACGAGGAGTTCATGGACGAGTTTCCGGATGACGACCTTGACGAGGTGGATGAAGAAGAAGAGGACGAGGACGAGTATGACGAAGCGGCGGTGCAAGACCAACGCCAGCGCGAGCGTGAGAAGAGCGCTGTGCGCGATATGAACGAACACGTCGCCGACACGATGGAATTGTGAGCGCCACGAGCGCTGCTTTGCTACCCGGCGCGGCGCTCAGGGAGCGCACGGATGACCGGCCGGAAGGGCCGGCACGGTCGGCACGGCTCGACTCGACTTCATGTCATGGGAAGCTGAGGTGCCGAGCTGCAGTTCTCACGCTGACGCAGACATGCATGCGTATACGACGTGCCACGATGATGACGATCTGCTGCTTATAGTCTTTCCCGTCTTGAAAGAAAATAGGCTCCCTCATGCTGGCTGGGTCAGAGGTGGAGAGACAGGATACGATGGCCCGGGGCCGAGCCTGTCTGACTTAGGAATTAATTTGAATTGAAAGCATTGGATTGGACTGTTGATAAGAGCAAGGGAAACATGGGGTGGGAACGGGGCTTGCCATCTTGCGGACTGCCATGGGGTCGTTGGTGTTGAGCACCGTGAGTATACTTACAGCAGAGATGCACGCTGCCTGGAGCCGGCTTGCCCACGGAGTATCTCCGTCCCGGGGCCGGTGATGCTCAGCGAGAGGCGCGGGGGCGAGGGGACTGACATTGGTGTGTTAAGGTGACTGCCACCTCTGGCATGACATCAGAGGCTCACATCGAGTTTAACATTTACTCCGTCAGTCCCCTCGCACCGCCCAAAGCAGTAACGCGCCGCAAACAAGCCCTGCGCCGCGGCCTCTCTTATATAAAGCGCGAACGCCGAATCACTTGCGTACTCGTATGGCGCAGTCGTTGTTGGCAGCCCCCCCGACCTCCCCAGAGGGTGCACATTCTGGCGTAGAGGTCGAGGGTTCGAAACACTTGCCCCTTACGAAAGAAAAACCCCGGCCTCGTTGCTGCCCTGGGGTTTCTTGGCTGGCGATTGGGGTCCGCCGCGGAGGGACTTGTCGCCCTAGGTAGAGACCCCTCTACCACGCCCAAGTTTTTGTCTTTTTGCTGGCTGGTGCGGTGGTGATGTTTGTTTGCTTTCTTTGGTGTTTTGGTGGTGGTGAGGTTGCTTTTGGTTATCTTGGGCTTGGTGTTGGTTTTGTTGGTGTTTGCTGTTTTCTTTCTACTTGCTCAAGTGAGGTGGTGGTTTTCGTGTTTGCTTCCTTCTAGTAATCTACCTATCTATCTACGTTTAATGTTATGGTGTTGTAAGTCTTTCTTGCTCAATTGAGATCATGGTGTTTGAGCTTTCGGCTAATAGTCTCTATCTACGGTTTGATGTGATGGTGTTGCATGTTTTGCAGTCACGATGAAGTGACAGGCGGACGGTCAGTCGCCCACGATTCTTTACAAGGCTTGTCGTCAATGACGTTTGTTGTTCGAGCGCGCACAACTAGACCTGTAGGTATTCTGCCCTTTCGCTCCGCCAACGTTTTTTGGTGTTGTTGCTGCTTCCACGGGTTGCTTTCGTCATTGCACTTCTACCTGTCAACCACTAATTGGATTTCTGACTGGCCACGATGCACTCACTATAAAGCCCGCCCACCACCACCGCGCACCCACAACATCCCAACTTCACTCTACTCCAACGCGTAAACTTCTCGCGCTCTCGAAGTACACACATACCACTAAACAACATCGCGCAACGCCTTAACCTTAACCTCAACCACAACTACAAACACAATAACAACAACTAACACACCCTCACCCACAACCACAAAACCCACACAATGCAGCCAACGCACCTCCTCACCGCCCTCCTCGGCCTAACAGCAAGCCTCAGCCTCCCCGGCGCCAGCGCCTTCCGCTCGACGCGCTTCCCGCCGAAACCGCGCTTGCGCAACCGGCTCGCGCACCGCGTCACCGCGAAACCTGTGCCCACTACCATCGCTGGCATGACGGCGCGGCCTGGCGCGGTCGCGCGGGTTGTGGCGCCTACGGCGACTGCTACAACGGCGATGAGCTCGGTGAAGGGTCCGATCACGAAACCGGTCACGGTGCCCTATAGTTGTGGGCCTGCGGGGTGCGTGCTTAATGTCCAGGCTAAGACGAGGACGCAAGAGGGGGAGGGGAATAGGTGGGTTGCTGCTGCTGCTACTGCTGCTGCTGTTACTGTTACTGTTACTGACATTGTTACTGTTACTGTCACTGCTACTGCTGCTTATGAGGGGGATGGAAATAGGGGTTGTTGGACGGATGGACTGTGGGTTATTTTTTTCAAGCCTATGATATTTCTTAATGCTATTTTGGTTGCTATGAATTTGTTGCTATGAATTTGAATAATAGGTAGTTGGTTCTTCCTGTCTGTATGTCGGACTTTGTTTGTAGATTTCTTTTGTTTGTTGTTGTTGGTGGTGGACTCCCTGCAGAGTGCCACGTGTGTCGTATATAGAACTGGCTTCTTTCCAGACACTGCCATTTTTAACTACTTTAATTACCCCGGCTTTAGAATAGACAGCTATGTTTAAGCTTTTGATTTATGCATACTCTTATAATCCTCGTACGTGGGGTTTTAGATGCTCCCTCCACTCTTTTAGTGAACGAATTTATGCTTGTTTGCTCCTGTAGACGTATCCTGCCGCTTTACTTTGCTTTGTTCAGCTGCGGCGGTGACATGACGTATTTGCTTTCCTAATTGCTTACATTGTATATATATTTACCTGTTTGCTTACCTGTATAATAAGACTTATTTGCCAAACGTCGGCCTGGCATACAGCTGCTTGTCTAGCGAAGTAGCTCTTACCTCTACCGCAAGGCGCAGCAACCGGGTATGTACATTGTAGTGTTCATCGTTGCTATCGCCGTCGATTTAATAAATTGTATAGTTTATCCTCTACATAGGTTTACTCCAACTACTGTTTATGCATGAAATCCCATCACTCATTCACATAATCACTGACAACCCATTTAATATATCCAATGCACTACAACCTCCACAGCTTCCTAATACTTTTGCGATCTCATCCATTTCCCGTTTTTTGTCTCCGCATTACATATCTATTTTGTCCAGTTTTAAATATTTCCTCTACACACTCAAACGCGATCCAGCGAACCACCCACCAAAAGAAAAAATAGACCAAAAATCCGAATAAAACACTCTTTACTACTTATACCTAGTCGATGCAGCCAGCCAGCTTCCCACTCCTCACAGCAACCCATCCCTCAACCCAGCACTCAAAGCAACATCCTTATCTTCGACTAGCCCAGCATAAAACGCTCCCACAGCTTCCCCAGGCCGTCCCTACTCCTAACAAGCACTACCCCCTCGCTAGTGCTGCTAGCTGGAGATGAATTCCAGCTTTGCCGTTCAGCGTCTCCTAATTGAGGCAGACCAACGAATTTGCTGGCGACCTCAACATGTCTTTGCTGGAGCTGATCCGACTCCACTACTGCAGGCCGCCGTGGGCAGTACCGTTGCCCAGCGCTGATGCAGACTAGCATGCTTGCTCGGTGATGGTTGGCGGTGGTGCTATGTCGTGGCGACACGCACGGGACGCGCGGGAGCTTGGGGGGAGGGAGCAATTCGCATGAAGCGCATGTGTCCGTATGTGTACCCAGTGGCATCAACAGCTCTTCTGTCTTCAGCAGCCATGTTCACCAACGTTAATTGCATGCTGCTGTGCTGGTGTGGTTGTGTGGAGTGAGTGAGTGAGTGAAGAAGCCAGACATATATAAGCATCTACCTACTTTCACTCTACCCTCTACCCTACCCTACTAAGCCATCACTCTACCTACTTACATAGGCACAAAAGAATCTATCAGAAACAGCTGCTGCACACACTATCCATGGCACGCCCTCTCGTCTATCCAGCACATCGCCCATCCCCCCGCAACAAGATAAGACAAGTACCTAGGTAGGCAGTTCCCCACCCATCGAACAATATACCTATACCTACCTACCTAATTGCGTCCAAGCGTCCCTCTCTACCCCACTGATGCCGTCACTGCCTACTCACTACTTACGAGACAGCGCACGGGCGGTTTCAGGTAGATAGCATGTATGGTAGGGCTGAACGGGCATTGTAGGCCTAAGCCAGAGATTAGGCGCGGACGGACGTGCGTGCGCGTGTGCGTGTAGCAAGACGCCATTTCATTTCCCGCGTCGACGACGTTGTCGGCCTCGTAGGTCGCCTCGTCATGGGTCATTTCGGCGCCGCGCACGCTGTCTCTCTTTTCTACGCAGGAAATCTTTGGTGGTGTAGTGTAGTCGTGCTCGTGGGCCGTGCTTGTGCCTGGTTTTGGTTGGCTGGCTGGCCGGTCGTTCGTGCGTTTGTGCGTTCGCGCCCTCTGTACCTATCCATTCCCACTTCTGCTTCTGCGTCGCTAGGTGCAGCTGACATGCCCGCCACGCTCTGCTCTCCCTTGCCACAACTCTCCCCTTCCCATATCCCAGCCCTCCCCTTAGCCAAGCATGCTCCTCTTCCTGCCCCGCAGCCTCACATCCTCCAACCGCTTTAGCACGACCTTGGCCCCCGAATAACTCGCGCCATACGCGCTCAACACCTCCCCGAACAACGGCGCAGCAGCCGGATGCGTGCTGCCAAACGCACGCTCAAGGACATACAAATCGACGGCCTTGTCCTCATCCTGGACGGTCTGAGCCGCAAGGCCGAAATCAATAATGATGACGGCGCCAGCCAGCGCCTCAGAGGAAGACGCGGAGGCAGCAGCCTGCGGCGGCCTGAGCATCAGGTTCGACGTCGTGAGATCGCCGTGTACGCAGCCCACGCTGTGCATCCTGCCCACGGCGCGCCCGACCCGCGTCATCAGGGCCCAGAGCTCCGGCGCCGCGGCCCTGAGCGCCGCCTCGTCGCCCGCCGTGTGCCTCTCCTCGCCGTCGGCGTGGGGCGCGTGCTCGGCTGCCGGCGCGTGCATCGCGTGCAGGTACTGGTCGAGGCAGGCGCGGATCGTCTGCCCTTGGATCCATTCGAGGAGGAGCCAGCCCGCTGCGCAAGTGCGTTAGCTCTGCTGTTCTACTTTAAAACAACCACTCTTGCAAAATAGACATATCCCCAATGCAGCAAAGCAGAAACCCGCAAATCCAAACTCCCGCGAATATGAAAAGAAGCCACAAAACCTACCCTCCCAATCACACGCCAGCACAGCCGGCACAGCCACGCCCTCCCTCCTCAGCCGCACCAGCACCCTCGCCTCCGCGAGCACGCGCTGCCGCGTCAAGCGCCGGTCCAGCACCGGATGGCGATACGGCTTTGCGGGGCGAAACTTCAGCGCCGCGGCCATGGGTTCCTTATCGCTGCCATTGGCGTGCAGGAATCCCGTCTTGTATACCAGCGCTTCGGCGCCTTGGGTTAGGAGCTCGGGCGCGGGTGTGGAAGATGCGAAAATGCCTGGGAGCGTGTGGTGTGGGGTTTCGGTGGTTGTCGTCGTCGTTGTCGTCGTCATGGTTGGTGGTGTTGGCGTGTTGGCGATGCGCGCGTGCGCGGTTGCAGTGCTCCGTGTCTATGTGGTGTGTATGTGCGTAGGTAGGCGTGTCGTGGGTATGCGATGGGTGCGAGATCGGTGGTAGGAAGATTTGTAGCTATGTCCGCGGACAAGCGTGCCAAGCGTGCGGGGCGAGAGCGGAAGAGGGGGCGCGGTATCGAGTACAAGGGCGCGAGAGCGAGAGTCTCCGGCCGGGCAGGAGGTAGTAAACAAGTAGGTAGGGTAGTAGGTGTGTGTGGCAGAAGGCGGGGTGATTTTCGCCAAAAGTGGCGGCCTCAGGCACGCACCCTGGCATGCAACCTGCATCTGCGGCACGCACCGCACGTCTCAGACTCGTCAGGTCCCCCCGGTCGTTGTCACAAGTTCACAGCAAAAGCACGCAAGCTGCAGCAGGTGGCACAGACAGGCTTTCGTTCCAAAACATAGCATTCATGCGATCAGCGACCGACGTCGTCCCATCCTGAGGCCATGCCATGCTGCGAAGCAGGCATCTTTCCCATTCCAGAAGTCCCAGTTCAGTTCCCTCTTCATCCACCTTCTCAAGCTAAAAGTGACAAGTAAATGAACGCACTCAAAAATCTGAAAGTGGAAGAAAGAAAGAAAGAAAGAAGAGAAGCGACTGATGGATTGAGAGAGAAAAAGACAAAGACGGGAAGAGCGACACGCGTCGAGAGGCGAGCTGGCACAGCCGGCATCCACCCCTCTCCGCTTCGTCGCTTCCCTTCTCGCTCCTCCCTCGCTTCTGCTCAAAACGAGCAGGCCAGAGCAAAACAAAAGCAAATAAAACTCCCTCCGACAACCCTAATTCCTGTTTCCCGAAAACCCCCGTGAAGCCGCATATTGCATTACAAGGTCATGCATTGCTGTTGTAGAGAGAAGGCAAGTGAAAGAGCGCCCCCCGGGGGTGGCGCGGGACATAGGAAAGCTCCTCTCCGCGCCCCAAATCCCCCAGACGAGAAGCAAACAAAGCGGAGCAGCAGAAAGTGAAAAAAATCATGAAAGGCCATAAACATTGGCGGCACTCGGCCGTGACGGATATGAACAAAAGCGCGAGTAGCTCGCAGCCCAGGATCCACCCAAGCTGGTCACCACTGCCCGTCTGCTTCCGCTTCTTCGCGTTTCCGGCTCTAGAACATGGAGCTCTTGCGCTTCTCGGCGCTGGTAAGCACCAGCATGGGCGTCTTGCGCCTCTCGCCGGACACAGCCTTGGGCTCTTCCACGACCACTTCGACAAACTTGCCACCGGTGCTAGCACCGTCATCGCTGCTCACGCTCCTGGCAGAGTAGGAGTCGCTGCTGCCGTTCCTGCGCAGACGCTCTTGCGAAGCCTTCCTCTCCGAACCGATCGCGCCGCTGGCAGCGGCCCTCAGGCTGCCAATGCTGGGCTTGCCCGATAGGCTTCCGCTGCGAACGCTGTCGGAGTCGTTATCCGAGGGGAAGTTCAGGTCCGACTCGCTGACCGGGGTACCCGCACCACCGCTACCACTGCGAGCACCGCGGCGCTCGATACCAGCACGAACAAGGTTGTGCACGGCGCGGCGGCGTTGACGAGTAGCAAAGTTCTTGCTGCCTTCGTGCTTGGTGGTTGGCGCAGCCTGGAGCTCCTCAAGTGGAGGAGGTCCACGTGGCTGGCGGACAGGGTGTTCGCCAGCACGGGCTTGACCGGGGCCAAAGGTGCCAGTCATGGGCGTCTGCGGGAAACCAACGGAGCGGACGAAAGCGGACTTGGGGCCTTCGGCGACATCACCGTTGACGTTGATGGCCAACGATGAAGTGTTCTTCTTGTGGCCACGGCGGAAAGCGTTGGCGGAAGGCGGCGGCAGAGGGGTGACGTCGACAGGAGGGCTCGCCGACTTCTTGGGCGGCGACGTGCTGCGGTCGAATGGGTTGGACCTGTTCTGGGACGGAGGGGAAGCCTGGCGAAGCGGCGTTCCGGTCTTGGGCGGCGAGTTGGTGTAGCTGGGCGTCGGGGGCGGCGGGGAGTCGGAAAGGTGCGACTGTTGCAGGTTCTGACTCAAGACGTACTGGTACTGTCCGGTCGCAGGGTTGTACACCACCTGCAGGCCGGGTTGCGAATCCAGCGAGTTGGAGACACCGTTCTGCATCTGGCCGTAGTAACCCGACTGGGGAGTCATCGGGGTCATCGGGTATTGCTGCTGACCCAGGTTGGCACCGTTGTTCAGGTTCATTCCGCTGAGTTGCTGAGCGGTCAAGCTGAGCAACTGCTGCTGGAGCTGTTGCTGACGCTGCTGGAGATAGATCTCGGTCGCCATGAGCTGAGCAGCAAGGCTGGGGTCGATCGGACCCTCCTCCTCGCCCTCGTACTGCATGGCAGGAGGAGCAAGCACATGCTCGGGAAGAGAGTAGACCTGCTGACCAGCGTTCATTCCGTACTGGTTGCGGACAGACATGGGGAAGTTGGAGCCAATAGAGGTCTGCGGCGCACCATAGCCATGGCTAGAGCCGTTGTTGCTGTTGTAGCCGTTGAACTTCTGGCCCACTCCAAACTGGGTCTGGTTGTACGGGGCAGAGGCGGGCACAGCGCCCGGAGTCTTGGGCTGAGTGCGCAGGCCAGCGAGGAGATGGCCACGGCTAGTCCTGGGCGTAGGGTTGGCGGCGACGGGGTGCTCGCTGATGGAGCCGATCTTGGGCTGAGCGGCGGCACTGAGGCGCTTCAGATGAGCGCCCTTGCCACGAGAGGAGAAACTGGCGGTGGGCGCACCCAGGGCGCCGTTGGAGGGAAATTGGTTGTACGTCATTTGAGCGAGACCGCCAGCGTCCAAGCTCATTGTGGTGAGAAAACCGGGAGCGGAAAGTCGAATGCGAGACGCAGGGGAGCTGAGGCCAGAGAGTGGCGAGGCGTCAAAGGCTAGCCGGTGGGGTGTTGTTGTACAAATAAGGGCTGTTCCACTACCCAAGGACTAGGCAGAAGCCAAAGGCAGGCAAGATTAAGGATTAAGGACTGCGGTTGAAGCGCGCGGTAGTGAGGACCCCGACGAGCGGCGGTGAGGACCGAGCGACGAGCGGTGGCGGTAGCGGTGGTGGAGTGAGGTGGTGAGGATTTTCTTTCGCTCGACGACGACGGCGGGATTTTTTTGGTGGTGGAAGTAAACACAGGAAGGAGGCGAATGAGACGAGAGAGGAATCTAGCAGGGGCTGCTTGCTCTGCAAAGCACAAGAGGGAGCGACGAGGCGCGAGATTATGGGGATTGTAAGTAAAAGCTAAGATGCAAGAGAGAGCCGGCGCTGTGTGAAGGCAGGCGCGGAAGAGGGAAGGGGAGAGACAAGAGAAGAAGTAAAGCGAGACGTCGTCGGCGGGGAAGAGGGAAGAGGGAAGAGAGAGAGAGCTGAAGAGAGAGAGAAGAGAGAAAAAAAGAAAGGGAACTCGGAAGGTCAAAAGGCAGCGACGGACAGGCTTTGCTTGGTTGGCTCTTTCGGCAGCGGCGCTAGCGAGGCGGGCCCAGACGGCGGCCCCGGCACGGCTAGCGCGCGCTGAAACCGCCCGCGCCTGGCGGTTATGCACGCTTTCGAGTCTCGTGGGCGCCTCTTGTCCACTGGCCACGGCGATCTGCGCGTTCCCGCGAATGCACTGAAACCCTTGCCCTCATGCCAATCCCGCCCTCGCCGCGCCGCCAACTCCAAGGGCTGAAACACCCCGTTCTTGCCGCCCAAATCCCTCATCTTCTCCTTATTATTGCGAATGTGGTAGACAGTAATGACGACTGCCAGTGCGCCCGCAGTGTGTGCCAGATGCCCTCGCCGTGCCCATCGGTATACGAACTGCCGGGTCCGCCCTATTTATATATCCCTCATAGCCGGAGGCCGGAGTGACGGACGCGGCCCGCCCGCCTGGACGCTCGTCGCGCCCCGCCCGGGCAAAAAAAGTCGAGTCGTTCGCCGTTGACGGCGATTTATCAGCAACATCATGACGACCGCGCCATCACCACGCGCCGTCAGACGCAATCTCTCCCTTCCGCTGCTCTCTTTCTCTCATCCCCCACACTCCCCGTCCTGCGCTGATCGGACGCGTCAACCACCACGCTCGACCTTCAATTTCCCCCGAGCACGTCCACCCGCTGACCTGCCCCACCCGTATCTCGAGCCTGCCTCCCCCAGCTTGACTGACGTTGGACAAGCGCGGGGTTGCCTCGCTCGACGCCAGCCATGGGCCTGCTGTGAGACGCGCTCCCTTGCGCCTAGACTCCCTAGCCCCCTACTGACGCGCTGCCTGACAGAGCACTGGGCACTCCGCTTGACTGGCCCGACGCGCAAAAAGTCGCCGGCCAGGTCCGTGAATGGGGCATTGAGGTAAACGCGCATCGCGCCGTCGTCCTGCACGAACCACAAGCTTATACGCCGTTGTAGCAACTGTTGGCCATCTGGAGAAGGGCCAAGGGCAAGGAGCGCGACGCTCTCCTGTGGGGTGACGAGGTACCATACTGCGACCGAGCGTGCAATTTCGGAGACGATCGCTGAGCGGTGGAACAGATTGAGTATCTCGTCGTCGCGTATGATGAGGAGAACAAAAAGGTCCGGCTCTCGCTGCGTCAGGCCGACATCCTCACTGCTTTGGCGACCGACGAGAAGCTCCTCAAGGAGGGCGGCGGAGTGCCGGACCTGCAATGCGGGGATACCAAGTCAGTGCCGACTGCTCGCAGCGCGTCAATGATTGCCTTGCTGATACCATGTATGCAGGAAGGACGATGTTGCGCCCGTCTTCCATCCCGAGTTTGGCCGGTTCATGCTCGAGGCCACTCCCGGTAAGCCGTGGGGGATTGGCTTCAAGGACCTCCTCGATGTCGAGTACAACATGAAACGGAGGTTAGTTAGGCTGATGCATACGACGCGACCGACACGCGGTGCTGATGTTCTGCAGACGCGTCATTGCCAAAGAGCACATGGAGCCCAACGAATATCCGATCACACTGACCACTTTCCCACGTCTCGGATCTCCCGACTGCATCACTCCGTACTATCCTCCCTCTGGAGAAAAACTGCGCTCGCAGTTCCTTCCCGATGAAATCGCGAACCCGCACATTCGTTTTCCGACCCTTGCAGCCAACATAAGATCAAGGAGGGGAAGGAAGGTCGAGGTCAATGTGCCGGTTTTTAGAGATGAGCGCACGGCATGGCCTTTTTGGGACCCTACGGTCAACTACGACCTTCACAATTGGCCAGAGGACGACGACGTCCGAAATGGTGCTACCAAAGAGAACCACATCTACATGGATGCCATGGCTTTTGGAATGGGCAGTTGCTGTCTGCAGATTACGTTCCAGGCCAAGAACATTGAGGAGGGACGGAAGATGTACGATCAGTTGAGCCCACTTGGTCCGATCTTGCTCGCTCTGACCGCTGCCACGCCAATCTACAAGGGCTTCTTAGCCGACACTGACGTGAGATGGAACCAAATCAGCAGAGCTGTTGATGATCGTACCCCCGAAGAGCTTGGCGAGAAGGTGAGAATTATTCGTCAACAAGTCAATCCCAAACTAACCATCAAACAGCCTCTGCGGACAGACCGTTGGCGGATTCCGAAGTCCAGATATGCATCGAACTCGACGTACATCTCGCAGGACCCGCGCCTACGCAAGGAATATATGGACCCGGACCTTGTCACTGACCCGGCGTTGAAGCAGAAGCTAATCGATGGTGGGATGGACGAGATTCTGGCCACGCACTTTGCGCATCTCTTCATCCGCGACCCTATAGTCGTCTTCAACGAAGACCTGGAACATCTGGACCTCGACAAGGTGGACCACTTTGAGAACCTGCAGTCAACGAACTGGCAGCACATGCGGTTCAAGCCGCCCCCACCGGGCAACGACACGGGCTGGCGAGTCGAGTTCCGGCCCATGGAGATCCAGCTGACCGACTTCGAGAACGCGGCCTTCAGCGTCTTCATTGTGCTGATCACGCGGGCGATCCTGAGCTTCGATCTCAACTTCTACATCCCGATCGCCAAGGTGACGGAGAACATGGAGACGGCGCACGCGCGCGACGCAGTCAACGCGCGCAAGTTCCACTTCCGCAAGGACCCGTTCTCGCCGAGGGCGGGGGCCGCGGGCAACAACAACGGAACGCGCGGCTCGGGCTCGGCGACGCCGAACACGACGGCGTCGCGCGGCGGCAGCCCGGCGCCCCCGGCGCTTGGCCCCGTCGAAGACGAGTTCTGCCTCATGAGCGTGGCCGAGATCATCAATGGCCAGCCGGGCGCGACGGGCTTCCCGGGTCTGATCCCCCTAGTAGAGTCGTATCTTGACAGCATGAACGTCGATGTCGAGACGCGCTGCGAGCTCGCGCGCTACTTGGACTTGATTCGGCGGAGGGCGGATGGAAGGCTCTGGACCGCTGCGAAGTGGATCAGGCATTTTGTCGCGGAGCATCCGGCGTATCAGAAGGATAGCGTTGTTGGCGATGACCTACAGTTTGACCTTGTGAAGAAGGTGGAGGAGATTACGAGGGCTGAGGGGCCTGGGCTGGCGGAAGTGGCGCGGGAGATGTTTGTGGCTGGGAGGTAGAGGGCAAGGTGTTGGTTTGTTGGGTGATTGTTGGCTAGTGCCGGTTGAGTCGGTGCGTGGGGGTTGTTGGTTGGTTATTAAGATGACGTGTTGGTGTTGGTGTGTGAGGTGATGGTTAGTTAGATGATGGGTACCTACTGTAGAAGGTTAGGAAGGAGTAGGCGAGCGAGAGGTCAGAGCGCGCGATTGATGGGCGATGTGACTGGTTTGGGTGCTGTAGGTAGACTACACACAGTTAGCACTACACACAACTCTCTATGTCTCAGTGAAGGTTATCCCTCTGTCTTTGTAAGTGAACGGCTAAAAATAACAAATCTATTCAGGCCATAGGAGCCGATTCGCCATCTCAATGTTCTGTCATAAAGCAAAGTGTAGGAGTGGTGTAAAGACATTTTTAAAGCGGAAAAGAGACTGTCCTGCCACAACTCATAACTAGCTGTTCAGCAACGACCTTGGCGAAGATGACTATATAAAAAGGACAAGAAGCAACCGGGCGATGCCCTGCCACACATTATGGCTGGAAGTGGCTGGAAGGCCAACATTAGCGATGTCTGGGACGAATCAACAAGCAACCTCCCTGCTCGACATGGAGACCACAGTGACGTTGCCGTTCCATCGAGGAAGAAGCTCGTATACTCTCAGAACAGCGACGCTCCTCATCACGCCCAGACAATGCTGCATATCGCCACTATTCGCTGCCGGGGAGGGACAGCGGTATCATCATCCTTAACTTACTCACTGCTTTGATATACTGTCTAGCTGAACAATATCTGCTACCAACTATAGCGAAGCGAAGGTACTGGGTGCGCTATTGAACAAGCGGCAATATAGCGTTGAGTTTTGGATGTGTTCGCTGCGTGATGACGGAAAGGGGGGTACTGGTTTTCGGTAAGCGCTCGCTCATTCCTTGCTGCCTGGAAGCTGGGTTGGCAGCTGAGCATGATTTCCCTTTCTTTCCGAAGTTGCTGGTGCAGTTGTTGAGGACTGCGGAAATGAAGGACACCTGGTCCGCTGATCGGGAATTGGGAGTTGGTGTCTTTGGCTGGGTGGTTGGGCCGCTGGGTTATATTGAACACCTTCGCGGTGTTCGGTTCTAGTGTTAGACCTTTGCTTCGTTCTCTGGTTTCTTGCAATGGGGGTCGTTGGCTCGTGGGTGCTGAGTGGGGGTCCTGGCCTTTTGGTGTTTTTTTTTTTTTTGGTGTTGTTTGTATGATTGTTTTTGGTGGCCTGGGAATTCGATTTAATAATGTTCGATGTCTGGTTTTTATTTTTGTTTGGGAGGATACTTTTCTTTGCTGCTTATTTTTGTGAAAGTGAAGTATCAGCAAATGCTGCGGATAAAGAGTAGGAGGAATTACTTACTACGGCTTATATGTGGAGTTTTGACGGAGAATAAGCAGTGGTGTCATTATTTCTTACTGCGTGCAAAGGCAGTGTCTCTGTGTCTTCCATAAAACGACATGGAAATGTTGAGGGACTTAGAGGCTAACCTCATGGTTTCCTTGTTTACCTCAAAGCTGTCGACTCGCGGCACTGGGGAAAAGCCAAGCAACCGCACATGAAGAAGTTCGTGCTTTCTTCGAACAGTGGCGCATAATAGCGCACTCAAGTAATATTTAAGGCTCCTCCGACGCTCGTGTTCAGTTTACCCCAGCAAGGAACGCTTGTAGCAACACAGAACAACAAAGAGGTGTCCCTTCTCTGCAGGAAACCTGTATCGCGATATCACAAGTGCACTGGACTGAGGAAGACTTCTCTCGAGACTCCCGCGGCTATACGGCTGTAATAAGGTCATGCTTAATCTAGCGATAGTGACACTCGCCGTCAGCACTACACGGCACTGTTCCGTACCTCCAATGGGCAGCGATGGTGACCAATATCCGGTAAGATAGATTTAAATTCAATGCACACAGTGGCCACGTCGTTCTAGTCTTTTGTAACAAGACCTGCTACAGTCATTCTGAACAGTAACCAAATCCGGCAACCATGAACTCAACCTTTCCGGTATCGTTTTTCAGTGAGCCAGAAGTTATTCCCAGTGCTTCTTCACTGCCATCTTCGAGACTGGCTTGAGGTCTTATATAGAAGACCTGTTGAGAGCATATCACCAACTTGTTAGCGCTAGTAGCCAGTCAACCCGGCAGCCTTCATGTTTGGAGCAGGGAACTCTCTCTCCTTTCTCTTTATCTCTCTCTCTCTCTCTCTCTCTCTCTCCGCCTCATTTACCCGCTGTTACACCACAGTACAGCACAGCACAGCACCAAACACACTGACACGAAGCCTGCCTGCCCGTTGCCGGCCCTGCTGCTGCCGCCGCCGCTGCTGCAGTGTAGTGCAGTGCAGGACTCCCACGTCTAGAACCCCGCGTCTCTCTTTCCTCGGCCTTGTTCGCCATCCATGCCATGCCATGACTCTGGCCCCGTCCCTGTCCATGTCCTTGTCCTTGTTAAAACCAGGGCGATAGATAGACTAAGACAGCTCCTAACGCGACTGATCAGAAGAGCAAAGCACACACAAGCACTTAGACGAAAGGAAAGGAAAGGAAGTGAAAGGAAAGGAGGGGCTACTATAGCAGTGAGTGAGTCGGTGAGCAGTGACGCAAGCGGGGGAGCGGGGCACGTTTGCACGCAGGCATCGGACATCGGACATCGGACGCCGGGCAGCGGGCGTCGGGGCCGCGGCGGCGCGTACCGTACCTACCTACCTGCGTGTGTTGCTGTATGACGTGGCGGCGTGGGTATTGTACCTATGTGTACGATGACGGGTGTCGTGCACACGTATATGCCCGGTGGGGAGAGCGAGCAGTTGCGGGTGCGGTTGCGGTGGAGGAGAGGCTGTGCGGACAGAGTACGTACATACGGAGCCCGCGGGGAGGGGTTGAGCGGTGAGCACCCTATGTATGCAGGTCCGGGGTCTCGAAGGAGCCTAGCTGAGGCCTGCCTACATACTGTAACTACCTGGGTACAGTACCAACTCACATTAAGGCGGTGGAAGGCGATCCCAGCCAGCCAGTCAGTCCAGAGCCGTACGGTACGGTACTGTAAGTATGTATGTCCGTACAGTGCCTAGTTTTCACTGTATGCGAACGGACATGGCTGCTTACTGCTCTAGGGTATCTTCTTTCGCCCGTCCCGTCCCGTCCCGTCCCGTCCATCTTCTTCTTCTTCGTCGTCGTCATCGTCGTAGATCTCGCTCCTACAACCTCAATCCAATCCAATTTGCCCCGGCGGCGGATCGAGCCTCTTTCCGTCTTCTTTGCCTAGTCCTATCTTGCCTGCTCGCAAGAACCCCAGGAAACGGCGCGCCACGTTACGAATCCGAATACGAAAAACATCCCGCAGCAGCAGCAGCAGTAGCAGCAGCGCAATCTAGAGCCAGCAGCACGCGGCGCGCCCACCCAGCCCTCCCCTCCGCAGACAAAACCCTTGTTCTAGCGGGAATAGAGCCCGCTCCTAGGTACATAGGTAGCTATTCCCGGCACGGCGTGCATCGGATCGGACGTAGTCAGGTAGAATCATCGAACGGGCGAGCAAAAGAGGCAACACCACCAACACCTAGGCAGCGACGCCCACCGCTGCCGCCGCCCACTCACACACCGAAGCGCCCGGCCCTGCAGCACGACCTACCTACCTAGCTAGCCTCTCGCGCACCGAACGCCCCACCCCGCCCCCCTGCGCGTACGCAGTAAGCAAGCAAGCAGTAAGCACCCTAACCCCGACCCCACGCCCACCGGTACAGTACAGGACGTAGCGCTACGCCCAGCCCCCTACGGCTACATACATACCTACCTACCTAGTTAGTTAGGTACGTACCTACGTACCTATGTAGCCGGCGACGGCCCTGCCCCCCCACCGTGCATGAAGACTGACCGAAGAGACGCCCCGGGGGCGCGCATTCAGCACTCAGCCCGGAATCCGGCGAGCGGCGCGCCCCTGGGAGTGAAGCGGGCAAGGGGAAGCGGGCGCCGTTGTCGTTCGTCGTTATTAACCCTTCCGCTTCATCACACATTCATCCATCCTTCACTTAACCTCACCACCGACAACCCGCTCACGCATTGCTTTTTCTCTCATTATCAATCATTGTCCCGCCGCGCCCGCAGCAGTTGCCGTGCACGAGTGCGTAGAGTAGGTACCGTACCGTACCGTACACTATGTATGTACTGTACGCATAGAGTGCCTCCAGTCCTAGGGCCCTGGCCTGGCCTTCCGGCTTCCGCGGGTCCGCTGTACGTACACTGCCGTGCATGTGTATGTATGCAGAGGACATGTGGACGTAGGGCGTGAGGGTTGCCGGTAGTTGAATGGATGGATGAATGGAAGGATGGGCAGCAGACAGGCAGACAGACAGACAGCGGACAGGACAGGACAGGATAGGTCAGCGACCAGTCGGCACGCACGCACGCACGCAGCGAGCGACGTGTTGGATGTAGGGGAGGGGGCAGACCGTCGGTTCCGCAGGCCACGGCCACGTACGTAGCTAACGGCAGAAGCTGAGGGCATGCATATGCGCGGCGCGGGCAGGGGTGGCGTCGTCGCAGCGTAGAGCAGAGCAGAGCAGAGGACTCGCAGCCACGAGGAGGAAAGAAAGAAAGAAAGAAAGAAAGAAAGAAAAGTAGCGGTGCACCAACACAACACAACAACACCTACCAAAGACGTTAGTTAGCGCCCGCTCGCTCGCAACAGACGTCGGCCGAAGCACCAGAAGAGCAGGGCAAGGCAGGCAATCAAACCGCAAAAAGCAAAAAGCGCACAAAAACCAAAAGAAAAAGACCAGGCAGCCAGGCAGCCAGCCGGCAGTGGGCGGAGTGGAGCCCGCGGAAAAAGCAAAAAGCGAAAGAGAAAACGAGAGAGGACGACTCCTACCTTGCACGGCTCGCATAGGATAGCACGCTCCTACATAAGCACGGGTAAAGGAAAGGAACGGAAAGAACAGAAAAAGCAAAAGCAAAAAAAGGAAAAGGAAAGGGAAAAAGAAAAAGAAAAAGAAAAAGAAAAAGAAAAAGAAAAAGAAAAAGAAAAAGAAAAAAGAAACCACACTCGTTCGCCCGCCCTGCCCGCCGCCCACCGCATCATCAGTACCATCACCGATCCCACCATCCCGAACCCACGCCGACGGGATTCCCGGGCCCTCATCTCTACGCACCCGAACGAGCCTAGCCCTTCCACACATACTACTTATGGACTTGTACCCCCGCATCCGACACGCAGGTTAAGGCCACATGGCGCGTCGAGCGTGCGACGACGTCGCGTCGCGTCGGCGGACTGCCAACGACTGAACGACTGTCTTGACTAACTGACTGACGACGACGTCTTGTGCGCCTGTCCTGTCCTGTCGATCGGCCTGCAGATTAGTTAGTTGACCGGCATTTTCCCATCCATCCGTCTGTCTGTCTGTCTGTCGGATGTTGCGGCGAATGAGGGCAGGACAGGGCAGGGCAGGGCAAGGCAGGCTCCGCCTCGTGACACGGCCGGCTGGCTAATCCGTACACCTCCTTGCTTTGCCTTTTGCCTTGCTGGCTGTTCTGTTCGTGTTTGCTTCATGCTTGCCGGCTTAATGCTTCATGCTTCATGCCTCATGCCTTAACTATGCCAGCCAGCCGCGCTGCATGCCTGTCCTGCCTGCCTGCCGTGCTGACAAACCGCACAGCCCACCGGCCACCGTCCGCGTTCACGTTCATGCGGCAGAGAGCTACGAGTAGTGGTATGTAGGATGTATGTAGGGCCGTAGCAGGCAGACAGGCAGGCAAACGGGTAGCGGCGGGCGCAAGCGCTCGCGACAAGTCCGCCGCCCCAGGCCCTTGCAGCAGCCGCGGTACTGCTGTGCTGCTGTGCTGCTGTGCTGCCATGCTGGCAGCCGCTGACGCTGCCCTGCCGACGAGCACATGGCACTGTCCGCCACGTGATGCGACGCCCTGCGCTGCGCTGCGTGCATGCGCGCCGAAGAGAGAGAGGCCGACGGGTGCCTGCCTTATAGATACGTGTGTATGTGCAAAGCAAGCAGCTACCCAACCGGTCAGCCCGTCGGCCAGCCAGCTAGCCAGCAGAAGCGCGGCTCACGCGCCCGCCCGCCCGCTTGCTTGCTCGGTTGGACAGCTGCGTGCGTTCGCGCGTGTGTGCATGCCTAGGTATTGTACAGTCCAGCGCAGCAACCAGCCATTCACTCGCCAGCAGGCAGTGTAGCTCGTAGGCAGTAAGCAGTAGGCAGCAGGCCGGTAGGCAGATCCAACGCCCACACGGCAAGGCACGAAAACACCAGGCACAGCCGCGGCGGCGTTGCTCGCGCCCCGGAGCTAGCTACTCTAAGGCGCGACTCGGAGCACGCAAGGAAGGGTCCCCGGCGGCGATCCCGGTGCCAACCGTTTTTTTCTTTTTTTTTCTTTGCTTTTTGATTTGCTTTGCTTTTCGGACGGGTGCCGTTTTGGGCGAGGGGATTGCGGCTGAGGCTGGGACTGGGGCTGGGGTTGCGGGTGAGATAGGCTGTGCTGTCGCTGTCGCTACGTGTGATGCTGATAATGCTGCTGCTGTTGCTGATGTGGTAGTGACGGTGGCGGGAGTCGTGTGCAGTGAACTGCGAAAGAAGATGAAGAACCAGAAGAAGTACCATAGTAGAAGGCGCCAATGACGATGATCACCCATCCACTAGGTAGGCACCAACGGCATACTCGCGCCGCCCAGCCGTCGATCTCGGAGCAACCTAGGAGGGGGGCGTGAAGAAGGACGGACGGCCGGACGAAAAAGGAACAGCAACCCAGACAAGACGGGCAGAAACCGACCTGGCGTGACTGATCTTGCAGCAGCAGCAGCAGCAGCAGCAGCAGCAGAGGGCACATCTCGATGCGGATGCTGCTTCTCGCTTCCCGCTGCCCGCTGCCCGCTGCCCGCTGCCGATGCCGATTGTCGATTGTCGATGTCGATGTCGATGTCGATGTCGATGAGGCAGGCGTACGCGTGTTTTGCAGTGGAACAAGGGGGCGCAAGTGCTTGCGGTCCATTCTCCGGCAGAGCTTTCGCGTGCCGTGGCCGGCGGAGCAAAGGCCGATGTCGTACAGTACCTTCCTATGCGCTGCCTAGGTAGGTAGGTGGGTGGGTAGATGCATTCGCCGAAGCAGCAGCCCGTGTAGACAGATGCGTAGCCTGACAGGCAGACATACAGGCGAAACGACCTCAGTCGGCCATGTCAAGCAAAGAAGAGGGAGGTGATGAAGGAGAAGAGAAAGAGAAATGAGAAAGAAGATATGGACTCGCTTCCAAGCTCTCACTCAACCACCCCAACTAATAGGTAGTTATTTGTCTGTACAATACATACAGTACTACATACAGCCCCACCACATACGAGCAACAGCAGCAGCGAAACAAACGCCCGTCGGATCAGCCAGCCAGTACAATACCTACATGAGTAACCAAGCCCCTTGCGCCCAAGCACCCAAGCACGCAGCACGCAGCACGCACAACAGCAGCAGAAGAAGCGCTTCGGCGGCGGCAGCGCCAGACGTGCAGAGCCGACCGCCACCATACAGGAATACACTCTACACACCCATACACAAGAGGCGTCTGCCCTGCCGCTGCTGCTGCTGCCCTGTCCCTGAGCCTTCCAAGGGGCGCCGGGCCCACCGCTCCGGCTCGGCCAAGCAGCAAAATCCCAAGACCGAAAAGACAAGCGAGAACACCCCATGGCGAGCACGCCTTGGCCTGCCCAAAAGCAATCAAAACAGCTGCAGCAGCTGCTGCTGCTGCGCTTGCGCCCCCCCATTCCTGCCCTACCGCCTCCGCTTCCCCTTCCCTCGAGCACCCCCCATGCTGATCATATATGTCAGCGAAATAAAATCCCGAAGCACTCCAAGCAGGCAAGCAAGCACCATGCAAGCAATCAAGCGCCACTAAGTAACAGTTACAGTAGCACCGATAAAAAACTGTAATGATGATGATGATGACGATGATGACGATGATGACGATGATGACGATGATGACAATGATGACAATGATGACAATGATGACGACCCGGGGTTTGCATGCATGTGCAAGGGGAATAAAAAACCCGTGAAAATCCAACAGACAAATAAAAAGAAAAAAGCCTCTAGTAAGGCGGACGGAAAACCAAACCCAACCCATCATTTCCATGGTCATAGGTCCCACCCTCCCAAGCGCCGGATTCCCTTCCGAAATGGTATGCAAGAGAGACAGAAACAAAAAAAGATCGCAAGCAAAAAGAGGAAAAAAAATAACAAAAATAAAAATAATAAAAAAAAAGAAAAGAATCAAATCAAGTCAAGTGCTGCGCCGTTTGCCGGTCTGCCCAACCCGAATTGACACGCGCCCCCATGTTCTCCTAAAAGAGACAGATGCAGTACGTTTTCCCACCCAAGGCACCGCCGCGCCGCCCATGTTCTCCTCCGAATGCTGTGAAACACGTAATCTCCCTTAAAAAAGAATGCCAGATCATCCTTACGCCGATCCCATTTTTTTAGCCCCAAAGGAAGTGTGTGAGAAAATAGACATTTGCGTATCGCGCGCTGGCGCGACAAAGAGAAGTCTGGATGCGACGTTTATGCGCCCCGAGAGGGGGTACTTTGTGTGTGCTGGTACAGCCCATGCCGCTGCTGCTTGCTTGCTTGCTTGCTGCTGCAGAGACCGGGTCTCTTGTGTTTGGAGAGGCGCCACCTTGGGCATAGAGAAGGAAAGAAAGAAAAAGAAAAGAGGAAAAAAAAAAAAGGCGCGCTTTTTCACCGCGTGCTGGGGGGGCCCCAAACGGGCTGCGATCGTCATCTTGGGGCCTCCTCTTTCGGCAGCCTCCCCCGAGGCGAGCGCTTGCACGCAGGGCCCGCCGCCTGATTAGAGATGGGGTCGGTCGTCCAGCGAGCACAAGGCCAGGGCAGGGCAGGCAGGCTTTTCGCCCCGTCCTTACGCCGGCGGTGACCCAGGCCCAAGGGACTTCGGTCGGAGGTTCGAGCTGCCGATGGGCGCTTTGTTCGCGCCCATCTTCCTCGTCAGCTTGGCGTAGTCTGCTTGCGCAGTCAGTATCCATCATCGAGATCGAGGGAGAGCCCGGCGGCTCCCGCGGGAAATAAATCATGCTACTCACGGAGTCCGCATGCGTTGCAGAGCGTGCGCGCGCCGTCCGGCCCTCGTCGCCATTCTGGCGTCTCTGCGCGATTGCAGCTGTGACAGCGCCCCGGTGGAGCGGCTCGCTGCAGAAACTGTCAGCTTTTGCGGCCGATATCACAAAATCATTGCTGTTGGTGGGCAGGAAAAATGTGACATACCCCTCTCCGTTTCTTCGGGTCGGCGCCTGCAAAGCCACCACCGCCCTTCGGATCCTCTCCAAATGCATGTGGCTCCTCCGGCTCGTAGCCATTCGTCACTTTGTAGCGGGGGTCATGGACCTGCTCCGCCATATGGACTTGTTGCGTTCTGACGACCTCCTGGATGCGCACCAACGAGTCGAGAATGCGGTGGCCTTGCTTCATCAAATCGTCCACTTCGTGGATGGTTGGCGTCGAACCAGGCACCGGTCCGACCCGCTGCGCCTGATGCGCTCGCTGGCCGTAAACCCGCACGAATTCATTTAGCCGTCCACTACCTTCCGCGATCTGATCTGGTGTGTTAGTGACACGTCGAATGACAGGCTGAAAGACTATCACATACCTCGTTTAGTGACGCTTCAAAGTCAAAGTTGTCGAGGTGTCGCTTGACCGACTCGCCGTACAACGCCGGCCCAGCATTGCGCCCCGCTCTTTTGCTCTCCTCCGCACGCCTGACCTCTGCTCCATCTGACCTCCAGCTCGGTGGGTAACCTCCTTGCGCGGAGTAAGCTGATGCCGATGCAGGGTAAGCGGGACCGGGTGCATGAGGAGGTGGTGGCGCTGCCGAGTAAGGATATGGTACGGCGGCGGGATATGTGCTGTAGCCGAAAGGCTGCTGTTGCATTGCACCAGCAGACTGCGGCTGGTACCCCGGTGAGGGCGCCTGCGTGTATCCGTAGCTAAACGACGACCTTGGGTTCTCCACCGGTGGCTGCTCCGTCCTGAGCGGATGCAGGGTGGGGAGCTTTGGGTTGTGTGAGTTGGGCAGCGTGGGACGAGGTGGTTCCGGTTGGTTTTGGGCAAAAGGCGGCTTCATGTAGGGACTCCGAGGTGCTGGTTGCGAATACAAACCTGGTGAGTCTCTGCTAGGCATGTCTTGAGAATAATGTCTCCTTGCTGCGTCTGGATGTGGTATTGCGGCCGCAGGTGGGGGTGGCGGGCCGTACTGCGCCGCTGAGGTCGGAGCGGCGGGGGTCTGAGATGGAGGGTATGGCATGGGTTGATCAGAGGCCAAGGCTTCATGGATAGATGGCAACGACTGCCGCGCCGGTTGCTTATGTTCCCGCTCTTCGCCCGACGTGCGCCGCGACTCTGGCGGGGAGATGAGGCTTGCTAGGCCAGCTGGTGGTGCGCTGGCAGTCGGCGTGTGGTGAGCGTAGGGCGGCGGCGGGCATGAGAAGGGAAAGGACGGGCTGATCATAGCCGCGGCGGATTGTTTTCGCTGGTAGTCGCTCTCGTCTCTCCTGCTCTCGGCGTCTATGGAGGATATTGAGGGTAAAACGGCACTAGAAGCGGGTCAGCTTTGGATGGCAACGAAGCATTGGCTGGGACGAAGGGTTCGTCTGCGAAGGGCAAACACGCACCTCTGCCGACTGCCGGCATCCATGGTTTCCATCCGGGTCGTGGGCCTGATCTTAGCGACGACTGGTCATCCGACGTGCTCGATCGTGGGGTATTGTGTCGCCCGATTTTATGTCGCCTCCCGCAACAACGCAACCTTTGTATACAGCCCTAATGATATTTCTTTCCTCCGCCACTCCAGGCGCTCGTTCAATGATGATGCAACCCCGGCGACTCGGTCAAGGCGGGTTACTGGCGCCAGACGGCGGATGCGGTCGAGCCTCCGAGGGCGGATCTGACCCGCTAAGGTGCGGCGGCGGGTGCGCAGGCGGGAGCGCTCTGGTGCAGGGCGTAGCTTGACGTACGTCGACGGAGTGTGGAGAGTGGCGGTCGCGAGCGGGGGGAATGAAGCAGGCGTCGGTGGCTTCAATTGCGGCCGTACCAAAGCATGCCCTAATGTACGACTCGGCGAAGACGGGCGCGGCTATACAGACAGTGGAAGGGTGAGGTGGGATAGGTGTGGTGGCGGTGTTTCGGGTGCGGGAGCGAGTAGATGGAGGCGAGATTGTGGTTTTAATGGCGTGAAGGTGGCATTACGGCTTGGGGGAGGGTAGGGAAGAGGGGAAAGACGGGGATAATGGGGTGGTGAGGGCGATGAGATGACCAACGGCAGAGCGATACCAGATGCGATCGGAGATGACCCGCAAAGCAGCAGGGCAGGGACCCCGACGGGGTTTCGTATCGACGCCCGTTGGCGGAGGCAGGCACCCTGTCAGTGTGGCCGTTAGACTCGCTGCTAATCGGATCGATGCAAGCTTATGGGCGGCGGCGACAGGGAGCGGGGAGCAGTGCACGAGTCTCGGCCGCGAGCCAAAAGGTTGCAACAGTAGTGAGTGAGAGAAGAGAGAGCGAGCAGCGTGCGGACCCGGCGCCGTGGGACAAATCAGTGGAGGCATCCTGGCCGATCTCGATCTGGCGGCAGAGCTAAAGTGCCGCTCCCTGCTGCCTGGCTGATGACTGCCGGTGGCAGGAGGAGGCACGGAGGGAGGGCGGGAGTGTGGGAGGAGAGAAGAGAGAAGGAAAAAAAGATGAGATCATGGAGTGGCCCTTGAGGAGAGGGTGTCTGTCCTCCTTCGTCCTCCTCCTTCTCCCGAGTCCATCCAGCTCCTACCTACCTACCTACCTACCTACCTTGATCTTGTTTCCGTCCGTCTCTCTCTCTTTCCCGCACCCGCACGTAAGAACAAAAGCCTCCTGCCGTCATATGCTTCAACTTTCAAGCGACACGTGTTGGGGTGCGACAAGGAGACCCACCGGCATTCCAACGCTCTGGCCAGCAGGCTGCAGAGACCCGCTTGTCAAGATCGCGGAAGGAATAGGCCCAGCTGCAGCCAGATCCCGTTTGATCACAGGCGGCGCCGATCGTTGGCATGACGCTGCGAAGGAACGGCTGCCCGCAAGTCTCTCGCTTAGGCCTGCTCGAAAAGCGTTTCGCGTCTCTGAAGCTTGGGAGAGTAGCCGCGCTTCCGCGGAAAGGCTCTTCTTGGATACCTTAGATCTGAGATGCATCGGAGATGCGTGCCACCCACCCTGCGATCTCGCCGGCCGCCGTGGCGCGCCTTCACGCAGCCAAAGCAGCGTCTTCTAGCCCGCGTCTTAGGGCCGATCCAAGGCTAGCTCAACTCCCCTCCAGATCCTGGGCGGGTAGATATCCGTTATCGTGCGACGAGACGGCATTTAACCCAGCGCGTCCCGTCGCCCGTCGCACCAAGGCTCCAGGACCGCTGCTCTTCACCCCGTTTCACCCGCACATCACGCGCCCGCCGCCCAGCCAACTCTCTCCTTTTCGTTCCCGGCGCGCTGGTCGAGCCGGGCCGACGCCTTCGCTGATGCAATTTGCTTGCACGTCGTGCTTCGTACGCTGAGATTAGCTCTCGATAAGACCCTGACTAAATGCGCAGACGGAGCCCTGTCGCAACCACGTTTTTTCCGGCTCTTTTTTTTTTTTTTTCACATGAACGGCGCTAGCCCCGCAAACCACAGAGTGCCTTTTCGCGCATTCTAGATCAAACCGGCATAGCGACGGACCGCCTGATGGAAAACTTCCTGTTTCCCTGCCGGGGATCTCGAAAATGGCGTCACTGCCCGCCATCGCCACCCGCTGCCCTGCAGAGTCGCATAACGCCCGCGCGCGTGGCGGTTAAAGGCTGTCGACGGATCGCCCGAGCCCGGTCTGGGGCACCCCAGGTCATCTCCGAAGGCATCCCGATGATCAGCATCGTCATACGATAATGCCCACTCCCTCTGCCGCTTTGGGTAGTTGCGACGTTCCTCCTCTCGCTCCAAATTCTGTAGAGCGCTTCCGCTGTCGCTCACTTCCGCTTCTCACTGCCCACGCTGCCCCCCCAGTGCCCCCATACGCACGCCTCGCCATCTACCTACCACCTTATATCGATCCGCGCCCGCATGAAATTGTAATCAAGGTTGGTTTCTGGCAAAGATCTGACCTTTCATTGCCCGCAATCTCTTTTTTTTTTTTCTTGCTTACTTTTCAGCTCTATATGAGAGGCCCTGCTTTCACTTGTCATCGCTAATCGCAATTGCGGCGTCCTTGCATGGATGTCTTAGCAGAAGTCTCTTTCCTATAGTTAATGCCAGCCACCCGGCCTGCTGCGACATCGGCCGCAAGCCACATCTAGATCCACCTGCACCGGTCACCATCTACCTATTTCACAATTGCACACATATCGTCTTGCAAAGCTAACCCGTCTGGTGCCAATGCGGCTGAATCATTGCTGACGTCGACGATACATTTTTGGCTCGTTGCTGTGGACACTTGGGATCATAGCAAGCGGCCTGAGACCCGCCTGCCCGAGTAAAACGAGGAAGTGCAGCCAGTGGGACAAGTTCTGACCCACTAAGGTCCCGGATGAAATAACGTGGGACTACTGGTACGGCGACCCCGGTGTCTCTATGTGGACGATGCTGGTGCTGCGCCGCTTCATCAATCTACGTGGTAAATATCGTCCGTCAGGCACGCCCCCAAGAGAGAAAAAATTGTCATGGAAAGAGTCACGACGTCACGGGACCAGACTCTACTAGTCAGGTATCCCAGCGTAGGATGACCTTCATCGCTCGATCGCATCCTGGTCCTCATCTAACGAGAGAGAGAAGGGGGTGTCTGAGGCTTGCAAGAAGCAAATCCGGGACATGAGGCTTTCATTGCCCCGCCTGCTTTGCTTTCCGTCCTCTTCCCTATGGGCAGACATCACTTGAGGTCTATCACTTTGGGGCAGTACGACGTCGAGATCTCGGGATATGCTGCTGACAGCTCGTGCGCTAAAGGACGTTGCGCGACCCTCTTGTGGTGCGTCTTTCGGAGCCCTGCCATGTCTGGCCAACACAGGGGGGGCCATTTTCTTCCGCGATCTTCGATCGGAGACATGCGTAGCGTGGCTGCTTACCCAACGCTCGCGGAAGGGGACGGATGGGTGCTTTGCCGTTCACCCAGGACCCAGCACAACGGTCAACGCCGAGCACATCACGAGGCTGGCGAAAAGAACAATTTTTTTCAAAAACTCGTCGGGTGAGCGCATTTTGGCGACCTGGGCCACGACAGGTAGGCCAGGAGCAGGTTTACGGTCGTTGTGCCACGTGAATTTGTGTCGTGGCCCATCTTCCTATTGAGGCACTGATCACGTTTGCACTGCCTTCGCACCAATGGCATGGCTCCTCGCTGATGAGGTGGCACACCCTTAACTTTTGACGGCGCCCATCTGAATCTCAGATCACAGATGCATTCGGGACGGGTCACAGGCAGGTACGTACGACTGTCTGTCCACCTGCGCAGTGATAGATGGCACCAGAGCCGAGAAGATTTACACACAGACGGGGGCCGGATTATATATCACCACCTGCTCGTGCAGATCCAGTACGAAGTAGAGCACTCTACTCAGAGAGGGCCTTACCACGTACGGACGCACACAGTTCTCCTTACGGCCGAGCACCGCATGTTCGGCTCGTGTAAGACACGATCCTACGCAGTGCAGTTTCCAGCCAGATCCTCGTGCAGGGCAGGAAGAGCTCTGCGTCTGCACGGGAAAAGCAGCTTGGCCGGTGTCACTGATCTCGCTTCCCCGTGCATCTCTGATCTACGTGCACGACGTTTGACGTCCTGCGACTCTTCATGCGACATTGTCCGCGGTCCCCTAGGAGTATCACATGCTTGTTTGCATGCGCCCCTGACGGTCCGCCGGAGTTGCCGAACTATCGACTACTAGTCAGTAGTGGTAGCGGCACCTTACTCATGTGGACGTGAACAAAGGTGTGCCAGTTAGATGGCGTGCGCGTCCGATGCTACCGTTTCCTAAGCGGGCGGTCACGACGACGACTTTTCCGAAGATTTGCCCTTGGATATTTGTTCCCAGTTACACGCCTCGCATTCGGGTTCGGCTCGGGCCTTGTGGAGCAAAGTCGACAGAACAGATAGTCATAGATGGTGGCCTACAAAAGGTTTCGAATTCCAAAGCCACGCCATTTAGACTTTGCGGCCGTAGCTATAAGCGGCAGGCAAGGGACGCTCAGGCAGTCTACTTTAGCCGCGACTCCACGTGGAGCGAGAGCCGCAGACGGGTTGCTGGATGGGGAAGGTATTCACAGTGCTTGTTGTCTGAAACAGCCTCTTCTGCGCTATTCCGTGGGGCCCAACGTGGTGCTGGATCTGGGTGCTACCGAGATACAGCCTGAAAGGTTGACAGGTGGGGGCTAAGAGTTCGATAGTCGGCTACGCGTAGTCCCCGATGCTATGAATTTGCTACTGAGAGTCGGGCGAGAGATGCGCCATGGTTAGGCTCACGAGGCTGTGTTGACAGGCGTGGCCTAGACCACAAGCAGTAGTGTTCGAGAAGAAAAGGACCGGCCTCGAAGACGGCGTTGTTGTCGACGTCGTGGGAGTGGCCTTTTGTACGTTGCACGCCAAGGCCGGTGCTCAGGCGGATCGCGCGACCGCCACATTAGTGGCCTGATCAACCTTCAACAATCATACGACTCCTGCTCACCTCAATCTTCGCGCAGCTCCAAACGAAGCAGGCCACACGTCTCTCCCCTGCCCGTCCGTCCACTCGCAGCGAGGATTCACGCTCGACCCCGGCATTCCTGACGCTCCCGCCCCATTGTCCCGTGAGTCCCGCGCCCCCAGCGGCTATCGCGAACCCTGACCGCTGACTCTACCATGAGGCCAGCCTCAGATCCGCTGCGCACCATCCACCGCCTGACTGTCCATGCCATGCCGTGACCCTGATCTCTTTCGTCTTTGGTAAGACCCTCTCTCGGAAACTTCTCTTTCAGCCTCATCCCGTGGCTCCCTATCGCTGCCCTATCGCCATACTTCCCCTCTCTCCTCCCATCATGGACTCGAACGAGCCTAACGGCGTCCTAGACGACGCGTTGGCGCTCGAGAAGGTCGCCGTACGTGCCATGCTACCTGCTGCCGTCGCGCTTTCGCTCGTCGATGCGTGCTCCATTGCTTGTCTTTGCTGGCGGGGCTAACCGCCGATCCGGTGCTCGCAGGTTGGTCCCTATTGCGTATTCGACGATTTCCGCCCTACAACCGCCAGTCCGTCGGACGAGGTCCCCGGCTCGCCGATCGAGCGGACAAACAACATGGAAGACCCGATGATGTCCAACGAGTTCCCCTTCAGCGCCGGCATGCGCGCGCCCTGGCTGAGCTCCGCTGCCGAGGACCTGTCCTTGGTTCAGACTGCCGACTCGTTCCCTCAGGGCAATTGGGAGGAGTGGATGCGTTGGGATCCCAACTCCCAACCCCCGCTCCCGGCGGATATTAATGCCCAGGGCCCCGTGTGCTTCTTCAAACCCGACATGAAACAGGCTGCCTTCAATCGGCAAACCTCGCAAGAGACGCAGCCACACGGCTTGCCCGCACGCATGAACGACATTCCTTTCTCCTTTGGCGAGTCGATGGATAACACTCCCGCCTTTGCCTTTGGCAACAATGACCTGAGCTCGCCGGCAGTCACTGAAGGCCAGCAGCAGGGCAACTTCTTCAGGGACAACAACCCGGTGTGGACTGACAATCAGCAATTGGAGCACGGCGACAACGGCTTGTTCTCGCCGCTGTCATTCGATCAGAATCAGGCCCAAGCAATGTCTCGCCCGCCGCACTCGACGCCTAGCTTACACCACAGCCCCAGCTCCGTCAACTCGGGGACACACCCTCACACTAGCTCCTCGTCGCAGCAGTCCTCCCCCGAACCTTCGACGCACGGAAGCAGCAAGAAGCGGAAGTCGTTCATCGAGGATGAATCGCCCGAGACGAAGAGCGGGAAGCAGCCTCCGGTTAAGAAGACGGCACACAACATGATTGAGAAGCGGTATCGAACGAACCTTAACGACAAGATTGCTGCTCTGCGTGATAGTGTGCCCAGCCTTCGGGTCATGTCACGTGCTAACCATGGTGCCGGCTCCGAAGACGACCCGGAAGACCTCGAGGGATTGACACCCGCACACAAGCTCAACAAGGCCACCGTCCTGTCCAAAGCGACTGAATACATTCGTCATCTCGAGAAGCGGAACAAGCGCCTGAACGATGAAGTCGATACCCTCAAGGCCCGCCTGGAGTCGTATGACAAATTCGCCATGACTACGCCAATGACCATGGCCACCTCGGTAAACACGCCTGATGGAATGCGATACCAGCACGAGGACCCATTTGCTGCGGCCGCCGCTCGCACTCAGCCCGTCTCCCAGGCTCCCGGCATGATTCCGGTCCCTGAGAGCATTACCAACCTTCAGATGCAGAACCATTACGCGCAACAGCAAGGTGGTTATCCTGTCTTCAGCCAGGCTCCGGGACGACAGGGCATGCAAGCTCAGCACCAGCAACAGCAGCAGCAGCAGCAGCAGCAGCAGCAGCAACAGCAACAACAGCACATGGTCAATGGAAGGAGGAGCAACGGCATGATGAGTAAGCTCATGGTGGGCTCTCTTGCGGGTCTGATGATTGTCGAAGGCTTCAAAGAGCACGAAGAGTCTGGCGAAAACACCGAAGGACGTGGGTTGTTTGCTCTGCCCGTCAGCCTGTTCGGTCGCTATGGAGCTGCCATGCTGCCGAAGTTTGCTGCCCACGGCATGTCGACGGTTTACAGGTCGCTGCCTCTTATCAAGCTTTTCCTTGCGGTCAGCGCTTTCCTTTACCTCATCATGCCGCTGCTGAACTCGAAGCCCAAGTCGAAGAAGAAGGCTATTCCGTCGATCAAGCTCAGCCCTGCACCTTCTCCCGCATCCCCGGTCGAGGTTCGCCGCAAAGCTTGGCTCACCGCCATTCAAACGGTGTGGGTCCCACGTCACAACTTCGTCTTGGAAGCTGCTGCCGTGTCCTTGAAGTTTGCCAAGCTTAGTCTGCTCAACCTCATTGGCTGGAACAGGTATGCCTCGCTCATTGGTCTCACCAAGGAGCAAGAAGCGGCCAGAGTCAAGGCTTGGGAGATCGCATTGGACGCTCAACTTACGGGCGGCGATGCGGAGATCAGCAAGAGCCGACTCGTCCTGACCATCATGGCTTCTGGAACCCTGCCTGACACGCCCGCTCGCCTCATGCTCAAGGCCATGCACATCCGCATTCTTTTGTGGGAGATTGCCAACGCAGGTTATGGTTCTTGGTACATGTTTGAGGAAGTCAGTGCAAAGTTGGCTCGGAAATACTGGAACCAGGCGCGCAGCCACCAGAAAATGCTGCAAAGTGGGGCTTCGCGCCCCGCGGATGGGGAAACACTCCCGGAGCACTTGGCGTCCCTGCTGGAGCTCGAATGTGACGACGTCATGGTTGACAGGATTGTGCAACGGGCGTACAACCTCGCTTGGAACAAGCCGAGCGCGGAGAACACCGAGGCTGACGAGGCCATGGATAGTGTGGTCGAGGACTTTGCCATTTCCTCGCCTCTGGACGCTTTGGCTGCATGGTACTCCAGCTTCGCTCTCAATAGTGCCCTCGTGTCTCATCTTGAGGACGGCGGAGTCAGTGAGGATCTCGGTCTCGCGATCCGCACCGCTCCTCCCAACTCTGTCTCTCAGGTCCGCGCGCTCGTAGCGAAGGCAATCCTCGTCAAGGAAGATCGCAACGCCAACATCACGGTTGCCTTTGATGCCCTGCCGTCGCAACCGCACATCCCGGCACTGAAGAATGCCAGGCTCTTCTCGCCCCGGGCTCTGCTCATGAACGTTGTTGGCGAGGCGCCCATCGCTGCTGACGTGCGCAAGTCCTTGACGCTGGTCAAGTGCCTTGGCCTCGCCGAGAAGTATGGCGCCTCGGGGTCCGAGGAGGTTCGTGTCCGCGCGACTTTCGTCATCAACAACACGTTCCTGCCCGACTCGTCCCTGACCCTGCTCAGCTTTGTGGCCGCGTACAAGGTTCTGCGGATCTTCTCTGAGGAGGAGAGGCTGCTGGCCGAGTCGCGGCAGGGCCTGGAACGCATTGCCAGCTCGATGAGGGTCTGGATTGGCCGGGAGGCCGGTCGCCGCAGCGGGCTGAGCAGCAAGACAAAGGGCAAGATTGTCGAATCATGCCTGAGCGTCAGCAAGATGCTTGTCGGCATGCAGGACGACATGAGCGAGGAGGGCGATGCTGGGTATGCCAGCCAGAGCGATCACGAAATCGACGTACGCAAGTACTGATGATTGATTGGTCTGACGATAGCGATACATGGCGTCCACGAAACATTTAAAGAGGGGGAACATGATTATACTTTTTTTTATTCAGACATGGGACTTCAACTGGGACAACGGTTTTTTTTTTTTTTT